TCTGTCTCTCATTATCTCTCTCTCAACTTCTTTTTTGCACTTTTGCGCTTCGCGCTTAACATTTAGCTCGTTGCTTATTAACGCTGCGGCTTTGCGTTTGGCGCACTGCATTTCTATGATGCTGTTGATTGAATAAATTGAATAATTTGAATAAATTCATCAATTCCTGATGAAGCCGTATGAGCGAGAATTCGATTTATTCTTGTCTCATATACGGTTGTCTCATTTACTTCGTTTTCTATTTATATATGTATGTATTTTGAAAATGCGATAGCAAAAGGTGATGGTCATCTTGCGAGGAATAACCATTAACTCTCATCGGGCTTTCATCACTAATTTTTCTCTTCATTTTTAAATATTTTTTTATGGTGATTTTTTTGTTTTGTTTTGTTTGTTTTGTTGTTGTTGTTGTTGTTGTTGTTGTTGTTGTGTTTGTTTTTTTTTTGGGGGGGGGGATGATTGTACAGGACATTCCCCCTACCTGATTTTTTTTTTTGGGGGGGGGGGAGGGGGGATACATCCCCCATCCCCCCGGGATCAACACTCAAGGCTACATGTACTTTATATAAATTAGATCAAATTAGAAATGTGATTCGTTTTTTTCAAAGAAAGGGCTTATTTATATTGGCTGTAGATTAAACCAATTTGGAAGTGTACATTTGGATATTGTTGCTTCTTTATTGAAAACAAAATGTTTACATTGTGAATTTTACATCTGAAGCGCCAATTGATTTATTTTACACTGTCAACAACTTAAATGGTAATATCCCTATCGCACTTCAAAATACTCAAGGGGTTACAATTTTACAATACTTTAGTCCAGGCTAGGCCCCATAGGAAAGGGCCCGAACCTTGTTTTTTAATGTTTTTTGATGATTTCTTGTCAATTCGAAGGTGCTGATTCCAAATCCGATGAGTGCCAGACGCGAATCTCTGAGCATTTCTCATAAAACGTGAAAAATTCAAAGTGGCCGCCAAATCATGAAAACGCTCATTCTTTGGCCATTTAACAGATTAGTTGGTGTTTTCTTGTCAATTCGAAGGTGCTGAATCCAAGTGCCTGGCACAAAACCTTGAGCACTTCTCTTAAAATGTGAAAGTTCAAAATGGCCGCCAAATCATGAAAACGCTTATGGCACTGGTTTTTTTAACTATGACCAAATACCTAAATGGCCCTTTGAGAGCCTGAAACTTTTCAAAGATAAAGAATTAGAAATCAATTACAATTTTTTTCTTGTAGCATGGACCTAGATTGACCTCCCATAGCTTAATGAAAAATTTTCAACATTGCTTTATGTGCATCTGCTATCCCTGAACAGCCAATTGTTTACGGAATTTTGTAACAAAATTGGCATACCTTTTTGGTTGGAGCCGAAAAAAATATATACCCACTAACAATATGTTTTTTTTCTATTGATGATTAATGAGCATGGGTGGATCTTAAAGAAAGTTAACAGTAATCTGAATTAACTCCTGTATTTTGATGGAACAGTGCAATTTAAAATGGTGTTTCGGACGTTACATCTTCCGTAAACAATGTAGACCCTCATTTAACCCACTAGAACAATAAATTAATGAGATTGTTTATGGTTTGAATAAGCTTATTAGTTACTCCAAGTCATTAAATTAAAAGAAAATATAATTTAATTGTAGTAGCGCTTATACTAGAAATATACTCAAAATTTGAAAAAGTTGTCTCATTTTCCGTAAACAATTTTGTAACGTCCGAAACAACTTTCAATTTGAAGTAGCAGAAAATATATGAACTGCACGACCTTTTTCTTGTAACATTTGTTAAACATTTCATGGCGGCTACCCACCCCGAAAAAGAAATTTGCAATACATCATTACAATACTATTTTATAGTTAAAACCAATTTTCCGTTAACAGTTGTAACGTCCGAAACAAATGTAACGTCCGAAACAAAAAATACCAAATAAATGATGATAATCCATATTTGAGGGTATCTGGAGTGAATAAATCATTATGAAATATGTTATTATAAGTCTTAACATAAGTCAAGACACAAATCAGGTCTTTCAAATCCAATAATTTTGTGTAAGCTCAAGAAGGGTGTTTCGGACGTTACACTATTTGATTGTTAACACATAGTTTGCAAATTTCAACTAATTATCGATCATATGTGCAAGTAACGGTTTCACAATGCACACTCCTGTTAAAAACACTATTTTTAAAATTTCATTTAGATCTAAATATAAGAATATGAAGAAATATGATGCAAAAAATGAAATTTTCCGTAAAATATCTGAATTTTCTGCAAATTGACTTATAAAACATCAAATATTGAAGCCACACATTGTGATGCAAGGCATGGCTGGCTGCTTTAGTATATCCTTAATCGAATTTATCAGAAAAAAATCTCAATAAAAGTGACTCATAAAAAATATTCAGCCATTTTAACAGCACTTTCTGGTATGCTGTTAGCACGTTTCGGACGTTACATTAAACTGTTAACAGACATTTTCATACTTTAACTAGTTCAAATGAGGGGCAAAGATAGATGTGAAAATAGCAAATTTCAATTTTTCAACCTCTCCTCTTGCTATTTACATTGCTGTGTGTTTGCAAATCATCAGGTTTTCATTTTTACAGAGGTTGTTTCAAATTATGTCATATAACCAAAGATTGTATGGTCAATCTAAACTATTTGGTAGGTTACAAAAGCTCAAAATTATCCACTTAAGCAATACCCAGTGTACATGTACATGACACGGGTATTGATACAGGTACATAAAGTTGATAAAATCAAGCAAATTAAAATGTTTGTCTAAAAATTTATGGGAAATATGGATTTTCATTTGAAAATACCTTTTTTAAAAGGGCACTCAGTACACGTAACTAATCTATGTAGAAAGTACATACATCTATAAAAGAATAAGACATTACATTAATAACTTATTTCATGATCCTAAACATATAGTCAGGGACGGATCCAGGAATTTCTTCCGGGGGGGGGGGGGCGCAGGGGGGGGGGGGTACACACGAGGGGTGAGAGGACATATAAATATTTTTGTATTGGTCCCAAAAAATCGCAACGACTCAGCCAGCTGCTGAATAAGCGGGGGGGGGGGGGGGGGGGGGATTGGTAAGAGCACATTTTTTTTTTTTTTTTTTGCTCCCAAATATTTGAAAATCGCGATGGCCGCAAATTCGCTCAGTGGGGCGGGTGGGGGAGGAGTGCGGACTAATTTATTTTTATTTTTATTTTGGGGGGCCCGGGGGTAGGGGGCACGTCCCTGTTTGCCAGTACATTTTGGGCGAATTTGGGGTTGATTTCAACATTTTTGTTTTGGCCGGGGGGGGGGGGGTGGGGGGTACATGCCCCCTGAGCCCCCCTCCCCGGATCCACCACTGGTAGTATCTTCGCCAAATGTATGCATACATACAAAATGTATAAGCTAGTGTAAAATATAAATGGGCTGTCCGTTTTTATTTTCCCTCTACGCAATGTCAAAGTTGGGGGTGCGGCGCTGCGGCCTTATCGCCGTTAAATACGGTACATGTTTAACCTACACTGTATACTGTTTGTCACCTGTGATATCGGCACAGCAAGAGTTAAGATCTATCAACCAACCAACCAACCAACCAATCAATCCATCCATTCATCAATCGGTCATCAAGTAAATAAATAAATAAATAAATACTTATTTAAGAGCATTACAAAATGTTGTCGTTTGAAACAGCCTCCTAATACAAATAGTGGTAAAGGATGATTGTTACTACAGTAGTATTATAACCTAAAACATACACAATTTGAAAATACATCTGAAATGTCTCATTCTTGAGATGTACATAAATTAGGATTCACCTATTTCTTATTACTTACAGGACTGGGGGTACTTTTTTATAGTTTTACTTTTAAAAAGATTTGTCAATGTTTTGCTTACATACATGTATGTGTTAGTGATATTATTGAATGACACACTATATAGTTGAAGGACATTAGCAAGCTGATTAAACATCTATTGTAGAGTTTATAGAAATTGATGATCTCATTGAAATGTTAACATTGTGTAACATCCGAAACAAACCATAGCATGCATGTACATTTCACACTGTTGTTCATAACATGCAATAAAGAGTATGTTTCTAAGTGAATTTTCTAAGGAGTTTTGATGACGACAATTGCTATTAGCTTCATATTTCACTGTTAGATCACATAAGCACTTTGAAATACCGGTACACGTTCTTGAAATGAATAATATACCTTACATAAATTGAGTGGTCGATGAAGACAAACTTGGTATACATGTACGGTATGTGCTAAACTAATTAAAACTGAAGAAAAAAATCCATAAATGTTACAGAAGTATTATTCTGCAAACAATTAATGTAAATGAGGTCAATAATACCTAAAGAAAAGCAATTAACTTGGATAAAGTTATGATGTTAACAGTGTGTAACGTCCGAAACATCAGTGGTGTGACATATGAAAATTATTATGCAATGCACTGGTTCCCAATTTTTTTGCATGTATTTACCTTATATCATCAGTTGTTATAATAAAATAAGTTTGACCTAAGAAAAAGTATTTTACCTATTGAAATTAAAACTTGTTATTGTCGAAACCCAAATTTAGAGCTATTTTTCACTTTCAAGGTATACATAATCTGTATTTTTTAAGATAGAAACTCAAAAATTTGCATGAATAATCTCTGAAACATATTCTTAATATATTTAAAGGTGTAGTTAATAGCAAATGAGTTTTATATCACAGTTATTAGATATGCTATAGTTCACAATAAAATTGTAAGAACTCATAGTATTCATATCTGGTGAATAAATAAGGAGATAGATTAAGCTCCAAAATTTGCATTTCTCATAAATATGAATAGTCCTGATCCTAAAAATACACGTTTGAAGTAAGCAAACATAATTTCATTTTTGACCCTTTTGTGGACACATTTGGTATATGTTAAAAAAACCAGTGCCTTATTCTTTGACCATCAGGTAATTTTATGTTTTCTTGTCAATTCGAGGGACGGTGCTGAATCCAAATCCGATGAATGCCAGACGCAAAACCTTCAGCATTTGTTACTTGACAACCCCCCTTTTCAAACTCTGGCAAGGATTCAACAAAGCAGCTGGAATTCCCGTTGTCAATCTCGAAGACTTAAACAAACTTGAGAAAGGTTCAGTCACAGCCTTATATATAAACAATGGTGAGTCAAAATGAATTGAGACGCAAATTCTCTGGATTCTGCCCAAAATAGAAAAATAGCTAGCCTGAAAATTAGGAGAATAGTTAGGGTTAGGGTGAGAGTTAGGGTGGCCGTGAACATAATGAAGGTGAGGTACAGCGAGTGCGTAATTAATCTGAAGAATTATTGGTGTGTGTAGATGAATTGTGAATGGAAATTGTAAAGGCGTGTTCACTGATCACACAACATAACTCTCTTTTTAATTTAACTACGAGGAAACAAGGTTGCACTGGCAATAAAATACATGATAAAAAGTATTCCCTTTTCGTTATTTTATTGGGTACTGATTTGCAGACACAACACTTGCAAAGTGTAGTCATGCAAGCAAATAAATGATTCAGAATGAGAATCACTTGAATGAGGATCGTGGATATTGCACGGAGTTTAAATGGTCATGTATGAGATGGACATGAATAAATGCAGTGAATGAATAGAGCTTACGACAATGGTAGAAATGACGTCGAAAGTCCATGAAGATGATGACGGATGAAACGAAGAAAGGGGCTCACGCGATGATTGTGCGGAGGCTTGATGATGGAAACGCGACTTCGTTGACGTGGCTGAAGAGCCGAGAAGAACGCGATGTCGATGCCGACGCTCATGATGATGATGAATGTAGCGCTCAGGCGAGAAGAAAAGAGAAGAGATGTGGCGCTCGACGACGAGGCAGTGAGTCGCTCGATGTCAGAGGCCCAGGTTGAAATGTAGACATCAAAGCCGGTATAGTGGTGATCGTGAAGAGCAGTGAGTCGCTCGATGCTGGATCGATGAGCCGGACTTTGTAAAAGTGAAATCATCAGAGTTGCAGTGAGATGGACTCATTGATGAAAGTTCAGGCGAGCTACAGTGAATCGAGCTCGTGTGTGAAGAAGAAGCTAGCAGCTCCCAGCGGAGAATCAGGAGCCATGTCGGTTCCTGATTTAAGCGTTCCACTGCAAGACTGTCAGTCCTTTAAAGACGGCAGGATAAAGAGATGATGTGCCATACAAGAGGTGATAGGCACGGAAGAGAATTCTCCAATTGAAATGCAGGAGGTTAGAATTGTAGAAGGATTTGCTCCTTGTGTATGCATGAAGCAAATTGTAGAAGTAGAGGTGACATTCTCATATTGACGTGTTACTTCATCGAAGAACTATGAGAAGTGTAGTAGTGGAGAAAGTTGGAGAGTATGATGTTGTTTTCATCCTTCTTGGGAGGCAGGATAAAACAAAGAGAGTACTATTTTCTGGGAAGGGAGAGTGAGTCACTGGTGATTACCAGGTACAGGGACATTGAAACCATTATGCTGACACTTGTTGATAAATATATAGGGGCAGTGCCTGGCATATGTGAGAGGGCAATGTCCTCCCAAATTGGGTTACAAAGTAATAAATGAAATTAAGAAATGAAGAGGGATGAAATGAGGAAAATACTACATCAGCCCCCTCCTAGAACGTTGAATAGAAGGAAACGGGCGATAATAGAGAAAAAGTAATATTCCGAATGAAAATATATGAGAAAGTCTCACTTGAAATGCCAAACTTGAACATAGCGATCTGGGAAATGTACTGTTCTCCCTGAACGAGTTACAACAAGCATGGTATGTGAAAGGCTTTCAGTAGTAATGAATAGAACAGTAATACAAATGATATGCATCGAATAAACGTGTATAAATGCAAGAGCATAAAACATTCGAAACAAAATCCAGAATGTATACATTTGAAGAAAGACAAAAATGAAATTGTTAAGTCCAAAAAGTCAGGGAATAATAAAATTGTACAACCAAGCTTCCAAGTAAACGACGGGGTCACCAATGAAGAATTATTATTGGTGAATGTACTACATCATGACAATGGTAAATGGACATTATTGAATGAAATGTAATGACATAATAAAAGCTTACGACTGATAGAAAATGACGTCGAAAGTCCATGAAGATGATGACGGATGAAACGAAGAAAGGGGCTCACGCGATGATTGTGCGGAGGCTTGATGATGGAAACGCGACTTCGTTGACGTGGCTGAAGAGCCGAGAAGAACGCGATGTCGATGCCGACACTGATGATGATGATGAATGTTGCGCTCAGGCGAGAAGAGAAGAGAAGAGAAGAAATGTGGCGCTCGACGACGAGGTAGTGAGTTGCTCGATGTCGGGGCCCAGGTTGAAATGCAGACATCAAAGCCGGTATAGTGGTGATCGTGAAGAGCAGTGAGTCGCTCGATGCTGGATCGATGAGCCGGACTTTGAAGTGAAATCATCAGAGTTGCAGTGAGATGGACTCGTTGATGAAAGTTCAGACGAGCTACAGTGAATCGAGCTCGGGTGTGAAGAGAGCTACCGGAACGAAGCAGCTAGCAGCTCCCAGCGGAGAATCAGGAGCCATGTCGGTTTCTGATTTAAGCGTTCCACTGCAAGACTGCCAGTCCTTTGAAGACGGCAGGATAAGGGGTTTATGTGCCATACAAGAGGTGATAGGCACGGAAGAGAATTCTCCAAATGAAATGAAGGAGAGTTAGAATTGTAGAAGGATTTGCTCCTTGTGTATGCATTGAGCAAATGGTGATGGTAGAGGTGACATTCTCATATTGACGTGTTACTTCATCGAAGAACTATGAGAAGTGTAGTAGTGGAGAAAGTTGGAGAGTATGATGTTGTTTTCATCCTTCTTGGGAGGCAGGATAAAACAAAGAGAGTACTATTTTCTGGGAAGGGAGAGTGAGTCACTGGTGATTACCAGGTACAGGGACATTGAAACCATTATGCTGACACTTGTTGATAAATATATAGGGGCAGTGCCTGGCATATGTGAGAGGGCAATGTCCTCCCAAATTGGGTTACAAAGTAATAAATGAAATTAAGAAATGAAGAGGGATGAAATGAGGAAAATACTACAAATCTCTTTCCAGGCTTTTTTCCACTTTGGGCAGAATCCGGAAAAATTACCGAGATGGTCTCTATATGAAATTGTTTATGATATTGGGATTCTAACGCTACAGAAAAGTCTATTCCTTTTGTCCGACTGTGAGTGCCTTCCTTTTTTTAGCCCTGCTAATGCGATGATGCTCGGGCAGCCCGGCCCCCCACTCAAGTGTTATTTAGGGTACGCAAATGCGTGCTCCCACCCCCCCCCCCCCTTTCAGCATAAGTCTGGTGTGTAAAATCAATTTTTTTTTTTCTTTTGTTATACAAGCCTTTTCAGCAGGCCCCCTTTTCAGCATAAGTCCGGTGTGTAAAGTCAATACGGGGAGATCTTTTTCTTTGTTACGAGCCGGAGATTTTGGGAACACGCATGCAGTTCCTCCGTTCCCGGAGTGGGGGAGGGGGGGGGGGGGGGCGGGTCGGGCAGCAACCGAACCCTAGCGTTCCAACATAATGGGCGTGGCACGTACTTATACTCTATGGGCTCGCGTTCATCTGCCTTTCGGCCCGTGACGTTTTTGATGGTTTATTTTATCTGACTGCTAAGATAGCATGTGTATTCTTGTTAGTATAGGCAGCCAGGGGACTGAGAGGCCCGCCCCCCCCCACTCAATGTTATTTAGGGTACGCATATGCGTGTTCCCTCCTTTTGAAAACACCCCCTAAGTCCGGTGTGTAAAGTCAATTTTGTACGAGCCGGACTTTGGTGCGTGAAAAGTACCCCTTTACCGGACATTTTGGTAACACGCATGCGGTCATTCCGACCCCGGAGTGGGGGGGGGGGGGTGCTGAGAGGTGTAATTAAAGTCCTATTCGGACCGAGGACCTTGGTACCGAGGATTAATGCCTCACCAAAGCCAAAGGGCACTATAGTGGCGTAATTACTTGGTTTCAAACCCGGGTCCTCCCGGTTACGAGACCACTATCTCTTCTCTACCACTGAGCCATCGCGTCTCCAGCCACTGCGCATATTTTGCACGTATAGGGAGGGGGTAAGGATGCCCATTCACTTATGTGGCATTTTAATAATGGTATCGCCAAGAGAACAAAATATAATAAACATCGGGTAAGGCAAGCAGCCTATCATCGGCATGCTGATCTAGATTTAATCTATTATGATGTATAAGCTATAATACAGCAGCCTGGAAAACACGTTCTAACTTGTGTTGATTGTACTATGAAATTAAAATGTTGAAATGTTTGATTTCATTATTTTGTTTAATTTCAGGATTTTCCATCTGTTGAGAGGGCAGTGAAAGTGTATAGGGAGTGTGTTAGTGCACCCTCTCTCTCTTCTTCTTCCCTACAAAAGACTGGAGACAGTGCGTTTAGTGTACACTCAACATGGAGCCAGAGAGATCTAGAAAGAGAATGCAACATCAAGTATAGACAGACCCATATTGTGACTCTTGACAGCAATGGACAAATAGGAGATGTCATAGATCCAGGAACCAACACTGAACTAAATTCAGAGTAAAGTGAACTTTTGATATTTGTTAATGATTATAGTTCTCTGTGTTAAAACAAATTTTCCTCCTTGGGGGTTTTAGGCTTCAGATTTCTTTTTTTTTCTTTTTGAGGGGGAGGGCCCGGGGGGGGGGGGGGTAGCTAGGATACAGTGTTATTACTGCTCTTATGGATTGTGCAGTAGTAGAAATGAATGTAATATTCATATTTCATTCATTCGTGCACATGCAAGCACTATGTTGATATTTGATGGTAAAGGTAGGACGGAATGGATATTGCCAGGGTAATCTCACTTTTGGCAGTACATGTACTTGAATAAATTTATTTTTGCAACAGGTATATGTATGTTTCACTCGATTCTAAATAGTACCAACCAAAAAGTATGAAGTGTGTGTACCTTTACCCTATTTAGAGAGCAGTTTTGGTATTTAAACTTAGAGTTTACAACTAAATTATTTATACCCCTTGTTAATTTGATGTTTCTGTGGTTTTTGTAATTCATGAATGATGAATTGGTTAATTTATGGCCTTTGTTGAATATTTTTAGATCTAAGATTTGATATGTCAAATCGAATAACTAATAAGAAAGTTATGAATTTTTTAAAAAGTATGTAAAACTATGGAACAATGAAAATCACTACACAAATTGCCAATTTGGTTATCAGTTTGTAAAACGTCATGTCCTCACTATTTATCAATTGCTTTATATAGTGTAATCCCATTAATTTCCCTTTTTATCCCCCCAAATTTGATTCCCCCATACCTTTGCCCAGGTTATATGATTTGTATTATATTGCGTGCATGACATTTCACAAAATCTTTTATGAACTTTGAAGAATTGATAGTATTTTCTGAATATTGTATCTTCATAATTATTGATTTTTATATAAATTGTTTATCAAAATTCAAATTTTTCATGATTTAACTGGAAAAAAATTACTCTATATTAGTGCATCCACACAAAAAACATATTAATATCAATCTAACTTGGATGCTGGTGTGAAGAAATAAGATTCTTAGGGGGAAAATAGGAAATTTATATTATCAATATATAGAAAATAATTAGTGGATAGTGAGGACATGACGTCACAGACTGATCAGTGAGCTCCCAATTTGTCGTGTGCTTTTCATTGTTCCAAAAGTTTACATACTTTTTTCAAAATTCATAACTTTCTTATTAGTTATCCGATTTTCTCAAACTTTTTTTGATTGGTTTTTCTGATTTGTCTGCTTTTATTGAAAGTAAGTTATTTTTAGAGTGGACTTGGTTTTCAAAAAATTACAAAACTTTGCAATGGTATGAATAATTAAGTTGTTAACTGTATACTATACAGAAGAAAGCTGATAGTCTGAATACATGTTATATAGAGTACCGAAGCTGTGACATCATAACAATCAATTTTTAGAATTTCTCAATCTGTTCGTCATTTTCCAAAAGAGCATAAAAAATAATGTCCAAATGTCGAAAACCAACTGAATATGTGTGTATTAGCTGAGATATGACCATCTGAATAAATGTTATGAACCAGAGCACTATAACACTGCGTTCCCATAGGACATCAATTTATTTAGATGGTCATATCTCAACCAATACTTAATATATTCAATTTGTTTTCGACATTCGGACATTACTTTTTATGTTCTCTCTGAAAATCAAAACAAGATTAACACTAACATTAAGACTAACACTTCACCACTCAATAGGGACAGGGTTCCTATTCCCACTGGGATATCTCAATCATACAGAGAAAAAAAAATCATAAATAATGAGAGAAAATACACTTTCTCTCTCTCTCTTCTCTCTTCTCTCCTACAGACAGCTGGTGCGATGGTCACCTTCCGGAAAGCTCAAAGCTGTGCTGAGGAAAATTAAGGATAAGAAAGGTGATGAGAAACAATATTTGGAGGTGAGTACTTATAATATTCTTTTCTTTCATCGCATTAATACTCCAGAAGATGATATACTGAAAGAATGCTAACAGAAAGAGCTGATAAAATGGCATATTGATATAGTTAAAAATCACTGAAAATATGATCATAACCACTAAAACTATCATTAGAATCAGACTTCAGAAAATACAAAAACTTTGCAGGTATAGAATCAGGTGCAGAGTGCTGTATATTCTTCTGCCAATTAGTGAAATGCATTCAGGAAATTCTTTGTTCTTTAGACATGGTAAATGACATCATTCAGACATTGAATACAATTGCATGGCAGATTCAAACTGCTTAACTGACCTGTTTTTAGCCATGTTTCCAGTATCTTCAAGTATCGGATATTTTTCCCCTCTAGAAAGTGTTCTGGTCTATAGGTTAAATCAATGAAAAATGTAAGTACGCCATGCATGCAAGAACATACAAGCAATGGAGCACAATGTTCACTAAAAAAAGAGCTATACAGTGCGTCCCAGAAAAACGAAACCAAGAATTATTGATGTCTTATCATAACTTAATCACAATTATAATTAATAAATGACACATATTTGTAAAGCTGAGTTGCATCAAATGAAAGAAGAGGATCTAAGCTTTTTGTAGGACGCACTGTATATAATAAGATGTGTATTTCTTTGCTTTTTCTGTAAATTTATTTTTGAAGAAGTAATAAGTGAACTCCCTTCTTATTTTTACAGGTCTGGAACAATATTCGAAAGATTCATAATATCAATCTGACTGCCCTTGGCAAACATGGCAAAGTGTATGAAGATTGTGGGTAATACATTTAATTATATTTCAATAATAATTCTGTCAATTAGTTCATTCTGTCAAAATTATTTAAAATATATTCATACCAAAGTACACTGTTGGTCATAATGGTGGAATAATTATTTTTACCCCAATTTATGGAATGACTTTGACAATGATTTATTCCTAATAGATGTAGATAATAGTATACGTTCTCAGATTTTATTAAAGAATAATTTGTGAGTGTTTGTTTTGCGTGACTGCTAAAGCATGTGTATGCTACTATGCTAATCAAATAGGGGACGTACATCCTTAACGTGAAGGGACAAGGTGAACAATAATTTGTGAGCGTTATCATTGTATTATGCAAGTGTGGAAGAACATCAGATAAAACTGTTCCCTGAAAAGCATGGCTCTTCAAATGCCTTAATATTCTAAATATGGCATGAAACATCATAAAAATCGGGACGGATTTTTATGCCACATGTTTGTGTAGTCCCATATACATCTTTCTGTGTACAGTGCTTGTAACTTTACCAAGACTGGGCCAAATTTATTATCATTTTGATGATTCAAAAACCTTGCAGTACACACCAATACTTATATGCAAGATGATCAACCTTTTCTGATTGATTCCACAACATTTCTTTCACAATGCAATCGCATGACCAGAACTCAACTTCATCTTTAGGTTATAACTGACAGTAATGAGGATTAATGCCTCATAAAAGAGCACGAATATAGCACATCGACACGGTTTTGATCCTGGGGGCTCACAGTAATGAGGCCATTGCTTAGCCACCGAATCATGACTGTACGCAGCTGGGGCTAGGGTACGTCGCCGCCCCACAAGGCGATGGTTTAAAACTTGACAGTGTTATGCATCGCATTAACAATAAATTGTGTTTAAAAGGTTACAAATTTCCTTCCTGTGTTTCATCATCAGGCGAATTTGGATGCTTGGAGTGGTCTAGTTGTGAATCTCAGCTTCTGTATGTGGCAGAAAAGAAGCAACCCAAAGCTGTCTCTTATTTTGACAAATCTAAAGAAGGTGGCTCTGAAGAAAATCCTGAAACAGATGCTAAAAAGAAAGATCCAGAAGTTAAGGTATAAATATGTATGATCTATGTTTCCTTTACGTTGGATTTCCTATATATTTTTTTTGCAGACAGGTACTAGGTCACGTTTGGTTCACAATATACTGAAAGCAAGAAATTATATGCAAATAAGTGAGAAGAAAAAGAATGAATAGAAATATGGTTATTTTAACATATCAGAAAAAATCTTCGGACCAGATTTTTTCTGACCTGTTTTCAATTACAGATCGATCAATCGATCTTATTTACCGTACTAGGTGTAAGCCACAAATATTTTTAAACAAAAATACACTTTGATACTAATTTTTACTTTTCTGTTCTAGAAGGTTGGCAGATTTGCAGTATATCTTCTACTGCCTGCCGGGCAGGGACTCTACCACCAGACCATCACTGGTCCATGGCACAGCCACGATGAACTAGAAAAAATACCTAAGCTCTCCTGATTCGTTCTGACTCATTTATATTTATTTGTCCGCCATAGGACAATACTTTTTATAAATGTAATGCTTCCTGGGAGAAATTTCAATTATTTAAACATATTTGTGGCTTACACCCAGTAAATAAGATCGATTGATCGATCTGTATTGAAAATTGGTATTAATAATTAAAATTTCTCCCAAGAAGCATTAGAATTATAAAAGTTATGGCGGACTAATGCATATAAATGAGTCAGAACGAATCAGGAGAGCTTAGGTATTTGTTCTAGTTCATCGTGACTGTGCCAGTTGTACTATATATCTAAATTAAAAATACATTCCAAATTGTAGCACTTCAGTGACTTCACCGTTATTTTGTTAAGTATTCGTGTAAGAGAAGCTATGCAGTGGAGCATGCACAAGTCATTCATTTCCTGTGTCCTAAATTTGCATTGATATTACTTTGTGTAGGTGTTATGAACTATGTTTGTTATATACCTTCTATCCTAAAATCTGGTTGTGGTATCAGAAATCGTAACTGATATATTTGTCAGATTCAACCAAATTCAAATATGAAAATAGTGATACCGGTAATAATTTTGTGTGATGTCCAGAGGGGTCTTTCCATAGGGATGACTGCATTGTATAAACAATAAAAAAGGGAGTAAGAATTCTGTGAACAAATTCGTTCAATTATAATTATGCACAAGATCATCAAGGTCATGAGTCATGTGCAGCAATTCAGATTTGCTTTAGATCTATACAGATTCAGAAAGAATCCCCCCTTCTGTAGGATGGTAGGCCTAACAAAAATATAAATGTATTTTTGTCCTTATATGATTCAGGGAGACCAGTTTGTCTATCGTCAAGATTGGGGTGAGCTATTGGTTGGGAAGCATTCTCCAGTGCCATGCATCTTAAACCTTCAGACTGGTCAGGTGACTATACCAGAGGGTCTGCCCAAGGATGTCTCTGTCGGTCAAGCAATCTGGATTCCCGATGATAGCGGGATAGTGTTCACTGGATGGGAGAATGAGCCGTATAGGCTAGGATTAATCTACTGTAGGAATAGAATGTAGGAATCATGTGCATTTCATGCGTAGAGTAATTTGCTGATTTTTGTTTATGTCTAGAAGGTTTTTTTCAGAAATATATGATACATCAACAGAAAAGACATTTAAAAAAAATTCCACTTGTATAATGTTTCTGCCCCTGTTAAATGTACATATATCACTAATTTCAAGTAATGCATGGTAATCATTTTTGTATTTTGGAACCTTGCAAATTATTTGATTGACTTTTATTTATTTTCATTATCACAGGTAATTATTCTTATTTTGTAAATCAAAAGTAAATTTGGTTCGGAAGTGTGATAAGTAATCACTTGCGATGAATCTAAGTATTTCATGAATTCTCTTCTGCAGGAGTGCCATCTATCATCTGGATCTGTCAAGTCTAACCTGCAGTAAGTATGTGAACATATTGCAGTTTGAATTGAATATAGAAGAATGCATCTGTATGGTAATAGAAGAAAATGTTTACATCTTTACTAGCAAGTGAGGTAGAGGCTGATAAATAATTGTATATGATTGTACACTTTCTGTAATATACTCACCTAGATATATAAGAATTGAATTGAATTGAAAGGAATTAACCCCCTAGGCAGGTTTTTTTAACAAATCATTGAATACAGTAAGGTTGCCACATGGTGTTACCAAAAGCTTCAGTTTGTGAATACTCACTATGAAAACCTACAGAAAACATCTAATGAATATTCTTCTATCATAACTGCCAACCATTCCAATTTTGGTGGAAGGATTTCTATTTTTTACCTTCAAACCAGTGTTATAAACCCCACATTATTCACAATTTGTAAAAACATATGTAGAAAAGCATGTAAAACACACTTTTGTAGGGGGATAGGGAGCACATTTTTTTTTTTGGCCCTCGAAAATTTGCCCCCCCCCCCCTTGAGCGCCGGGGGGGGGGGGGGGCCAACTCCCCAAAAAGGTAAAAATTAACGTGTTTTTACACGATTTTTTTCCCAGGGGGGGGGCCGGGCCCCCCGGCCCCCCCCCCCCCTTGGATCCGCCACTGGGCAGATTTGTAGTATATCTTTATGATTATTCTTCTATTTCTTTATGATTATTCTCCAGACACCATCAGCGTCACAGGTCAATCTGTGAGGTCACCTGTGTTTAGTCCAGATGCTTCTAAACTTATCTATATCCAGAATTCTTGCCATGGCGCTCACATGCAATGTGCTCAACTTGTGGTAAGACAGTAGACCCATAAGCATGGTTTCAACTTCTTGTACAAAACTTGATATGGTATTTGTGTGAGCCATTCAAAAACAGCCGAGGAAAGTGGTAAACATCATCTCACTCTGACCTCGGGTTATTCTTCTAGTAGGCTTAGATATATATTTGATGAAAAAGTTTGATCCCATGAAGTGGTGTTGACCAATCCATAAGAAAGACATTTCTTTGAGAGATGTAATAACTCCTGTGTTATATAGAAAATGCTATTAATGTATGAGTCCATACAGGTAGATGTTGATACTATAGGCTCTATAGTTTGATGATGCTGCTGCTAAATATTTGTATACTATGGACAAAATATATTTGTACATTTGAGGTGGAGTTAGCATAACTGATATTCTTTGTTCAGAGTTGTGTTTTCTTGTATCATACATTTTTAACATAATTGTTTTTAATGAAATGGTGCTTTGTTAATGCAGCTTGGTTTTCCTTCTTTCACAGTATCATTGGGAGAGCAAGGAGACACAGGTTGCAGTCGATATAGTTCAAAGACCTACAGGTATATTTCTGGGATTATAAACCCTTGACCTACCACACTCAAATTCCTCTTTAATTGTGATGTTAGTACTATTTGGAGAGGCTGTATTAGAATTTTTATTCACTGCTTCAAAAAAAAGATTTTGTTGGGGAAGTTCATGTATTGGTTATCCAAATTTTCATACTGTAATCTTTGTTGTTGTTCATTTTGAAGTGCTGCAATATACATGGTGTATGGGTGCATTTCAAACTTGCTCACAATCTGATAAACATATAGTGTACTAATCACCAAAATATATTTTGTTCTGTATGTTAGGGGCTCCATGTGGCTATACTATATTTAAAATATGAGCATACTGCGCATTTAAATAAACTCTTGACTAACGTAAAAATGACTTGAGAGTATACCCGACGCACCTCCATGTGCTTGCATGAAATACCGCCCGCACGCAACCCAAGCCAATCTTGGGTATCAATGCATTCAGTTTTGTGTTAATCTTTATTTTCCTCATACTTCTAATTGGCTGCTGGTCTATTAAATGCTGGGTAACTACATTTCATGCTAAGTTCTTTTTTTTTTATGTAGATGGATTGTGCAATAGGATCTTTATAATTTTTTATTCCTTGGGGCTTTATCTTACAGAAGAGAGGCCCTTCCCTGGTCTATACGTTGGCCGTTTTGAGCAACAGTGTTGGCTGGACAATGAGACTATCCTTGTCAGCACTAATTGGAGAAGTAGTAAGGTACGATACAACAGCCACAGGTGCTTACCATATCATTTTCCTTCATTAATTGTTTAGTTCAATCATGTGAGTTTAAGTCTCACCTCCCTGGTTCAATGTAAACTTGGGCTGTTATTTATAGGCTTTTCATCATGAACAAAAATTCTTGCCTTTCAAAAACTCTTTTTAAAGGCCCGGTCACACAGAGGGGACGCATGGGGGACGCTGCGTACAGTCATGGTTCAGTGACAAAGCAATGACCTCGTAACTGTGAGGCCCCAGGATCAGAACTGTGTCGATGTGCTATATTAGTGCCCTTTTGTGGGGCATTAATCCTTATTACTGTCATTTATGACTTAAGGGCGTAGGTCCCCTAGTTGATAAGCATAGTGGCATACACATGCTTTAGCAAAACACACATTGGCAAAAAATTTATTCAATAAAATATTATCTAGATCTATTATTTTTAAATTATTTTTAAAATAATTCCATAAATTGGGGTAAAACAAAAATATTCCAACTTTTTGAGCGACAGTGTATAGTGTATATATATATATTTGAAATTAGATATAAAGGTCATTCTCATTTTTCCTCAGACAATTATTGCAATCAATATCTGCACAGGAGAAGTGACAAGACTTACCAATGACCCAGATTTTGGTAGTTGGATGTTTTGTGCCATCAAACAGAGACTTATTCTTGCATGCAGATCTTCGCCAAGCCATTCAGCCCAACTGGTAAGCTTGAAGTTGCTATCTAAGCAGGCGCGTACACAGTGGGGGGGGGGGGGGGGGGGGGGGGGGGGGGGGTTAAACCCCCCCTCCTTTGGTATTTTTTGTGTGTAACCCCCCCCCCCCCATAACCCCCCTAAAACCCCTCCCCCCCCCCCCCCTCGATAACTTCAGTAATGTTTGACGGATTTTAATGAAATTTGATATGAATTAAGGTACATGATATCAAAATACAGGCTAAGTTCGATTTTGGAGTACGTAGGTCAAAGGTCAAAGGTCATAGCTCATTAAAATGCGAAAAATGGCACATCTGGTTTCCGATCAATAACTTCAGTAATGTTTGACGGATTTTAATTAAATATGATATAAAGGTTCATGGTATCAAAACACAACCTAAGTTCGATTTCTGGAGTATGTAGGTCAAAGGTCATAGCTCATTAAATATGCGAATCTGGTTTCCATTCGATAACTTGAGTAATGTTTGACAAATTTTATTGAAATTTGATATAAAGGTTCATGATATCAAAACACAGCCTAAGTTCGATTTCAGAGTATGTAGGTCAAAGGTGATAGCTCATTGAATATGCGAATCTAGTTTCCCTTCGATAACTTGAGTAATGTTTGACAAATTTTAATGAACTTTATGAAGGTACATGGTATCAAAATACATGTACAGCCTAAGTTCGATTTCTGAGTATGTAGGTCAAAGGTGAAAGGTCATAGCTCATTAAATATGCAAAAACACCTAATTATATATGTGAAAATGTGGTAAACTTCCTTGCCTAGTAATATAATAGTATAGTCCAATGGAGGTAACTTGTTCTGACGTATATAGGCCATTTTTACCCTGCGAGGGGATGCTACGCTTTGCGTTGACTTGTTGTAGTTTATGTTTGTGCTAAAATTTTTCCTAAACTGGATCAATTTTGAGCTTGCAAAATGTGTAAATCAAGGTGTACTCATTAATTCTATTTTTATGCCCAATCAACGTCAAGATGTACAAGAAACATCATGCTTGAACTTCCAACTTGGTGGATACCCCTACATCATAAGAAGGAAGTTAAACCAAAATTTCATAAATGCTATTCATGAATCTTTCTGATAAAACCTTGGAAACCAATCATATTAATAGTTTTATTTCTGATTTACATGTAAAAGGTTGTAGGTGTCATTCCTCAGGAAGGAGATATATCATGTATCAACTGGAAACCGTTACATGAATTTAGTGTGATCCTGTCAGATGTAACCTGGTCTGTTATTACACTCAAACCAAGAACTGAGCGAGGTGAGAATGCTATTAGTTCTGCTGCTACTCCAATTACATTATCCATCATAATCACGGTCACTACCACCACCACTACCAGTACAGTGTATGATATAAATCAGTCAAAGAACCACAATTTGGCATTAAATTGTATGCACATACCGGACTATTTATAGTTATCATAACATCATCATTGTGTGATTAGCAACAGACCATTTATTATTACAAGGTTTAGAGACCAACACACATTTTTGGTAAATCACAGTATTATTCTAGAATATACCTTATGGGCTTATGTATCTATATGTTATCTTCTTTATTTTCACTGCTTCATAGAGAGGAAAAAAAGAATGTTTATGTTTTTATGTTGCTCTATTTGTTTGTTCTTTGTTTTTCATTACAGGTAGTGATATTGATTTTGAAACTATTATCGTGAAGCCAAAGGGAAACTCGGGCGGTCAAGAGAAGAAGCCTCCTCTCATTGTGTGGGCTCATGGTAAGACATAGGTTAGAACATGTAATTACTAAATATGGCTCAAGTTAAGTGATGCAGTTTTAGCACGGTCTAGATAAACATGTCATAGACTGAAATAGCTCTTCTTTCCAGGCCTATTTTATTTTCCACATATGTGATTATGCTGCTGTTTTAAAAAGGATGATTTTATGTTTAAAGATAAAAAAATATATATATCAAATGATATTACAAATTCTTATGGGTAATCATATTTGGTGGAGAAACGGTATATGACTCATTCAGTAGGATATAAAATGTTAGAAGGCCAGTCTATCACTAGTCGAAACTATTTTGTATAAGGTAAAAAGTGAGAATATATCTTCTATGCTATGCTTCACAGATACAGTTGACCTGATATTCATTTATGAAGTGATATCAATCAACAAGAAGTCTGTTTCTAATAGAAGTTCGTTTGTTTTGCAGTGCAGGACACATTTATTATGTCCCATAGTTTAGTTCTTTTATTTGCTGAATTTGCAAATCTAAAAGGTGTTTCAACATCACACGTGAATAGAAATTTAAAAAAATATTAGAAGAAAAAAAAAAGTCTCTCAAAAAGCCTGTATTATTTTGTATTATTATTATATATTTTTTTTAAAGTGTCTTATTTTGACATGCTTACCTGGTCAAATCAGTCTATTTAGTTCAATTTCTGTTTCTTCACAGGGGGCCCTCATTGCGTAATCAGTACAGGCTACCTCCTTCTCCCTGGATTATTCTGTCAGCTTGGATTTGTTATCGCCTGTGGTAAAAATATATTTATTCTATCATCTGATCTTGGAGGGTAGTATACTACTATCTCATTAGTATTACAATTGCTTTTGTATTAAAGTGTGTACAAGATAAGATGATTCACGCAAGAAGAAATAACTCATGCAAATTCCACAATTTTATTTCCTTTTCTTCTTCAAAAGATTGGCAAAGAGTTCAGCTGAAACCTTTTCCCGAAGATTTCATGGAAAGATATAATGGGGAAGAAAGAAAGGGGTAAGGTTGGCCGTTTTCACGGCGACAGCGATTCACGGAAATTGCGTCGCGTGATTTGGAAGGGAACGTGGGCCCAAAAGCTCACGCATGCGCAGGGGATAAATATGACGTCAAGCGTAGTAGCCGACGTCGGGTGCCTAAAACTCGAAAGCTCGCTAACGACGCGACCGTAGCATTCAAGTGCGTGCAACATTATGTTAAACCGAAGCGTGAGGAGAACTTCAGTCTTTTTCGCGGACGCTACTATAGCGCGCTGACCCAGTTAAACAGTATTTGCCATGATACACTCCCTTTAAGAGAGAAAATGCTGACGATGATGATGAACTTGTCTGTCAGATTGCATATTTGAGTATTTCTATGCATACTCAAATGACTCAAATAACATAACATTATATGATCACTTGTGTGCGACTGAGCATTTCATCAATTTTTGACATATTTGCGTGTTTGGCAGTTGGTTCTATATAGGTTACTGTCATTTTGTCCTCCAGACGTGTAAGTTATTACAATTGTTTTGTTCTTTATTCTGCAGTCAATTACCGAGGTTCGTTGGGGTTTGGGCAAGCCTCCATCGATTCCCTCCCTGGCTTTATTGGAATCAATGATGTGAAAGACATTCAGGTGAGAAAAATCTGTTGTTGGTTAAGAGAGTGCAGGATAGAATATACACCTTATCAACAAGCACATTTTCTCACGAAAGGTAATGGTAATTGTAACGATAATGGTAATTGTAACGATAATGGTAATTGTAAATGTAAATGTAATTGTAATCGTAAACTAATTTTAATGGTATTGGTAATGGTAATTGTAATCGTCTTTTTACATGTAGCTGCATACAAATTTGTAATGTAAATTTTTGGGGTGATTATAATATAAAAAGAAAGCAGATGAAACTATAGAACTTGCAGATCCTGACCAAGAAGCAGTGTTTGGTGGCTATTTTACAAGATTGTGCAATTTTTTAACCACCCTATAATTTGTTTCTGATCAACAGACAGCAGCTGAACAGCTGAAGCAGTGATAGAACAAGGTCTTGCAGATCAATCGATCTATCAATCTCTCGATCAATCGATCGAGATCAGAGGCCTATTATAATATTATTGATTGTACAAGTTTTTAAACCACCCTATAATTTGTGTCTGATCAACAGGCAGCAGCTGAAGCAGTGATAGAACAAGGTCTCGCAGATCCAGACAGAGTAGCTGTGTACGGTGGCTCACATGGTGGTTCCTTGGCTATGCATATGACTGCACAGTATCCAGTAAGTTTTGAGAATTGGATTGAATTTGGTCTACATAAGTTTAAGGTCTATTTTCGTTGCACAATTACAAAATCCTACATTCACCACAATAAAGAAATGAAATGAAATGAAATGAAATGAAATCTTGCTTTATTTAAGAGTAAATTGTGCTCAACTTTAATAGATAGCAGATGTGAGTGGCTGTAGTTCATGCACACACAATGATATTGCAGAAAAAAATGTTGTTATCTTTATATCAAACCGTAAAATTGTACTGGATGTACATAATATGTGTGCCGTATCTGCTCCTGAAGACTAGCTGTTGTTAAAACAAGTATATCGAGCAATGTTATGTTTATCACCTTAGAGTAGCTACAGATATATGTACGTGCTTGTAAAGATGTTCATCCTTCCTCTCACTTGTATATTTATTACTCATACAGCAGTGGCCACCATGAGTGCTGCAGGCTACAGCACTCATGGTCTTTGGTTTAATATGTCCCACAGAATTCAACTTAATATTCAGTGTATCAATTGATCTAGTTCTTTTTCTGTAAATTTCGTATTTTTGTAGGATTTTTACAAGGCGTGTATTACAAGGAATCCAGTCACTAATCTTGCAGGTAAATAATTAACATTAAATAGCTATTATTTCAAGGAAATCTATTTTTACCCATGATAATTCAGGTGATTTCATGTAATTTAGTTAAACAAATGTTAGTGCTGTAGGGTTAATCTGTGTATGCCTTTAATGACATTAGGACAATGTTTCTTGCTTAATGACTGTACAGAATCGATGGCAAATTGTATGGTCATGATATAGTCAATCAAGAACGAAACATCTATCAATCAAGTTACATTTAATTTTTTGATGTTGTACAGGACACATTTCATATAAAGTTCACCCTATTCAGGAACTCTCATGCAGTGTTTCAATAGGGGAATGCTTTACTATTTACTCTACCAGTACTTACATGTAGTGTGTATGAGATGTGAGTAAAATGATAAGAGAACTTCTGAGACCACAATTGCTTTCATTTTAGGAAAGGATGTTTTAAGAAAGCATGGATTAAAAAGAATAACACACAAAAGAAAATGATAATAAAATTATAAATAGATGCTAATGAAAGAGAAACAAATGTGTTGAATAATGTTTTATCCCCTTTTTGTTTTGTTTTCCAGCCATGCTTGGGGGTACAGACATTCCATCTTGGTACGCTGATTTTCTTTCTTATCTCTTGTTACGTACTCTTATTTCCAGATAAACTTTTCTGTGGAGATATACTAGACTTGTGAGTGAAAAGTCATAAAGAAGCTGTTCCTTGCCTGTGGATGATAGAAAAGAAAGCTATAAGGCAGACAGGACAACTTCAAAATATTTTGTGAAGATATGAAATTAAGAAAGAGGAAAAGTGTTTTGGACCTGAATTCTGATCACACAATTAGATTTATTGATCTCGTTAGACTATGCCAACAAACAACAAGTTTATGGGATGACGGACCTTCTATGGGAAATCTATTTATTTAGATGGTCATATCTCAGCCAATACTGAACTTATTCAATTGGTTTTCAACATTTGGACATTATTTTGTATGCTCTTTCGGAAAATGAAGATAAAATTGAGAAATTCTAAAAATAGATTTTTGATGACGTCACACGTGCATGATAATTATTGGCCCATGTAATGATTCATAACATGTCATTTTTAACTCTGCATTCTGTCTTCATCACCAGTCTGAAATAGCCTGGCTTTATTTGTTGGCAAAAGTCTTCTAAGTTTAATTGTTGGATCAGAAACCTTATTTGAACGAACTGTATCAATCTGATAAGCCTCTTCGAGGGAGGAATAAGGTAAAATGCATATTGTTTTTTGATGATGCATGCCACCACATTTAGATTGGGTGCCATCAAATTCTCTGCCATTTGGTATCCGGCCCACCTATAGCTGCTCATGTAAAGTAAATTGCATACTAATAATATGCCTTGCTGCCAATAATTTTTTTAGTGCATTTGTCATTACTGTATTGAAGTTTAAATTGTGATTACTATACACGGCATACAACAAGTATTCTTCTCTTTTTCATAGGACAATGACAGAGGCTGGTATGGATTTTGATTTCAAGAAAGCGCCATCAGCCGAGATGTATGCTAAGATGTTCAACTGTTCTCCTATGGCTCATATTGACAAGGTATGTAAATAAGTCTTGGATGTGATAGTAAAAATAGAATGGTTGAATCAGGCAATATCAAATGCTAGGAGAAAATATAGTGATTATAGACACGTTATTACTCTTATCTGCCCTTCTCACAATTAATTACACATAAGCACAGAGAAGATTGCAGCACTCAACTTTTGCTGCATTTTACTGATATCTTTCATGATTGTGCTTTCACTTTCCATTTCTTAATGCAATTTGGCAAAAACTTTGCCATAAAACAACTTAAAATGGATTAGTCATACATTCATAAAACGAAAGTATCATTTGTAGAAACAGGGATGCCAGTGAGAATTGATCAGAGGGCCTGAAAATCACCTAGAATGAGCTATTTTGTACAAAAAAGCCTCAACTATGGTCTGAAAATAACTCGCCAGGGCCTGAATTCAGGCCATTGCCTGAAAAATGGCATCCCTGTAAAAACACTAATTCATCACAATAATTCAATGTATCTACCAATTATTTACTCAAACGTCACATCCGTGCATGCCCCACCCCAGTACATCTCCCCCTCCCTCTCCTTTTCGCGCAGGCCGAGAGAACATAATTTTAGGGTACGTTTATGCTCAGCTTTTTCTGGCCAGAATGAGGCATCTGTCACGCGTTTAGTTCAAAACACGGTTGCGTTCTTTCTCATTTTTTGTAGAATCGCCGATCCTAAACTCACAAAAAGGTGCGTTTACGATCGGCGACTCTGGGGAAGCATAAATGCACAATCATTTGTAAACGCGTTTAAATGGGGTCAACCTAGCAAGTGCAGTGCAGGTGTGCGAATCAAGCTGCAGACTCTGCACTGCACTTCTCTGGCTCCTCCAGGCATAATTCTGGCTCTGAGCCAGAATCGTGCCTGGAGGAGCCAGAGAAGTGAGCATAAACAGTACACCATGGAACTGCGATTACGATGAGCGTTTCAAATCGCTCATTCTGCCTTCAAAACTGAGCATAAACGTACCCATAGACAGCTATGCCACTCGTATAAATATTGAGGATTTTAACCTTTTTGGCCGGTTTGGCTTGTCTTTGATTCCGGCCTCTTTATAATTGTGATTGAATTGATTACGGTTTCCCGATCACTTTTTGTTTTTTAGGCAGAATATTAAATTTCATATCTGCCCCGCATTTCCTCTTTCGCGACCGATTCACAGACTTTGCACACGCGCAGGTGTGTACGCAATGGGGGGGGGGGGGGGGTGTTGGGGGTTAACCCCCCCCCCCCCCCCCTCATTACTTTTTTTGGAGAAAAAAAATGATGTGTTGCTGAAATGTCACGTTTCTATCATTAGGTGAGAGCTCCAACCCTTTTATTGCTTGGATCAGATGACCTTCGTGTTCCACCCCAGCAGGGCATACGCTACCATCAGATGCTCAAGGCACGTGGGGTCAAAACAAGGTCAGTGCATTTTTTATTCAATGATTATCATGCATTTCATTCATTCAAATTTTACTATCAAAACAGTTCAATAAAAAATTTAAAAAAGCATTTTTGAAGGATGTCTCGTTATAGCATTTTATTCTTGCAGACTTGCATAATTATTGGTAAATGGAAAGTTTAACTTTCAACAATTATTTGTATTGAGTTGAAGTTGATATGCAAGACCTTAATGAAGCATGATCCTTTAGTGATGAGCATTATTAGGTAATTAGCTTTCAAACATTGTTCAATTATGATCCATATATAATTTTTGCATGTATTCTCCTGTGTTTAGATTGCTGATGTATACAGATAACAGTCATCCGATCAACAAAGTTGATGCCGAGGCAGATCGTTTGATGAACATGTATACATGGATCACAGAACATCTCTAAACCTACTGCATGATAACAAAAGACATAGTAAATTTGATGATTTCGCTCTGGAATTCCATTTCCAGAATCTAAAGTTATCTTTAATGATCCCTTTTGTTTACAAATTCAACTCGGTATCGATTTCAGAGTCAAATTTTTATTTGAATGTAAGTTGGAATGAATCTGGTATCGGTTTGTACTGTTAAAAGTGGTCCACCTTGTACCATGTTTTACCCAATTCAGTTTGTAACGCTCTTTTATATCTAAATATGTACAATGATTATATCAATGACATTGCGGTTTGTGCTCTGGAATTCATCGTTTCATTTTGTAGTCGGTTGTAGTTGGTCTCAAAAATTATGCTGCATTTACGGTATTATATTTGTAATTTTTAAGTCTGAAATAGTTTACTAACACTTTATCCGATTATTTTTCTAGTTCTCCTTTTCAGCCTTTTAATCTGTCCTACTCTTTATCTGTCCCTATTATTGTGTAGTCTCCTCTCCAGCTTCTCTTTCTCATTTCTCTACATTCTCTCTTTTATTGTCTTACCAGTCTTTCTAATCTTCTACCACATTTGCCTTATTGCCTTCTGTTACTCGTTCTCCTTCCATTATCCTCTAGTCATCCGTTTCAATCTCTTCTCTTGTTTTTCTTTCTTTTCTTTTTTATATCCTTGATTATTCATTGTGAATTGCCATTTATATTAATCTAATGTAAACATAATTGTATTTTACCAAATCGATTTTTAATGTAATGGTTTTGTATGTATCAATCTTTTGTAAATTCAATTCGTTTCAGCCTCTGACTGCTATTTGAATGTTTTTATCAATAAACCTTATCAAATGTTATGATAATGTGTTATGGAAATATTAAGTTTTATAGATGTACATATAATATGTAAAAGAAAACATTTTGACATGAAGAAATTATTGTTTGTATATGTTGTATTATACCTTACATTTAAATGTTCTTTGTCATTCAGTTATATTATATTTGGAAAAATTGCAGAAATAAGATTAAATCAATCAATCAAATCAAATATTTCACCTCTCATCTGGACAATTTTTGCCTTATGCGTTTGGGACGCAATGAGTAGTACATTTTATATTAATGGCATATTAATTCATGTTATTTGAAATTATGTAGAATTTGTGTCTAATTTATGATCGACACCTTTGATGTGACCCATAATAAGAAACAATTTCTGAAATATTGATTGGCATATTTTTTAGCCCTCAATATAACGATTTTATTTTCCTTTGAGATTCTAGCAATGTGGTTATAACTCAGGTGATGTTTTCCTAGGTTCTACTTTATATACCTCGCTTAAAGTAATCCAATATCAGATGTTATTAAAATAATGTCTCTTATATTAAGTTAAAAATGATACCATTGTTGCTCGTGTTTTGTAAATAATCTACTGTATGTAGTGATTGCAAATAATGTACATTTATGTACCTAATTGTGTGATATGAAAAATACATTGCATTTTGTATATTTATCTACAATTCTACATGGCATTTAATGTTCTCATTTTGCTTGTATAATTTGATAACATTCACATTGGGAACACACACTTACTTCTTGTAAAGAGTTTCAATGATGTACGCGCAAAGGCAATGTAAATATCTGTTTCAGAGCCAGAAGGGCATTATAACTCTTTGTTAAAGTATATGAGTTAACGCCCTTCTGGCTCCAATCAGACAAGAAGGTTTTCCATGAAATTTATTCAAGATGACACTGCCATTTTCTTCCACTTGAAGTGGTCCTGACCATCATTGTTAATCTTTGTGGCTAGTATCCTATGGTGTATGTATTCTTCTAGTTTATTTATCTGCCAACAGCCCACAAAAGGGACACTTGTCAGAGGTGAAAAGTGGCATTTAAGAAAAAAAGGAAGAGGTCCTTATTACAAACGGGAAAAGTGCACTTATTAAAAAGAAAAAGGGGCACAAGTCAAAGTAAAAAAAGGGGCAAAAATGTCAGAGGTGAAATGGGGAATTTCTTGCACCTGAAAAGAGGTACTCAGCAGAGATGAAAAGAGGCACTTATGAGAATGGAAAAGAGGTGCTTACTATAAAGGATAAAGGGCACCTGTCAGATTTTGATAGTGGCAATTATTGGGGGTGAAAAAAGAACATTTATGAGAAGCAAAAGGTGAACTTATCAGGAGGTAAAGGGGCACTATTTAGAAAGGAAAAGGGGCACTTGTCAAAGTAAAACGTGTACTTGTCAGATTTGAATAGGGGCCATTATCAGAGGTGGTAAGAAGTGCTTTGATGTTTTGATGTAAACATTTATTCATTTTTATATATTTTTTCCCATTTGCTATGTTTTCTTTATAATTATACAATTATATATATATATATATCTGTTTTTGAATGTTTCTTTATATGATTGTATGTTTGATGTAACCTTGCATTTTTAGTCTTTGGACTTTTTGACAAGTCTTGAATAAAACCTAATTTGAATTGAATTGAATTCTCGTACCTGAAAAGGCAACTTACCAGAGATGAAAAAGGGCACTTATGAGAATGGAAAATGGTCACTTATTGCAAAGGAAAAGGGGCACTTTGGATGCCGCCTCTGTGTCAGACTATACCTCCATATCTTTAAAACACAATTGATAACTTAATAGAGTTAGAGAATGAAATCATTGTTTGGTTTTATTCAGACACTTATCCATGTCATTGTGCCTTTAGATTGCTCGTTACCATATGGGAGGAATGTGATAGAGGACTTGAGAGAAAGAGCCCCAAGTTATACAAGTGCGAAGAATGGGTAGGCTTATGTCCCACAGCCTAGACACCGAGTGCATGATGTACGCTGTCACAAACATGTGTGCAGTGTGTCGTGCAGCTGCAGATCGTTAGACTTGAATTCGAGTTGTAGAATTAAGAGCATATTTTTTGTGTGTGTGTGTCTCAAAATTTGGTCGATCGGTATTTCGTTTCGTTGGGGGGGGGGGGGGGGGGAGGGGGGTTAAGGTCAGTTTTTTGGGTCACCTATTACCACAATTGTTTTAATTTTTTAAATTTTTTTTAAATTTATTTATTTATTTTTTATTTTTTTTTGGGGGGGGGGGGCACGTATCATTGTTAAAAAGGATAATTATCAGAGGTGAAAAGGGGCACTTATCGCATCTAAAAAGGAGCACTGACCATATATAAAAAGAGGCACTTATGAGAATGAAAAAGGGGCACTAATAGTAAAGGGAAATGTGCATTTGTTGAAAGAAAAGGGGCACCGATCAGATTTTGATAGGGGCATTTATTGGAGGTGAAAGGGGTCTTTAATGAAAAGGGGGAAGAGGCACTTATATGAAGGGAAAAAAACACTTATTAGGAAGGAAAAGGGGCACGTGTCAAAATAATAGGGGCTGTTATATTAGAGATGAAAAGAGCACTTATCAGGAGGAAAAGGGGCACTTGTCAAAATAAAACGAGTATCTCTCAGAATTGAATAGGGTCATTTATCAGACATGAAAATGGGCACTATATAAGAATGAAAAAGGACTGTTTTTCATAGGTGATAGGGGGCATTTATGAGAAGGGAAAGGGCTCTTTTTTAAATGGGGGCACTTATCATAATGAAAAGGGGCACTTATTAGAAAGGAAAGGGGGCACATGTGAAAATATAAGGTGCGCTTATCCGAGTTAAAAAGGGGGTAGTTATTAAAAGAGAAAGGGGCACTTCTTACAAAGAAAAAGGGGCAATCGTCAAAGTAAAAGGGGCACCTCTAAGATTTGAATAGGGTAATTATCAGAGGTGAAGGGGACGCTTAACAAAAGTGAAAAGGGGCGCTTCTCGTACCCGAAAAGGGGCACTTACTAGAGATTAAAAAGGGCACTTATGAGAATGGAAATGATGGACAATTATTGAAAAGGAAACTGGAAACTTGTCAGGGAAAAGAGGTACGTGTCAAAATAAAAGGGGCTCATATCAGAGGTGGAAAGGGGAGGGGTCACTTTAAAAAATGAATAGGGGCACTTTTCAAAGTAATAGGGGCAATTTTTATGTAAAAAGGTCTTACAAAGTTAAAGGGGCACTTTTCCTATGTAAAAAGGGGCACTTTTGGGGTAGGCCTACTTGAAAAAGTGGGGGGGGGGGGGCTATGCCCCCCGTCCCCCACCCCCCCCCCCCCTCCCGGGCGCGCCGCCTCTGATTGAATGTTTAAAATCTTTAAAATGTCAGTTTAAGTTTCTGATTCAAATTTGATAGTTTAGATTTATAAAGATTTTTTTTTCTTCTAAATAATATTCATTTGTTACTTGACAACACCCTTTTTTAAAGGTAAACTCTCGACGACTAACCAGTTGGAAATTTGTTGTCAATCTCGAACTTCGAAGACTCATACAAACTTGAGAAAGGTTCAGTCACAGCCTTAAAAAATGGTGAGTCCAAATGAATTGAGATGCTCTCTATAGATAAGATTGTTTATGATATTAGGATTTAAACAGATTCTACAGAAAAACCTATTTCTTGGCGATCTGTTGTCTGCTTGACTGTCGAGTGCTAGCTAGCGCCTTCCTTTTTTCTTAGCCCTGCTGATGCGCTCATGCACGGGGGACTCGGCCCGTAGCCGAACCCTGGCGCGTTAGCTTTCTCCCAATGATCATGCGATGGGCTCCGGCTCGCCTCATTTTTTTCTGAGGCACAGATTGGGGCTTTTAAAAAAAAAAGAGGTCTTGATTTAACCCTAACCCTAACCCTAAACTTCCCCATAGGCTCAACATGCACCTAACCCCAATCTTTGCCGCAAAAAAAAATAACGCCTCCGGCTCCGGCTCCATAGGCGTGGCACAAGTGGGCTCGCGTTCGTCTGCCTTTCGGCACGTGACGTTTGTTTTATTTTACCTGACTGTAGCATGTGTATGCTTGTTAGTGAGCAGCCAGGAGACCGACGGCTTTAAGTCATATCCGAGGGACTTGGTTATGAGGGTTAATGCCTTTCCAATTAGCCAAAGGAAAAGCACTCCAGCAAAGCATAGATCTAAGTTAGAGAGTCCATAATTGACCTCTAGCGCTGTACTACGTGCTAAGAGGCAGCAATTGCACACATGAATAGTCAATACACATACACACGAATGCACACAATGAATACGATGTGGCTGATCAGCAAGTTTGATAGTAGTAGTAGGGTCTAGTCCCTATAATTAGTAGACTCACGATTTGAATTTTCAATTTATTCTTTCTAACATCGGTAAGTCGAAAAAAATGTATTTTACTGCTATTTCGGTATTAATTGTCACTAAAGACAAGTCACTGATTTTGAGTGAAATCAGTTGAGTTTTGTACAGTGGTGTTTGAAATGTTGAGAATCAATAGAACAGTTTTTAATTAGGCTATTTTTAATACACAGTCTGGAAATGCAGCTATGTGTGAGCCATAGTCAGAGTCATAGTCAGAAGTGTATTCTCTAGTTTTCAGACCCATATTAATTTTGAGATAAATTCTTTCTTCAAATGTGTATACTGAATATGTTTTTATGTTTGGAATGTTGAAGTTTGGTAATTTTTATATTGTGCTGATGCCTAAAACATAGGACACAACTTTTATTGCATAGTATTTTTTCTTAGAATGTATAGGGGTGTATTTTATAAACTATCAAATGAAAATATCTGGGGTACCCATCTCAAGAACAAAAATGATTCACCGGTCACTGTGATGAAATACTCACAATAACATTTTACAAAAAGTGTTTTTATTGTATAATCTACACAAATTTTGAAGTATATATAGCATCTCTTATTTCCTGGAATCATTTTCAATCTTTTTTTATTCCTAATTCATTTAAATAATTGCAGTTTTCCTAAGATTATTTTTTTTTATAATCCAGTGGTATTGCGACTAAGGCTATGTCTTGGCTCCTCTTTTTGCCGATAGTATCGATTTCACAAGATATCTAGCTAGTAAGCTCTTCATGAAACGGTTTAGGAAGATCACAGACATCTCCGTAGTTGGCGGATAAAGTTATGACTGTCTTGTCATTAGTTTCGAGGAACGGGCCCCAGCATGCTGATCTAGATGTAATCTAGTATGTATATCTTAAAATACAGCAATCTGGAAAACGCTAACTTGTGCAATTGTGCTGATTGTACTATGACATTAAAATGCTGAAATGTTTGATTTCATTATTTTGTTTCATTTCAGGATTTTCCATCTGTTGAGAGGGCAGTGAAAGTGTACAGGGAGTGTGCTAGTGCACCCTCTCTCTCTTCTGCTTCCCTACAAAAGACTGGAGACAGTGTGTTTAGTGTACACTCAACGTGGAGCCAGAGAGATCTAGAAAGAGAATGTAACATCAAGTATAGACAGACCCATATTGTGACTCTTGACAGCAATGGACAAATAGGAGATGTCATAGATCCAGGAACCAACACTGAACTAAATTCAGAGTAAGATGAAATTTTGATATGCATAGCTTATTGCATCTAATGTTGCTGATGTTTGTAATTCTCTGTGTTAAAATTTGTTCTCATTGGGGGTTTTAGGCTTCAGATTTTTTTCCTTTTTTCGGGGGGGGGGGGGGGGGGGAGGTGAAGCAGGATACAGTGTTATTAATCTTTTATGGATTGTGCAGTAGTAGAACTGAATGTCATATTTATTAACTCGTGTACTGGCACTTGCCAGGGTAATCCTACTTTACAGTTTTGAACAACTGAATTATTCATTTGATGGTTTTGCGGTTTTCTTAACTCAAGAATGAAAGATGAATTGGTTGAATTATGGCCTTTGTTGAATATTGTTAGATATAAATAAGTTTTGATATGTCACATTCTCAAGAAAATTACAAAACTTTGTAAGGGTATGAATAATTAAGTTGTTAACTGTATACTATACATAAGAAAGCTGATAGTCTGAATACATATTGTATAGGGTTTCTATTCCCACAGCCCACAGGGGATATGTCAATCATACAGAGAGAAGAAAAAAATTGGTGATTGATGCCCTGTAAAATGGAATCATAAACAATGAGAGAAAATACACTCTCTCTCTCTCTCTCTCTCTCTCTCTCTTCTCTCCTACAGACAGCTGGTGCGATGGTCACCTTCCGGAAAGCTCAAAGCTGTGCTGAGGAAAATTAAGGATAAGAAAGGCGATGAGAAACAATATTTGGAGGTGAGTTCTTATCTTTTCTTTCATCGCATTAATACTTTAATTATTTCAATAGATGGAATACTAAAAGAATGCTAATGGAAAGAGCTGATAATATGGCAAGTTGAAATCACTGAAAATATTGAAATAACCACTAAAAATATCAAAAATACTAAAAAGAATCAGACTGCAGAAATTATGATAAATTTTACTGGAAGATCGAAGCAGGTGCTGAGTACTTAATATTCATCTGCCAATCAGTGAAATGCACTTTTATGGCAGGTTCAATCTGATTTAGCTGATCTTTTTTCTGCCATGTTTTCCTTATCTTAACATATTGGATGTCTTTCCCCCTAGAAGGTATTCTGGCCATAGGTTCAATCTATGAACAATTTAAGTACCGGTAGAACAGGTGTAGAACAGGTGTCACATGAATATTCACTTGTGCTACTTATTTTTATATAATAGCAGGAAAGGGATGTTCCTTTGTCTACCACTGCAATCGTTAAGGGTAGAATGAGGAACTGTATATTTTGTCTGATTTCTTTGTCCGTCATGTTCATAGTGATATGAGCATGTAAAATGTGTATTTCTTTGCTTTTTCTGTACATATATTTTTTGACAAGGAAAACTGATCTCCTTTCTTGTTTTTACAGGTCTGGAACAACATTGCAAAGATTCATAATATCAATCTGACTGCCCTTGACAAACATGGCAAAGTGTATGAAGATGGTGGGTAATTTATTAATTATATTTCAATAATAATTCTTTGATATGCTCATTCTGTCATTGTAGAGATATAATCGTACCTAAGTGCTAAGTTGAAAATGTAGGTATTAGTCATATACTTGTGATCTTTGACCTCTTAATCAAATTTGATCAAAGAATGAGGTGACAATATAGTGCAATTTATGAGTTACTTGGGTTCTTTAGATATTTTAAATGGGGGTGCCTGCATGTAATATAAATTTGTTCTCTCAAATATCAGTAATGTGCTACAACATAATTGTGATATCAACTATCACTGAAGCTTAATGTCATGTGATATAAAATTGCATTTTTCATTCTTAACATTAGGAACCAGAGCACTATAACACTGAGTTCCCATAGGACATCTATTTATTCAGATGGTCATATCTCATCCAATACTTAACATATTCAATTGGTTTTCAACATTCAGACATTTTTTTTTATGCTTTTGCAGTCTTTTGGAAAATGAAGAAAAAATTGATGAAATTCTAAAAATAGATATTTATGATGTCACAGCTTCAGTAGTATTGGGAAATTTTGAAAATGGGGTGGATAGTGATTCTTTACAATTTTGATATATTTGGATGCCCCTGTGGATGAATTATAAGCACTAGAAAATTCAGCCCCTAAAACAAATTCTGCTTTTAAGAAATATTGAATATAAAAATTTACCGGTACTCCCGGTACATTTTGATAAATTTCAAATAGCGCCTATGGCCGTACAATGGTAGCTGCGACCATGAAAATCTCAGAATATGTAGTTGTGATATATAATATTATTATATTATATTTTTCATCATCAGGTGAATTTGGATGCTTGGAGTGGTCTAGTTGTGAATCTCAACTTCTGTATGTGGCAGAAAAGAAGCAACCCAAAGCTGTCTCTTATTTTGATAAATCTAAAGAAGGTGGCTCTGAAGAGAATCCTGAAACAGATGCTAAAAAGAAAGATCCAGAAGTTAAGGTATAAATATGTATGATCTATGTTTCCTTTACGTTGGATTTCCTATATATTTTGTTTGCAGACAGGTACTAGGTCACGTTTGGTTCACTGAAAGCAAAAGAATGAATAGAAATATAATCCAAATTGTAGCACGTCACTGTTATTTTGTTTAGTTTTTGTGTAGGTTACTTTGTATATATCTCTTATTTTGATTCTGGTATCAGAAGTCATAATGATGTATTTGTCAGATTCAACCAAATTTAAATTTGAAAATAGTGATAGAAATTTAATATGATGTCCAGAGGAACCTTGCCATAGGGATAACTACATTGTGTTTATTTTTATTTGTTAAAGTTTATTTTCAAAGAAAATCATAAATATGGCTAATAATATATTAATGGAAAGCGGGAAGCATGTAGAAGACCATGATATTCATTATATGTATATCATAAAAATATATGCAAATCCCTCTAATACACATTTTAGAAACACTTCTCAGATTCTTAGAACCTGGAAGTTGACAGTAGCGCAATTTTTTTTTATATTTGTGACATAGTTTAATGGACACTGTGGCGGGCACGCCGTATTCAGTACAGCGCTATGTATGCAACAACACATACAACTACCTACATCTTTGACCCAACAAAGCCAGGTCTAGTCCGTGCAATCTTATGTTTTTTGGTATGCAGAGAAAAGTAACATGAATAGAGTAAAAAGATAAACATACCAGGTAATCTTTGTTTGTTGGGACTTTCCTTGCTTTATGTCTACCTGTTAAATAAGAAATAAAAGATAGCCTCAACATAGCTATAACTTGTCGATCTCGAAGGCAGGTGGACCTTTTCGACGGCAGTGGCGGATCTAGAGGTGCCCGGGGGTCCGGGCCCCCACCCCTGGGGAAAAAACGTGAAAAAAAATATTTATAATCAATGAATATCAACTTAAAAGAGTAAGAATGAACTATGAACAAATTCATTGAATTATCTGCACAAGATCATCATGACCATGAGTCATGTGCAGCGATTCAGATTTGCTTTAGATTTTTACAGATTCATAAAGACTCATCCCTTTTGGGGGCTGGCAAGTCAAAAAATATAAATATAATTTTGTCCTTGGTACAGGGAGACCAGTTTGTCCATCGTCAAGATTGGGGTGAGCTATTGGTTGGGAAGCATTCTCCAGTGCCATGCATCTTAAACCTTCAGACTGGTCAGGTGACTATACCAGAGGGTCTGCCCAATGATGTCTCTGTCGGTCAAGCGATCTGGACTCCCGATGATAGCGGGATAGTGTTCACTGGATGGGAGAATGAGCCGTATAGGCTAGGATTAATCTACTGTAGGAACAGAAGGTAGGAATCATTTTATGCCTTATTTTCGTTCATGATGTTTTTTTGCATGATGAACCATTTGCATTTCATGTATAGAGTAATTTGCTGATTTTATTATTTCTACAGGTTTTGCAGAAATATATTGATACATCAACAGAAAAGACATTCAAATATTCCACTTGTGTAATGTTCTTGCCCCTGCTTCATACATCAATCATTTCCAGTATTACTTGGTAATCATTTTTGTATTTTGCAACTTGGCAAGTTATTTGACTGGCTTTCAATTTTCAGTTCATTCTACCGGTAGTTGATATGATTCTTAGAGTTTATAATTTGTGCAGTGTTTATTTTCATCACAAGTAATGCTTATTTGTATTAAAATAAAAAGTACTTTTGATTGAATGTATTCACTTGTAATTCAATCTCTTCTGCAGGAGTGCCATCTATCATCTGGATCTGTCAAGTCAAACCTGCAGTAAGTATGTGAACATAATGTAGTTTAGATAAGAACATAAACTACAGAAAGCAACCAATCATTATTCTCATATCGTAACTGCCAACCATTCCAATTTTGGAGGAATAACTTCTATTTTCTACCTTCAAACCAGTGTTATGAACCCTATATTCCTCACAATTCCCGAAAACATCTGTATCAAAGCATGTAAAATACACTTTGTTCCTAATTTTGACTTTTTACTGTAGAAGGTTAGCAGGTATGCAGTATATCTTTATTATTCTTTTTCTTAATGATTATTCTCCAGACACCATCAGCATCACAGGTCAATCTGTGAGGTCACCTGTCTTTAGTCCTGATGCTTCTAAACTGATCTATATCCAGAATTCCTGCCATGGCCCTCACATGCAATGTGCTCAACTCATTGTGGTAAGACAGTAGACCCAGAAACATGGTTCAACTTCTTGTACAAAGAGTGCACTGGTTTTTTACCCATAAACATGGTTTCAACTTCTTGTACAAAACATGCTCTAGTTTTTTTTGTGAGCCATTATAAAACAGCTGAGGAAAGTGGTAAACATCATCTCACTCTGACCTCGGGTTATTCTTATAGAAGGCTTACCGTAGATATATATTTGATGAAAGAGTTTGACCCCATGAAGTGGTATTGACCAATCCATAATGCCTAGGTCACATATAAACCGGGCCCCGTACGATTTTCCCTACCCGGCGGCTTGCCGTAGATTTAGAGACCGTACGGGAACCGTCCGATTTTCATTTCTACGGCATGTGTGGTCACATATTATGCGGCGCCCGGGAGGTGCCCGGAGAAAATTGGTCGATTGAAATGCAAGGCGCCCGTAAGGGTGCCGGCAGGGTGCCGACCGGTAACCTTACGGGCTCCGTCCGATGAGCAGGTGTACCGATGGCTCCCGGAAGGTGCCCTGCCGGGGCCCGGCCGGGGTCCTCAAGGCGCCAGGCCGGGTGCCGTGCGGTGCACTGAACTACAGAGTGAGTCAGAAGAAATGTCCCACTTTTTAAAAGTTGTATTGTCTGAAGTATGAATATTTAATCATGGGTTTCATGATATATCTTGATAGAGTTATCCTCCCAGTACATTTAGGTACCATTTTCATTTGAATCCCTGCATGCATCACTGAATATCAGACACTGCCAGATCTCACTTGCGCCAAGTTACTTGGTGAGGAATAAAACAATGCATTGGACAAAGACAGTCAGACACGTGCACACACCAACACGCACACACACAACACACACAACACACACGGTGACAATTATTTCATAATTGCCCCTTTTCTGATTGAGCATTGATTTTTATCAAGATCGCTGAATGTTTAAGTGGCATAACCCTAAAGTAAAAATCTTTCCCTTTTAAACACATTCACTACCACGATCATGTCATCATTGTCATCATCTTAATCTTCATCATCATCATCATCATCATCACCATCATCATCATCTAGCACAACATCCGCCAATACGCACCAAGAGGACAGCGGCCACTCAACTTTTCGTACGATAAGAAGAATTCCTGACAAAAAGTAACAGTTTTGGTAGGCCTTGTCGGGAATGGAATGCTCATTTGTGGACGTGTGCCTGTGCATGTTCGTATATATATATATATATATATATATATATATATGTGTGTGTGTGTAGGGGGGGTGCGTGTATTTGTGTGTTTTTGTCTGTATGGCTGATTAGATAATTGAACAAAATGGCTGTCTTTGTTCAAAACATTATTTTGTTCCTCACCTAGCAACTTGGCACAAGTGAGATCTGTCAGTCTTGTAAAGATTGTCTGATGTTCAGTCATGCATGCAGAAATTCAAATGAAAATGGTACCTAAATGTACTGGGAGGATAACTCTATCAAGATATATATCATAAAACTCATCATTAAATATTCATACTTCAAACAATACAACTTTTAAAAAGTGGGACATTTTTTCTGACTCACTCTGTATGTGTCCTCTGGTATCCGTACCTCCTGTATTTAAATCTGCGTTGTACATTTCGAGATGCCGCCGTGAGGGACCCGCACGGGCAATATTCATTTTAAATGGCCCCCGGACGGCAGACGCCTGTTGTTGTGCATATCACCCGGGACTCTTGAGGGGCCCGTGAGAGCGCCGTAGGGTACACGTACGGAACCCTTGAGCACCGCAAGGCGCCCGTAAATATTTTTTATTAAAATTGAAGAAAAAATTCGTAAGGGGCCCGTCCGGGCACTGTCCGGAGCCCGCACGGGACCCGTAAGGTGCCTCACGGGCCATTTAACGGGTTTTCTACGGGCTAACGGTCAGTTAAAAACACCGGGAGAATTGGCAGCAGCCAACTCAGCACCACGGGGCCCGTACGGCTTAGAAAACTGTCCTGGCGCCCGTAGGAACTTGTCGGCAGCCGGCCGGACACCGGCCGAAAATTCCCAAAATGTCTGTTTTTACTCGCCGTGCAGGCCCCGGAGTGTATATGTGAAAGCCCCATTAGCAATGGAAAATCTCCTATATTATATATATATGTATATAGAAATTGCTGTTGATACCTAGGTAGATGTTAATACATGTAATTATAATATAAGGTTCAATAGTATGATGCTGCTGCTGCTAAATATTTGTTTACTATGGACAAAATATTTGTACATTTGAGGTGGAGTTAGTATACCGTACCTGATATTCTCTGTTGAGAGTTGTATTTTCTTGCATCATTTATATGCCTCCGCCACACGTAGTGAGTACCGGAGACATTGTGTATTTGGGTTGTCCTTCCGTAATTATTCTTGTGAACTTGATAACTTAGGAATGAATCGAGGTTTCATAGTTAAACTTGGTGAGAGTATGTATGACCCTGTAAAGATTACCTGATTAATTGTTGGGGTCAAGAGGGAAAAGGTCAATTTAATTGTGCCAAAATATCTTGTTAGTGCATAACTTGAATATGAAATAAGGTATCGTAGTGAAACCTGGTATGTATTCAAGTAGTCAAAGAGTATGTATATGCCATGTAAATATCATTAGGTGCTGTGGGACCTACTTCCTTTAATCCAATAATTAAAAAATACTGATTATGTTGCAGGTGGAGGCATATTTTCAACTGCCTGGAGTCAACTTTTTTCTAGTTTTGTAATGAAATCTGGCTTTCCTTCTTTTACAGTATCACTGGGAGAGCAAGGAGACAAAGGTTACAGTTGATATAGTTCAAAGACCTACAGGTATATTCTTAGGAGTAGAAAGCCTTGATCTGCCACTTTGAAATTCCTCTTCGTGGTATGATTCACAGCATTAGTATACAGATAATGCACTGTTGCAAATGTGTTAGCGCAGGGCCAGTGCATGAAGTTTAGTCAGTGCACCTAATTAACGCACGCACCCTTCGCAGGGTAAGTGCGTTTTCGATATAGTACTGACTAAACTGAGTGCACTGGAACTGCCCTATTAAACACACAAGCGAAACAGTGCATATCCATATATTGTAAAGCGCTTTGATATCAATCTCATATGAAAAGCGCTATATAAGTAAAAGTTATTATTATTATTATTATTAATATGCAGCATAAATTGTTTGTAGGTTGATTAGTCAACACAGATTAGTTATTCAGTGAGTAAATATGCAAGCTACTTTATTATAATGAGGAGCATTTGACACCCCAGCTACTTTCTTAAAGGTAATACAAAGTTTTGGTATGGGGTCATGAATTTGGTTCAAATGAACATATTGGAAGCATATGCGATCCTACAATATTCAGTGATCGTTGTCACGGTTGAAATTGAGTCTTAAGTTATGGAATTGTAAATAATAAACTCTTTATGTTGTATAGCTCCCTCTCAAGGTCAACAAAATAATGTCTTTTGACTGAAATCGACCGATTGGCTATTTCTGTTTGGAAATTATATATCACAACTACATATTTTGAGATTTTTATGGTCGCAGCTATAACTGTATGGCCGTAAGCGCTATTTGAAAATTTACCAGTGCTCCCGGTAAATTTTGATATTCAATTTTACTCAAAAGCAGAAGTGTTTTAGGGGCTAACTTTTCTAGTGCTTATAATACATCCACAGGGGCATCCAAATATATCAGAATTGTAAAGAATTACTATCCAACCAATTTTCAAAATTTTCCATAACTTTGTATTACCTTTAAGCTGGAGGTAGCTCTTTTTTATTGAATATATTAAATATGAACCTTGACCTAGAGAAAACCCTTTCGTTTTTAGCCAACAGCTACTTCCTGGATCAGTTGCACTATGTTACATTGATTACACTATACTCTCTGGGGAGCAAAGAAAAGAGAAGAAAAAAAAAAGAACTGTGTAGAAGTTCATTTACTTATACATTCAACAGATAAGGTTGAATACTATATTTTCTTTATATCATACATTCATTTATTTTGTTTTTTTAATATTGAGAATGGATTTAATATACCATAATATCAAGAGATATACTCATTGGATAGCATTGGAGATACAACAATGAAGCAGTAAGATAGGAATTTAAATTTGCATACATATCTTTGTAGTAGAGTCTACTGGAATTTTATGAAACACATATTTCTTTTAAGGGCAGATTGAAGGAAGCAAGAGAGTTTAAATGAAATTTATTAAACAGAAATAAAGGGGAATGTTCTTTCATATTTTATTTACATGTATTTAAAATACACACACACACTTCATCATGGGGTAAAATGTCATACTATGTCCTCTCTTCATGTAGATAGTTTGTGCCATGTAATCTTTATAATTTGTTATTCCTTGGGCTTTATCTTACAGAAGGGAGGCCCTTCCCTGGTTTATACGTTGGCCGTTTTGAGCAACAGTGTTGGCTGGACAATGAGACTATCCTTGTCAGCACTGCTTGGAGAAGTAGTCAGGTATGATACAACAGTCACAGGTGCTAATCATTGAGTTCAATGTAAAGTAAAAGAACATGTTGGCTGTCATTCACGGATACTATGTCCCTTTTGCAGCCAACATCACATTCTGCAGGAATTATGAATATGTCATGTATGTCCTATCTGTGAAAGACATTTTCAAGCCCCTTTTTTTATAGGGAAGTTCTAAATTAGTATTATCTTTCAAATGCCGTTGGAATTTAACCTTTACATTTTTTCGGCCTGCAAATGGGACATAGTACCTTTAAAGGCTTTTTATCATGAACAGAAATTGCTGAAATAAGATGCAGGTATTGGATGTGGTATTTCATCCTTTATCTTTAGTGAGGTATGATTTAACATGTAGTTCATCTCAAAATTTAGTGAGCAAACTTTATGATATATGTTTTATTGTAGTTTATTTATACAACTCTCTTGATGTGGAAATTAAATGAATATTTCTTGGACTTTCTTCTCTTCATGGACTGATGCCGTGTATATATTTGAAATTAAATATAAAGGTCATTCTCATTTTTCCTCAGACAATTATTGCAATCAATATCTGCACAGGAGAAGTGACAAGACTTACTAATGGCCCAGATTTTGGTAGTTGGATGTTTTGTGACATCAAACAAAGACTTATTCTTGCATGCAGATCATCACCAACCCGTTCAGCTCAACTGGTAAGCTTAAAACTTTCTTTTGTTGGCACTTTGTCGTAGTTTATGTTCATGCTTACATTTTCCTAAACTGGATCAATTTTGAGCTTGCAAAATGTGTAAACCAATGTGTTCTCATTAATTCTATTTGTATACCTACTAGAAACATCAAGTTTTAGGGTTATCCCCTGTCCATCTGCTCCATCTAATGTAGTATTTGTATTACAATTTGAGGCTTGAACTTCCAACTTGGTGGATACCCCTACAACATTAGAAGAAATTTAAACCAAAATTTCATAAATGCTATTCAGGAATCTTTCTGACAAAACCTTGGAAACAAATCATCTTAATAGTTTTATTTCTGATTTATATGTAAAAGGTTGTAGGTGTAATACCTCAGGAAGGAGATATATCATGTATCAACTGGAAACCTTTACATGAATCTAGTGTGATCCTGTCAGATGTAATCTGGTCTGTTATTACACTCAAACCAAAAACTGAGCAAGGTGAGAATGCTGAGAGTTCTGCTTCTACTCTAATTACATTTGTATCATAATCATTGTCACAACCACCACCAACACCACCACCACCACCATCTACACCACCACCACTACCACACCACCACCACAACCACAACCACCACCAGTACACTGTATCAGTCAAAGAACCACCATTTGGCATTAAACTGTATGCACATAGTAGATTTCTTATAATTATAACATAATCTTAGCATTATCATTGTGTGATTATGTGATGAAAAGCAACAAACCATTTGTTATTACAAGGTTTAGAGACCAACCCACATGTTTGTTAAATCACAGCATTGTTCTAAAATTATACCTTAATATTAAATCTTATCTTCTGTTCACCTAGTCATGGAGAGAACAAAAAAAGTGTATGTTTTTGTGTTGCTCTATTTGTTTGTATTACAGGTAGTGATATTGATTTTGAAACTATCATCTTGAAGCCAAAGGCAAACTCGGGCAGTCAAGAGAAGAAGCTTCCTCTCATTGTGTGGGCTCATGGTAAGTCCTAGGTTAGATCATGTAATTACTAAATATGGCTGAAGTTATTAAAGGTAAAGACCAGTATTGGAAACGCCCCCATTTCAAAAAATAAAATGGAAGCTCTTATTACCAATCATGTAAAAGAATGTGTTTTGACTAATACATGACAATAAAAATTTTGCTGGGAAACCGCCTACTAATTGATATATTTTGTAAATTAGTTTATCTATTGGGATGTAAGAGATATTACATGTGCGTAGTCCCATATACATCTTTCTGTGTACAGTGCTTGTAACTTTACCAAGACTGGGCCAAATTTCTTATCATTTCGATGATTCCCAGAACCTTGCAGTACACACCAATACTTATATTCTAGATGATCAATCTTTTCTGATCGATTCCACAACGTTTCTTTCACAATGCAATCGCATGACCAGAACTGATCTTTAGCTTTAAAGTGCTGCAGTTTTAGCACGGTCTAGATAAGCATATATGAAAATGACAGCTACTGTTATTTATAAGTATGTCTATCAAATGTCCAATCATTTTTCTACATTTGTGATTATGTTGCTGTTTTAAAAAGGATAATTTTATGTTTGAAGATCAATAAATATATCAAATAATACTACAAATTCTTGTGGGTAGCCATATTTGGTGGACAAGCAGTATATCAGCCATTTCAGTAGGATGTGAAAGGTCAGATTGTTCAGTCTATCACTAAGGATTTTAAATAAGGTAAAAAATGAGAATGTATCTTTTGTGCTATGCTTTACAGAAATTGTTGACCTGATATTCATTTATGAAGTGATTTCAGTCATCAAGAAGTCTGTGTTTAGTAGTAGTTTGTTTGTTTTGCAGTGCAGTACACTTTCATTATGTCTCATATTTTAGTTTTTGAATTTGTTGAATTTGCAACAAGGTTTATGTCTGAAAGGTATTTCAACATCACACATGGATACAGAACAATAATTTTTAGAAGATTTTTAAAAATCAGGTAAAAAGCTTGTATCATTTTGCCTATTTTTGAAAATTTTTGTTTAGTGTGTTTTATTTTGACATGCTAACCTGGTCAAATCAGTTTATTTAGTTCAATTTCTGTCTCTTTACAGGGGGCCCTCATTCCGTATTCAGTACAGGCTACCTCCTTCTTCCTGGATTATTCTGTCAACTTGGATTTGTTATCGCCTGTGGTAAAAATATATTTATTCTATCATCTGATCTTGGAGGGTAGTATACTACTATCTCATCAGTATTTTTTACATTAAAGTGCAAATTGAGATGATTCAAGCAAGAAAGAATAAATCATGCAGATTCCAGATTTTTTTTTTCCTTGTTTTTTTCAAGAGAGTGACAAAGAGTTCAGAAACTCTTCCTTAAAGAAAAGGTTGAGTTCTGGGAAGAGGTGAAAAAGAATTTGTGAGCGTTATCATCGTTATTATGCAAATGTGGAAGAACATCAGATAAAAAATGTTGCCTAAAAAGCATGGCTCTTCAAACGCTTTAATATTCTATATATTCATGCAACAGCATAAAAATCCGTCCCAATTTTTATGCCACATGTTCGTGTAGTCCATATACTTATTTCTGTGTACAGTGCTTGTAACTTAACCAAGACTGGGCCAAATTTCTTATCATTTTGATGATTCCAGAACCTTGCAGTACACTACACCAATACTTGTATGATCAACCTTTTCTGATCGATTCCACACCGTTTATTTCACAGTACAATCGCATGACCAGAACTCAACTCTATCTTTAAGATTTTGTGGAAAGCTATGGTGGAGACAGAAATCAGTTAGGTTGGCCTAAATGAGGAGATCAAATGCTTGAGACAAGAAGAAGTGGAGGAAGTGTCATCATGACGTGAAAGTCAGTAACCCCTCGAAAGAGAGAAAATGCTGACTTAGATAATTGATGATGAACTTGTCTGTCAAATTGCATATTTTAGTACTTCTATGCATACTCTAATACCATAACATTATATGATCACTTGTGCATGACTGAATTAGTCTATTTTTGACATATTTGTGTGTGTGGCAGTTGGTATTAAGGTGACTGTCACTTTGACCTCCAGATATGTAAGTTAACAATTTTAAAAATACTTGTACTTGGCACTATGACACTCGTCCGAACTTTCTTGTCCAAACTTTCTCATTCTTTCCATTTTTCTTGTGCGCCTCGGAATTGCATTGTCTAGATAGACGGCGCTATACAAATACCTATTATTATATTTATTATTATTATTACAATTGTTTTGTTCTTTATTCTGCAGTCAATTACCGAGGTTCAATAGGGTTTGGGCAAGCCTCCATCGATTCACTCCCTGGCTTTGTTGGAACCCATGATGTGAAAGATGTTCAGGTGAGAAAGTTCAGTTGTTGGTTATATGTAAGAGTGCAGGATGGAATATACACCTTATCAACAAGCACATTATAAGGTAATGGTAATTGTATCAGTAATTGGAACGGTAATGGTAGTGGTAATGGTAATTGTAAATTTAACTGTATTTGTAATTGTAATGGTAATTGTACATGTAATTGTAATGGTAATTGTACATGTAATTGTAATGGTAATTGCGATTGCAATTGCCTTTTTTGCTGCTTACAAAATTTTAATGTAACGTTTCGGGTGATCATAATATAAACAGACAGCAGATGAAACTAGTCAAAGAACTAGGTCTTGCAGATATCGAACAAGCAGCAGTGTTTAATGGCTATTGTACAAGATCTGTGTCTGATAAACAGAAAGCAGCTGAAGCAGTGATACATGTAGATCAAGGTCTTGTAGAGAGAGAGAGTGTGTAGCAGTGTCAGAGGTCTATTTTAATTGATTGTACAAGTTTTTGAATCACTCTATATTTGTGTCTGATCACTCCAGGCAGCAGCAGAAGCAGTGATAGAACAAGGTCTTGTAGATCGAGAAAGGGTAGCTGTGTCTGGTGGCTCACATGGTGGTTTCTTGTCTACACACATGATTGGACAGTATCCAGTAAGTTATTCGAATTGGATTGAACTTCTGTGCACATAAGTTTTAGGTCTATTTTTATTGCACAATTACAGAATCCTATTCATCATGCTTTATGTAAGAGTAAATTGTGCTCAACTCAAATAGATAGCAGGTGTGAGTGGCTGTAGTTCCGTCATGCAAGCACAATGAGGTTCCAGAGAAAACCGATATTATCTTTATATCATACTGTAACATTTTACTGCACGTACATCTGTGCGGCGTATGTGCTCCTCTGTTAAATTAAGCAATGTTATGTTTATCACCATAGAGTAGCTACAGATATATGTGCTTGTAACGATGTTCATCCTTCCTCTCATTTGCATATTCACTACTCATAAATGAATACACATATGTGAATTTAGCTCTTAGTTTTCTTGATGATGATGATGGCTTCTAGTAGTGCTCATGGTGTGTGGTATTATTGTCCCACAGAATTCAACTTATTTTTCAGTGAATCAATTGATATACTGGTAGTTATTTTTCTTTAATTTTTGAACTTTTGTAGGATTTTTACAAGGCATGTATAACAGGGAATCCAGTCACTAATCTTGCAGGTAAATAGATAACATTAAAATATCTATCATTTCAAGGAAACCTTTATTTGCCCATGATAATTCAGGTGATTTCAATTAATCTATTAAACAAAAATCTGTGCTGTAGGGTCAGTCATTAAGGTCATTAGGACAATATTTCTAGCTTTATACTGACTACAGAATTTTTGTATTTTTGTAGGATTTTTACAAGGCATGTATTACAAGGAATCCAGTCACTAATCTTGCAGGTAAATAGATAACATTGAATATCTATTATTTACTATTTTTGCCCTTAATAATTTGGGTGATTTCACGTAATCTAATAAAACAAATGTCTGTGCTATAGGGTTAATTTGTGTATGCATTTAATGACATAAGGACAATGTTTCTAGCTTACTGACTGTACAGAACCGATGGCCGATAGTATGGTCAGGATATACACATAGTCACACGAGAAGGAAAAATAATAATATCAATCAAGTAATACGATTCATTTGTTGATGTTGTACAGGACACATTTCATGTAAAGTTCACCCTTTTTATGCACTTTCTTGTAGTGTTTACATATGGGAATGCTTTACTAATTACACAACCATTACCAACATGTAGTATGTATGTGTATGAGATGTGAGTAAAATGAAAAGAGAACTTTTGTGACCAGAATTTATTTTATTTTAGGAGAGGATGTTTTAAAGAAAGCATGGATTAAAAAATATTAATAATTTTGTTTTTGTTTAATCATGTAAAGATAATAATGAAAGAAAAATATTTACTAAAACAAATAAATTTGCTTGTTTTTCAATTTCACGTTCAATTGTGTTGAATAATGTTTTATCCCATTTTCTTTTTTCCAGCCATGCTTGGGGGTACAGACATTCCATCTTGGTATGCTGATTATCTTTCTTATTTCTTGTTACGTATTCTTATTTCCAGATAAACTTTTCTGTGGAGATATACCAGACTTGTGAGTGAAGAGTCATAAAGAAACCATTCCTTTCCCATATTAGGATAGAAAAGAAAGCTATAAGGCTGCTTAAGGCAGACAGGGCTAATGATATTTTGTGAAGATATGAAATTAGAAAATGAAGAATGTGTTTTAGACCTAAATTGTGATCACACAATCAGATGTATTGATCTTGTTCCACTATGCCAACAAACAACAGCAAGTTTGGCAGTGATGGCTACTTACATATGAGATGATAACAGTCCAAATATTAAAGAGAATTGGAATACCGGTGTGTTGGCTCAGTCAGTACAGCGTCTGCCTCACAACCGGGAGGTCGTGGGTTTGAACCCCGGCTGCATCATACCAAAAGACGTTAAAAGATGGGAGTTGCTGCTATCTTGTTTGGCGTTTAACAATAAGGGATAGAGCAATGTCGATCTGGCGCTGCTCAGTGGCTGCCGGGCTCACGATCAATTGGGCAAAAAGAATTTCAATTTTCGGTTTAACTTAATAAAATTTGGAGTGGACCATGAAAGATTATTATTATTATTATTATTATTAATACACATGCATGATAATTTATGTTGGACCATGTCATGATTCATATCAGACGTACAGTATCCCCACCAAGCTGCGAAATTGCATTTAAATAATATGCCTTGCTGCCAAAAATTTGTCCAAGGCATTTGTCATTAATGTATTGTAGTTAAGCAAATATTGTAATTATTACATGGGAGTTTTACTCCTATTATTTAAAATCTTGTCAGAAAATAGATTTGAAGTATGCTGTCAGCTTGGTATGTTTTAGATTTAGAGCACTTTTTAATCGGTAATCATTATCAACATACCACAAATATTCTTCTTCTCTTTTTCTTAGGACAATGACAGAGGCTGGTATGGATTTTGATTTCAAGATAGCGCCATCAGCCGAGATGTATGCTAAGATGTTCAACTGTTCTCCTATGGCTCATATTGACAAGGTATATGTAAAGAAGTCTTGGATTTGGTAGTAAAAATAGGTTGGTTGAATCAGGCAATATCAAATGCTAGGAGGAGAAAATATAGTGATTATAAGACACACTCTGGAGGCTCGTTCAGAATTGACGCTGTAAACACCTGCAATGGAAAACTGTGCGGTTTTATCACGTGTTAATAAATGGCAACTGTGTGCAACAAAGTTCCCAGCGCATATTCAATAAGGTCTGTGTTTAAAAGATACAGAAATGACCGCAAGTATGCAACTTATATTTGACACCTAGATGTATTATGTTGAAAAATGTCTATAAATACAACTCGCAGGAAACAAGAAACGTTGCCTTTTTATGCAAGTGATCTTTATTTACATGTTTTAGTAACTTAAGAAAAAACTTCAAGGGGGAAACAGACAAATCCTATAGTGGCTGCTAAAAACAAGTTTTAATTAATTATGATGTGTTGCTGAAATGTCCTGTTTCTATTAACAGGTGAGAGCTCCAACCCTTTTAATGCTTGGATCAGATGACCTTCGCGTTCCACCCCAGCAGGGCATACGCTACCATGAGATGCTCAAGGCACGTGGGGTCAAAACAAGGTCAGTACATTTTATAATCAAACAATTTTTTTTACTTTCCTGGCAGTTGAAAGAAAAGAAGAAAAAAACAAACTGTTTTTTTTCCCCAAAAAAAATTGTTTCCATTTTTTTTCTACAAAAAGCAGTAAGAGAAAATGGACAAAAACGAAAAATCTAGAAAAAAAAATGCAAACAGACCGTACGTACGTCCCGTTCTCGTGATCGCGTTATCTGAAGAACCGATTGATGGATTCCTGCCAAACTTTGGTCATGTATGTATCTTGCAGAGCCGATGAACTGATTAGATTTTGGGGTCACGAGGTCAAATGTCAAAGGTCACAGGGCTCATTATGTATGCAAAAACAGCTCGTGATCGCGTTATCTGAAGAACCGATTGATGGATTCCTGCCAAACTTTGGTCATGTATGTATCTTGCAGAGCTGATGAACTGATTAGATTTGGGGTCACGAGGTCAAAGGTCAAAGGTCACAGGGCACATTATGTATGCAAAAAGAGCTCGTGATCGCGTTATCTCAATAACCGATTGATTGATTCATGCCAACTTAGGTCATGTATGTTACTTGCAGAGCTGATGAACTGATTAGATTCTTGGTTCATAAGGTCAAAGGTCATGGGCTCATTATGTATGCAAAAATAGCTTTTGAACGCATTCTCATTAGAATTGACAGATGGATTACTATTTAACTCAGGACATCTTGCAGAGCCAATGAACTGAGTAGATTTTAGGGTCATGAGGTCAAAGATCAAAGGGTCATATATGTATGTGATAAATTGCTTGTAATCACGATATTCTGAGAACCTGTTAATGGATACAATTGAACTTGAATTTGAAAAATTTCTTCTGTTTTGGTTTGTAAAATTGCTCTATGACGGAGGCATCATTTTCAACTGCGCGCAGTCAAAGTTCCATCTAGTTTTATATGTAGAACTTCTTGAAAAATATCTTATGTTAGCATTTTATTCTTGCAGACTTGCCTTTGCTATTTGGATATGGGTTTAATAGCAAATGAAATGTATTTTACTTTCAACAATTGTTTGTATAAAGCTGCAATGAAGTTAATTTGCACAACCTTAATGAAGCCTGTTCCTGAAGTAATGAGCATTATTAAGTAATTAGCTTTCAAATATTGTTAAATTATGATCAATATGAAATTTTTTGATGTATTCTCCTGTGTTTAGATTGCTGATGTATCCAGATAACAGTCATCCGATCAACAAAGTTGATGCCGAGGCAGATTGTTTCATGAACATGTATACATGGATCACAGAACATCTCTAAACTTGAAGCATTGCTCCTGTATACATCATGCAATTATCCTGATTAAGAACGACAACTTTAAACAATGTTTTCTTGAACACTCCAGTCAAGAGAAAATTGACTTTTTAACACTGGTATGTCATTTAATTCCATTTAAGATTCAATATTACGATGAGAGCTGATAATATCGAACTTATCCTAAATATAATTTTTGACTGAAAAAATAAATTGAAAACAGCAAATAAATAATGTATAAATTTTGAATAGCAGATTAATGTGCAATGAGAGATAATTGAGAAAATCAAGCTAGTCTTCTAGATTAAGGGGCTAAACTCATGGGCCCGTATTCTGAAGTCGTGTCTAACTCCTGTTTAACTAAACAGTTGTCTAAGTCCTGTCTAAGTCCCGTCTAACTTTAGACACAAAGTCGTGTCTAACTTTTTTGGTATTCTGAAGCCGTGTTTAAATAAAGTTAAACACGAAGTCCTGTCTAAGTCCTGTTTAACTTTAGACAACTGCGAGGGGTTGTTTAAGTCCTGTTTCAGGGCGCGATTCTGCTGCTTTTCAACATCGACGGTACACTCTACTTGCTGACCCCGAACTTGCGGGGAAGAACGATGGTACGTGCATTCTCTAAAATTTCAAATACGTTTTGCAGGATTTTTTCTCGTGTAGCCTAATTTTTTTTCTCGATAATATTAACTATTCTTATCTGCTGGTGACATCTTGGAAATTCCATAATCTATAATAAACTAACCATTCTGTTGGAGAAGTTTCTTTTCTGGTTCTTCCGAGCACTGAGGCACTGATAAGTAGTGTGTTTGTCAATCTCAGTGTACAGTACGTGTACTACGTACGTACGTACACAAAGTACAAGCAGTCTAGTCATTACGTCACGATCACATCACCATGGTACCAGCACGCGCACAGCTAGCTGTGCGCGTTAATTTATTTATCGGTGCGCGCACGCATGCGCATTGGGTCTTTCGTCAGAATTAACGCCTACTGGACATGCGCAGAAGTCGTGACTAAGAGTTAAACACGACTTGCGCAGAACTTAAACATTTGTATAGTTAAACACCACTTAGACAGTTAGACGAGACTTAGACACGACTTCAGAATACGAAATTTAGTTAGACAGGACTTAGACACGACCTTGCGTCTAAGTCCTGTCTTAGTCGTGTCTAACTAAACAGTTGTTTAACTTTAGACGTGGCTAAGTTAAACACGACTTCAGAATACGGGCCATGGTCTCTTCAAAAATTAAGTTAATATCCAGCAAGTATTTGTACATTTGTCTGTTTTATTTTGATGATTGAGTGAGTAAATTTGAAGATTTCTCTCCAGAATTCCAAGTTATCTTTAGTGATCCCTTTTGTTTACAAATTCAACTCGGTATCAATTTCAGATTGAAATTTTAATTTGAATGTAAGTTGGAATGAATCGGGTATCGTTTTGTACCGTTAGAAAAAAGTACTGTCCTTAATGTCATTTTTTCATAACATATGATTACCCAAATATATTATTTTGCTGTAACGAGTCAGGCTTGATAAGCCTTGATCGCTATTGTCTATTCCCTTCGTACCAATCATTCTTTTAACTTTCATATATATACATAACATGTATGAACAAAAATTGTTTTATCATGGCTGGAGTGCCTTTACAACCATTGGTAACTTGTTATGTAATCAATGTTTTCATAACTACTTTTATATACTTGAACTCTCTAAAAGTTATATTGTAGTAGACATCAAGGTACGTCCCTGGGAATACACTTTATTATCTATAGAGGAACATGTAGGCATGTTGTAAAAGCGGTCCATGTTGGAGCCTGTTTCCCCTCTCTCTCTCGTCTTTGAATTTTTGCTTTATGCATTATCAAAATTTTGATGGGACACGTAATGAGTAATACGTTTTATATTACTGGCATATTATTTCATGTTATTTGATAATTTTATTATTATGTAGAATTTTTGTCTGATGTATCGGTGATCAACACTTTTGATGGGACACATAATAAGAAATAATTTTTAAAATATTGATTGGCATATTATGTCATGTGATATGAGATTTTGTAGTCCTCAATATAACCATTTTACTTTTCTTTGAGATTCTAGCAATGCGATTATAACTCTGGTAATGTATTCCTAGGTCCTACTTTATATACCTCACCAATGTCATATGTCTTTAATGTCCAGTTAAAAACAATACCATTGTTTGCCTGTGTTTAGTGAATGATCTATGTAGTATTGCAGAGAATGTACATTTATGTACCTCATTGTGCGATATGAAAAATACATTGAATTTTGTATGTTTATCTACATGGCATTAATGTCCTCATTTTGTGGTACAGTGTAATAACATTCACAATGGGAACACACTATTAAACTGTGTGTACAGATTTTCAATGATGTAGGCACAAAGACAATATACCGGGTAGATATGCCTGTTGAGTGCCAGAAGGGTGTTAACTCTTTGTTAAAGTATATGAGTAAACACCCTTCTGGCTCCAATCAGATAAAACGAAGGTTTCCTAAAATTCTATACATTTCTATAATTATATTCTTCTAGTATATTTATCTGCCAACAGCCCAGAAATTTAATAATATGCACACATACTTTACCATCCGCAATTCTTGCCCCTGATCACTACATTATGTTTACGGCATGCCCGACATCGAGACATCTAATGTGTATGTAATATAATCTATCATTTGAATGCAGTGACTAGTAACAGTAACTATATTAAACAGTAAAGTTAACTGCATACATCAAATCTGTCGGGAGTGCAAAAATAGTTTGGCTTTAATAGGAAGTGTAAATAAAACTTTGCATAGTTCGGTCCCGAAAAATGATTTGACTACGGGAAAATTCAGACCTGTGCGATTTTAAGTTATGCAGAGTTGACTGTACTTCCTTTTCCATAGTTTGAGTTCTAGAGGCAAGACAAAGAAGTCATCAAGAGCAACAGATGTATAATGATATTTCATTATATTTCTTAATATCAATATTAATAAAATTACATTTTTATTTAACACAGCACAAAATTCAGCCAAATAATCTAGAATTTTTTTCTACAATAAAACTTGTTAATTTACTACCACAGAATATGTTAACATAGGAAAGACAACAAAAAATCTTATAAAATATACATAAATCATCCTTAAAATAATGTCAATTCAATTAGAATGTCACCCAATGTTCTACATATATTTACTAGTACCCAATATTCTATATGAAGGCACAGAGTCTAATCAGCATGATGTGCATGACACTGTCTTTAAAGTTCAGTTATCAGGATTAATATGAGCCAAGAACAATGTTTTGTGTAATGCTGAAACTTCACTTGCAAAAAAAAATCTGTGTACCAGTACCTCATCTCTATGTGTTTGATCATACAGCAATTCATTCTGAGACAATTTAAACATGATTTGGGGTACTTTTCTGATTGAGATTTGAGCATGCATTTTGAATACACATGAAGACAAAGACTGTAGACATGGTAACCAAATGCACAATAGATAAACCTCAGTCACACCAACAAGACGACAACAAACAGAATACACTATTACATTACTAGGAATGAGCAATAATTGGTCAGTTTGGAGTTGGTATGGAATAAGGTGGACAGTGTGACCGAGGTATAAGATATCTACAAGAATTTGATCCAATGTTTCTGAGAAGACTGAATACAGAGAATTACAAAACGTGATCTTCTGAATTCACATGTTTTTTAAACAGAGTTCTGGGGAAGTTAAATTCAGCCTTGACCATAACCTTGTACATTCATTTCCCATGTTTCTCTACTAAACTTTTCATAAGTTTAGTCTTATTAGAAATTTACCATCATGGAATAGTCTATTAAAGAAGTTGGCAATCCTCAACTTTGCTCATAAAAGAGAAAATCATTCTCTAAAAGTTGTCAAAGCTCGGATCAATTTACATTGTGAAATACCTGCATATTGATCCCCTTCCCCGATTTAAAATCTGAGGTCAAAAAGAAAGAAGTTGTGTGGTATCACTTTTAAATATAAATACACTACATATATATATATAATACAAAAATATCAATGTTGAATTAGAACACATTTTAGTTTGTCATATATATTATTTTTTTTTTTTCTCATTGCACTGTTCTTCCTCCGTCATGTTAAAATTTCTGAATGGCAATACCAAAACGAGCCTCGTTGCTATCTCGATGAATACAAACATATCTTTGTCATTAATATTTCTAGAATACTTTGTACTCGTTCTTTGTAAACTGCATCAAATAAAGCATACCAATCTTAGTTAGGTATGTCTTTTCTAAAAATAATATAAAGAGTGCGATGCAAATGATTTTACCGACACAATATCGCACTTTATAAATGCATGACAGTGAACCAAATTAGATGTGGATTTATATCATATAAATGTATCATAAAAGTATAATAAAGTCATAAATACAAATTTAATATCTGTTGATGACTTACAAAAAAAAAGAGTAGTAATTGTGTTGATGGCATGTTTGGATAATAAACTACATGTGGAACTACAAATAAGGACTACATAACGTACATTTCCTCACATGGTAGAAAATTTATCAAAAGATACAACTACATGTATTTATTAATGTAAAGCGTTGTTTACTCACAATGTGAAAAAATGCCTCGAAAAAGCCACTGTGACCAAAAACACAACAACCCACTTTAACGTCCTCATGACTCTCAAAGAGCAAGGTTACAGTGGGAAGATTTCTAAAAAATTGCCGAGAGTAGGGCCAGATAATCTTCATTATTAAAGAAAAGTACTCATTACATGAATCTTCAAGAGGAGTCACTTTGTTTTAACAAAAAATAATCTGTAAAAAAAAATGACATTTTCAACATGACTTGGCAGTTTGGCAAAATGACATTAATCTATGAAAATATTAAATCTCTAAAATACAACTCTGACATGGAAATTTTTAAAAAGTCACAATTATCAATAAGTACCATAAACTACATGGTCTTAAAAAATGTCTGACCATACATATATATATATATATATATATATCAGCAATCCACAATTTCGAGAGAAGTCGTAGTTTGTTTAAATCTTTGAACAACTCCCCAAATTTATACAGGAGTATCAGCCTAGATGAACAACACAAAAAAAAAGGTTTATCCAAGATGACAAAATGGAGTTCTCGAAAACGAGCGAAGAATTCATTTAGTTGTGAGCATTTGAACTGATATTGCCTCGTAAGTACTGCTCATGTTTGTACCCGTTTTGGGATGCCTCGGCCTTTGAAATATCACGTCAACGCACATTTTCATACAGACAGCAACACGCTTCCAAAAGAAGGGTTACTTTGCAGGATCATTAAAAATAATACTTTCTAAAGATGTCCTTCATCAAGTCCATTGGAAAGCCTGGACGGAATGTCAACATTTTCTTGCTTTGTTATGTCCCATTGCATTTGGCGATCTCAATAAATCTCTCAATTTCCCCAATTAAAAAAATACAAAACAGGATTAACGATTATCCATTTGATCTGTAACTAGCAAGTGAACCATAAGTTAAAAATATTTGAACGACAAGCCTATAAAGTTTTAATTTGTTTTTTAATATATTTGACATTATCAAAAGTACAGAGCTGTGAAACAATATGTAGTATAATGGATTGACAAAAACAAAAAAAATCAAAACATTTGTAATGTTTTGTGATCATGCGTTATACCCCTCTTAATACATGTAGGTGTAAAACATAATGAAATTAAGCAAAACTATTTATTGTGAAAATTGTGACTCTCAACGGGAGTAGTTCTCTTTTTTAAACGTAAGAAATGCCATAAAAAGAGAAGAATAAATAATACAAATGAGCAAATACAGAAGGAATCTACAGAAAGGGGAGGGGTATGAGAGCCTGACCTAACATCCAAAAGAATATACCGGTAGAAGGATGAAGGAATAAATAAGTTCTTAAAGAACACAATTATCACAAAATTCATTTCATAATTCTCATACCACTCCTGGAATGTAAAACTGGCGAAGAAGCATAAACGTAGCAGTTGTTCTTGTATCAGCTCTCTGTGTAATGTTCATATTAATGAAAGACAAGCGGAACAGTGACCTGAAGGAGAGATCAGAAGATGGGAGGCAAAGCACTCCCCCTTTTCTTCGGAACTGTGATCTTGAAAGGTTCTTCATCATCTGAAGATCCCTGGTCATTCTCTTTCTCCCGTTTCTTGACAACTACCTCCTCCCTCCTCGGTGACTTTTCTTTCTTCTTCTTTCCTTTTGCTTTCTTCTTCTCCTCCATCGCCACTTTCTTCTTTTCCGGCACAAAGTCTTTCATCTCGGGTGGCTTAGAAGAAGAGCTTGGATTCGCATTACCTCTGGCCTTCACTGAGGGCATGGTTGATCGTAATGCACTGATGTACCCGTTAACAAATTGCAGCAAATCTTTGTTGTCGTGTTGATGATGTCTATGGGTGATGGCTGCTATGAAGCGATGCACAAGCCTTTCTTCTACATCGTTAGAGACTGGTCTTAGGCCTGCAATCGTCTTCAGGAGGCAATCAAGGGTTAACTTCTGATACTGTTTTTTGAAGAAGAAAAAACCCAGAAGCATAATTGTTAATCCTCCTGAGAGATTTTGTAATTTTCAAAGTTTAATAATCCACTTGTTCAAACATGAAACACAATAACCTAGATTACTGTCGAAAATAGTCCACCTTTAACATTGTGAAGTAATAAATCCCTTTGTCAATCATAATAATAACGATGTTAAGTTACTTACCTTTTCAAGCAAATTTAGAGATTTCAGCAAGTCTCCAGAGTATTCAACCAGCTTCTCTACATCTTTTCCCTGCAAAACTGGTTCCTACAATAGAAATATAATGAAAGATATGAAATCCCACATAATGCTCATCAAAAAGATTTCTACTATTAAATATGGGATGCCATAGATTTAGTATGCATGGAACAAAGGTGTTTAGAAACTCAATAGATTAACGGCTGAAGTACAAGGTAATGAAATTCCATGTGTATTTTTAATTTATCATATTTGCAGATGAGTTGCAGTTTGTATTTATTGAGGTGGCTTAACATTAGATATTAGGTAGACTACCTTGAGATGTTCCAGCCATGACCACATGAGGGCAGCAAGCACAAATGGATCTTCTTCTGTCGCTACTATCTTCCAGGCCGACTGACTCTGGTTCAAATTATGCTTGAAAACAAATGAAGAAGAAGAAGAAAAAATTTACATCAAATGTATTCTCTCTGATTCTAATAACTTACCAGAATTTATTAAAGATGGCATAACATGTATACAGATTTCCTTTTTCTAAAGAAAGGCCCAGAGTTGAAATAAGCTACAACCTCAATTGCTGATAACTGTCATCATCGATCCTTAGCCGAGATCATAGAGGGGGGGGGTATGCAGTTTCAAAATAGCCTGGGCTAGATAGGGTTAATATAGGGACATGTCTCAGTAGAGGGTAAACAAAAAAAGGCTTTATCAACTGCATCATTAATTGACATTGTGATTATTATTTGGAGGACATTTTATGTGCTTACCTGTAATGACTCGACTCTCTGCTTTAGATTCTGTTTCAAAAGACACAAAATATTATAACATTGCATTAACATATGATGAATATATCTACTGTACAATGTATTCACCCTTCCCAATATTCTCAAGTGGATGTCTTTGTTAAAAATTGTGAGAGTGATCATCACACCCAGAGTAGATGAGAGAAAGATACATGAAGAGATAAAACAAATAATATGTAACCTATTGACAAATAATATACAATATATGGGTTATGACAGTCAGTTATGACATTTAAATGCTTCCCAATCAAATTGACGTGTATCTTGATTTTCTTTGGTAAGATCGTGATCCAAATACTTCTTCAGACAGATTATCTAATTGCATTTTTTACATTAGAATGATCTTTTGATTTGATAATTTGTTAGTCTTACCCGTAAAGCAGCAGCAACTCCGCCCTCTTCTCCTACATCTTCCTGCTCATCCTCCTCCTCATCATCATCCCCGTCCTCTCCTCTTCCTCTGGTATCAAAACCCATAGCATCTGCAACCATTTCCACATCACCATCCTCTTGCATGTTCATTAAGGAAGGATTATTCAACAGAGAAGCACTAATCCTTAGTCTCGATAGATGTGATGCTCCTAACGAATCCTCAGAGTGGCTCGTCTTCAGTCTCTGAGCCTTTCCAATCGACATTGCATCATCCTCTGAACTCGACACAGTGGAGCCGTCGTTCAGATGCAGCTTCCTTAAGTCTAAATTTGGGCTCTTTCTCCCTGGTGGGACCGTGCTGTATGCCTCTGCAGCAGAAGCACTCAGCCCATTGTTATCACTCAACAGCTGAAGACTCAATCTTCTCCTCTCTTTCTCCTCTTTGAGAAGATTCTCCTCGGTGGAACGTCGTGTGTCTTTGAACACTCCTGGAGTGAACTTCTTCAGTGTGTCCGAGCTGTCTGACCTGCCCAAGCTGCATGTCGAGTGGACATCTCTGATATTGGCAAGCTGATGTAGACGCACACATACAATCTTGATGATCTGCATCAGAGAATGATTCAAATTTAAGAAAAAATGCTTCCTTTGTCAAAAATATAATGAGTCTGGGGTTTCTCAACAAGGTCAAGGTAATAATGAGATGAGCTCCCAAATGCCATGAATTTGGTCATACAAATACAATAATGAGCACTTCAGAAAATCGCACACTAAAAGAGAAGTTACTTGAATATTCAGTGTAAAATAGCTAAATGGGAAACGCTCTCAGCCGTCTCACCTGCATTACGCAACTTGATATGATGAAAGATTGAGGTTGGGACATTATTTATAGGCAGGGTGGCCCATAAGCAGGCCCCCAAAAACAAAATCCTCTGAATATAATCCGCATTTTGTAGTGAATGTTGACTAAGAATCATCAGAAGAATTATTTACTATAATTTGAACCAAGATTGATAACTTTAATGAAATATGAACAAATAACAAAAGTTGATTTATTAATTCTCATATTAAGTTGTGAAAACATAATCCAAGTCCACTAACCTAAAATGACCTTTGACCTTGACTATGTGACCTTGAATCTGTGTCATATGATTTGTGATACTTGATAACCTTTCGGTACAAGTTTCATGAAATTTGAACAAACACTTATGCTAATTATGCAAAAAATTCAAAATCTTGATGTTGATGCCTCAACAAAGTCAAAGTTTGCAGACCTGGGGGGTGTTTCACAAAACTTGTCATCAGTGACAAATGACAGTTTTTGTTATAAGCTACTGAAATCCTTGATTCTGATTGGTTATCAACAGATTTGACACTGATTTTTGTCATTTGTCATTGAAAAAAGGCTTTGTGAAACGGGTCCCAGAAATGACATTTAACCTTGATTTTGTGACCTGAAATTCAACTCACATGATTGGTGATACTTGATAACCTTTTAGTCCAAGTTTCATTGAATAAGCACTTATGGTTTCAAAATTATATTAAAAATTAACCTTGATTAAGTTTTTGATGTTGACACCGTCGTCGCCACCGCCGCCACCAGAAATTATATGTCTCGCTTTTGCTATGCAGGCGAGACAAAAACCAGATCAATGTTGCAACTCAGCAAATGCAACTGCAAACGTTGTGTCAATCATAATAACAATGATTTCAAATAACTTAATCTTTTAAATTTGTTATTATATCATAAAATATAAATTTAAATAGCAAAAATAATAAACATGAGTCACAAGCCATATATCCGGAATATATTGAAGCCATGAATCTAATCCTTGAATTTTTATTGCCAATGTTACCTTTGGTATATGCTTCATTTCTCTGCTCTCAGCGCCGTGGAGGAGATGTTTCTGTCTGTTTATGAACTGTTGCAATGTGAATGGAAAAGAGCATGGATCACTGTGGATAGAAAAAATAAAAGCACAAAAAAGACATATCATTACATGTATTCGTATAGTTCAGAAAAGTAGATGAACTGTGATAATACAATCAATATACCATTTGTTGTTGATAAATCAGTTCAATTATCATTCCCCTTGTCTTTGTTTACGTGTAAATTGAAAGAAAGAGCTCAAGTTCTCACCATAATGAAAACACCACTCGAACAGGAAAGTTATTCCCCTTGTCTTTGTTTACTTTAAATAAGAAGGGCCTACAACATATTCCTACACTTATACTATGATAAATGTGATTGAAAGAGAGAGACTCAAGTTCTCACCATAATGAAAACACCACTCGAAGAGGAAAATTATTCCCCTTGTCTTTGTTTACTTCAAATAAGAAGGGTCTACAACATATTACTACACTTATACTATGATAAATGTGAATTTAAAAAGAGACTCAAGTTCTCACCACAATGAAAACACCACTCGAAGAGGAAAATTATTCCCCTTGTCTTTGTTTACTTCAAATAAGAAGGGTCTACAACATATTACTACACTTATACTATGATAAATGTGAATTTAAAGAGAGAGACTCAAGTTCTCACCATAATGAAAACACCACTCGAAGAGGAATGAGAAACTGGGCGAATTGTTGACAACATTCTACCTGCCCCTTTGTCTGAATGGAACCTGGCCTGAAAATGAGAAAGAATTCACGAAATTAATTTCTTCTCCTTTGTGCTTAATATACCCTGCACAAAATCAGGTAAAGAAATAAAGCACTTTCTACATGCTTTAACAAATTTGACTTTTCTTCTCCAATTAATACCATGCAGAAGTGCTCTATACACTAATCCATGAGGAGGCATAACATACAAATGATTTCTACATGGTTCTACATGTAGCTAACCAATGCCGGCCAACGCAGTTGAATTGTGTAAAATGAACCATGTAAGAAAACTAGATGGGTGTTCAACTGCACGCAGTCGAAAATGATGCCTCCGCCATGGAGGAATTTTACAAACCAAAACAGAAGCAATTTTTAAAATTCAAGTTTGATTGCAATCCATATCCATTAAAAGGTTCTCAGAATATCGTGATTACGGCTATGTTTCATATACATGTATGACCCTTTGAACTTTGACCCTAAAATCTAATCGGTTCAATGGCTCTGCACGATACAACATGTCCCGAGCTTGATAGTAATCCATCCGTCGGTATTGACAATGCATTCACAAGATAGTTTTGCATACATAATGAGCCCCATGACCTTTGACCTCATGACCCCCAAAATCGAATTAGTTTATTGGCTCTACCAGATACATACATGTATATGACCTAAGTTTGACAATAATCCATAGATCAGTTCTTGAGATAACGCGATCACAAGCTATTTTATCAAATAAAAACTTGTTGTATTGCCCTTTGCGACCGACCCAAAAATCAGAAAATCTATGGTCGGCATTTTTAAAAAGTCGTTTTTTTTTAATCCGTTTTTTAGATTTTTTTAAATTAATGAATAAAATAACGTGTACTTTGTTTGTTTAAATGGGATATAAATGCATAAAATCAAATTATTCCAAAATTTTCACTCGTGCAATCCATGGATAATTATGAGATGAAAAAGATATCAATGGAATGATAACGATGTATTAAAGCACTAACAAAATATCAGCCAAAAGAGGGCGGGGAAAAAAGAAGAAAAAAACAACATTAACATTCAAATCTGAAAAATATCGACACAAAGAGGGCGATAAAAAAAAATTTAAAAAAAAAATAATTTCCAACTGACCGACCCATGTTTTGGCACCCAAAGGGCAATACAACAAGTTTTATTTTAGGCCTTATGGAGATAACGTGATCATGAGAATGGGATGTACGGACGGAAAGACAACCAGAAAACATAATGCCTCTGGCCACTTTGTAGCAGAGGCATAAAAATGTAATTAAAACTTGTTAAGTCTATTAAATTACCTTTGAGAAAAGTTGTATTTCTAGCACAACTGGAAAATAAGTTGTCTTGGTGTTCTGAGAAGTATTACAAAACAGCAAGTTTTTTTTAAAATTGTTTATTGTTGTTGGTGATTTTGGCAATATTGCATTGATCTGAAGTAGAGTTAACCTCAACTTTATTAGGGACTTTCAGATTGAGTGGACGAGAATGGCATGAACGTCCACTGATCATGCGTGTCTATGGCAAGCCGTTTTAACATTTATTCCTATTTCTTGATATCCAGAATTCATTTCTTGATATCAAGAATTACCATTGCTTTACGACAGAAAATCATATATTGATATCAGTAGTTAAATTGTTGATATCAAGAAATAGGAATAAATGTTTAAAACGGCTTGCCATGGACACGCATGATCGGTGGACATTCACGCCATTCTCGTCCACTCAATCTAAAAGTCGCTATTACCTCATTTTTAAATACGAATATCACACTTGACATGTATACATTTAAAACAAAAAATTAAATCAAAAGAGAAGCTAAATTCTTACCTCTTTTCTCTCACAAAGTGGATTGCATGATCTCCATCAAATCTCTTAGCATATATCAAGTAACATGCAATCAAGACCCCTGTTCTACCTAGACCAGCATGGCAATGAACACCAACCTAATGCAACACAACAAAAAAGAGTTGACTATTTAGAGGAACTATTTAGAGGAATATATCAATTGGTTTACTTTTTCCGGTCCCCAATAGCAATAACATATAGAGGGCATTTTGTTTATGACCATGTTAATTATTACAAAAGACATTGGAAGTAACCACTACATGTACTAGCTTTTTCCTTTATCGAAGGCAGTCAATCTCAGCTTGTAAATTTGTCATACTTTTCCTTAATTCTGTTCATGTTTGATTATTACATTTTGTTCAAACTTCCATTTTATGCAGACGAGTACAAGATGCAAACATCTTGAATACATCTTTGTACATTACTCATATTCACATCCAGCCCTGTTCACATCATTCTGTAGAGATACATGAGGGTATATAATATTCTTCTGACTACATACCAGTTTTATAAACTGTTATTGTCTATCTGAAAGAAAGCAACAAAAGCTGATGAGATCATACAATTGGCTTCCCAAACATTGTAATGATCTCTGTTAGTTCAACACGTTACACCAGGGCCTTGTTTTTAAAATAAAAAGTTGCGATTGCTGCAAATCAATCACAAGTTTATCTCTTATGTACATGGTTGCGATTGATATCAATCGGAAATAATTTGCGATCAATATTAACTCTTTAAAAGACGGGGCCCCTAACCTACTTGCAAATCACTCTATCCACTTCTAAACAAACAAGAAAACTAGCGGCGACATACCTTTCCTTCCTTTACTGCAAATGTCATGACTTTGACCATGTCCAGTATAAAGGTCAAGGATTTAACCCCGTAGTCATCCCATCCAAAGTTGTAGAAGAAAACTGTTAAATCAAAATACATTGGTAGAAAGTAATCAAGAAATAAACAAATATGGTATTGTTAATGATAACAAAAATATAAATGTAAATGTATATGCCACACATAAGAAACTGAGGGAGAAGTTTATAAACGGTCCTTTCTCTCTACTCTTGGTTCCGTATTTGGACTTAAATTTGTAGAAAGTAAACATTAATTCATGGCCAAAGAGATCACCATTGAAATGCTTTGTTACAAACTGCAGGCTCTAAACCATGGCATGTTATCAGTCAAGCCTTAGGCTGCTAATGATAGAAGTAGGCAGACTGTGCTTTAATGCTAAATCTCGAAAATATGAAATTAACTCATCATGAATCACTATTTTTGGGATGGGTGAGCTATAACATCGCGCAAGCACCTGCACATTTATGCAAACAAAACAATGACTAATAATATGAAACACTGGGTAAGCCCTTACTGTCATTTTCCATGAATTCCTCTTGATCATAAGAGAACCCTCCTGGCTCTAAACCTAGCCCACAATGAGCATGCTCTCCTTTTGTCTGAAGATTTATTACTGCCTTTATTCCATGTCTGTTTGGGACATAAAGAAATAAAAGCATATCATAGAATCATCCGGCAACAGTATATGAGCACAGTATGCATCACGCATACACATGATTGAGACAGCAGATAAAACTTCTACAATATTCTAGTTAACTCATTACTGAAGAGGTGAATGTTATTCAATTTTAAAACAAAACTTTTTACACAAATGTAAAAGCGATTCTGGCATGTTATACTAAGGCAACTTTTGTAACCCTTGGAAGTGAATATAGATGATTGCAACATTTCTCAGTAAAACCTACACCCCTTCTAAGCCCAAGAGCAGGGCTGAGTCACAGCACAGCTAGGGATTCATACACAGAAAGGAGCTATCACACATGCAATAATGTTTGAATGATACATGAGATTAAGCTCCACCCTTTTTCTTATCATTACAAATTATTGCAATCACATAATAAAAACCGGACATACATACTTCCGCCCCCCCCCCCTCCTCCGGGAACGGAGGGACCGCATGCATGTTCCCAAAATCTCTGGCTCGTAACAAAGAAAAAGATCTACCGGTACCTGTATTGACTTTACACACAGGACTTATGCTGAAAAGGGGGGGGGGGGGGGGGGTGCTGAAAAGGCTTGTATAAGAAAAGAAAAAGATCTACCCGTATTGACTTTACACACCGAACTTATGCTGAAAAGGGGGGGGGGGTGCTGAAAAGGCTCGTATAACAAAAGAAAAAGATCTACCTGTATTGACTTTACACACCGGACTTATGCTGAAAAGGAGGGGGGTGGGGTGCCGGGAACACACTGAGAGGGGGGGGGGGGAATACCCAGACGGGCTTATTTTCGCATTTCAATGTCCATAAACAAATAAAATATACTGGGTATGTAGAGGCTATTACTTACTCCTTGAATTGATTGATGATATCATATTTTTTCACAGCTTCTGTTGATGGTCTGGACATGGCAAGAATTCTCTTGGTCACCCTAAATAGATGAAAAGTTAATTTTAGAAAAGAAACTATAATCTCAGTAATACTTTTGTCCGAATTTCATCAAATTTTGAAAAAGCCTGAAGCCAAACAAGATCTACAATTCACATAAGAACATTTTGGAAATACATCAAAAAGTGATTGCAGACATTGAATCATTGAACTGTAGGGTTCCTTATCATCTGTATTTGAGAGAAAAGCATAAAGTTGATCAGTATTACAACTGAATGAGATTTACTTACACTACAACCAACACATTCAGATAAAGTGTACATATTGCTGCTTTGAAACAATAACAACAATTATACTTCTTTTCTTGCTTTAAAACAAATAAATTATTAAAAAAAAATGAAAATGCACTTGAATATTATGGCAAATGCTAGTTGTCTATTTAATGTTTTACTCTTTTACTTGATATTCATCCTCAACAGGATGTGAATAGCTTAGTGTTGTAAAATATCTTTTAAACATGACATTTGTATTTTGATGATTGTCTTACGATACCATAGAATTTGTACAACCTTCATAAAGCAAACAATATCAGCTCTTTAGCTGCATATCTTTGTTTTGTTTTGTCAATTACCCATGATATGAGATTCATAGCTATAAGCCTATATATCAAATGGAGGAATTAGAAAAGGAGGAACCAAAAGAAGGGATAACTGACACATACCAATGAGAAAAGAGTCCTTTTATTGCCATCTGATCCTCGCTCCACTTGGAAGGGTTGTCATACTTGCAACCTTTGCCACCACAGAACATAGAGCATTGCATGGAACCGGTAGTCAGAACACGGAGACTGTTGGTCAGCTTACTGTACTTGGCTGTAGGACGCTGGGTGGATCCGATGTGGGCCCCCGTGCTGCTGTCCATATTACTGCTTGCCTCAGAAGTCATCTTGGAGTCTCGTAAATTGACAGATCCTTGAGTTTGTAGGGTCTACATCTAGATGAATAGTTACAAAAATCAATTTTTGAAAAAACAAAATCAGAGACAAACAATGTGCAAGAAAATTGCGATCTATTCACATTATCACATTTTTTGCAACCTTGGACAAGGACAAGGAAAATGGCAATCATTTGGATGGGAACTGTACAGCAGACTAAAAGTTAGAACAGGAGTTAGAAAAATAGAACTCTATAAATAATATTCTAAAACTAAGGAGTAACGCTGTTTATGGCTAATTACGTGTAACATTTATCATTTAAAAAGTAGTGTAACAAAGTAGTGTAACAAAGTCTGTGCAGCACGTCTACGCATACTTCATTAGACCAAAAATTTGTCTCTTTCATTCGTGAGCCTCTGATTTGGGTAGGGTCGGCTCCTCTGTTTAGAAGCCAGCCATAGGGTCTGCTGTCAGAAGTTGGTGGTAGTCACGTAACACCAAAAGTGCCACCAAACATCAATGAATGACGTCATCTTCCTTCATGCACAGTAACAGTTTAAATAGGGGTGCAAGAATTTCAACAAGGACGGAGCTCAATTTCGACCAACAAAATACTGAAAAGGACATCTAAATGCATCATACAGTCAAGCTGGTAAGGGGAATAGATGTATATTAGCCTAGATCTAGGCCTAATTTTTGCGTGTGTTGAGTTAGCGACTGTAATCTTCGTTTTAATACGGTCGCTAACTTAACGCTCGCACCCCATGCACCGTCGTTACGGTATGCAATTCACTATCAGTTTGCCGTGAATCCTGTGAGAAAGTGTATAGACCTATTACAAGTCTTCGTTTTTAGGAAAATACTCCAAAAAAGATAAGAAAATTGACACGAAACAGGTAAAAAACATTTTAAATCAAGACCATTATTTGAACAATTGATGAATATTTGGTCGATTTTTGGTATGGATCTCCACGCCAGAGTTACGGGTCAAAGTCTGGATATCATTCTGAACTAGCGCCATTACAAGTTCAAGTTATTCAAACAAAACGTAGAACAAAAACATTTTGTTGTTGTTGATAATTACAAAAATTGATCCACACACGTACACACAACTTACTGGTGGTACGACGGAACCGGCCGAGGCTAGATGTACCGCGATACAATCAGGCTGCTAGTGGCAGAGCTAGCTGCTTTCTAGCATCGGCATCATCGCGTCCCATGTAACCGTTAGTTACAGGTAAATTCCATCATCGTTTACCGGTTTCTCGTTCTCTATGAAGATGGTGGGGATAAGCAGTACGATAAGACAGTAGTAGTCAAAACACAATTGTTAACAAAATTGACGTTTTTATTTACAGCAGTCTTAATAACTAGGTATTTCTCCTTGATTCTGGACCAGACTCGGACTTGAGCAATTGACATCGTCGATTGGGTAGCTAAGCATATCGCTTACCGACCAACTCTGATGGAATCGACTCGCTCCGATCCCGTAAAGCAAATGTGACAGATACTACGTGCATAGGTACCATATTGGCGACTTGTCTTTATAGACCGAAAAATGATTGTGCGACTTTTTTGTGGGCTAGTTAACATACACTCTTGCATATTTCTCGATCTCGAATCTTATAATTATCTGTCTGTGATTTTGTATGCTGTGCATGTGCTGCATGCTGTGACATATCAATAAACGAGCGAGCGAAACATAATATGCATCCCTGTCATTTCAGGCTGATAGCTGGGGGGGGGGGGGGGGGGGGGGGACTCAGAGAAGAAGAATGATAATATTAAGAAAAAAACATGAGAAGGAGAAGATTGAGAAGTAGAAGGACTTTAGGAGAAGAAGAAGAACAGGAGAATTAGAACAATAATCAAAGATAATGTGGTGACTTTTGATGATGACGATGCTGAGCTGAGCCGATTATAACAGTAATATTATAATTATTATTATTATCATCATCATTTGGTTATATATCTTCGTTATTTGCCACATTTGCCACATTCCACCCAGGTGAAGTAAATGGGTACCTGCATAGGAATTTATTCCTTTAAATGCTAGAGTGCCGTATGGCAGCCGTGCTAAAGCCAGGGTAATAATCGGGAGCGCCAGGAGGGTCAAATCTGACTGACTGAGCGCTATACAAGAACCCACTATTATTATTATTTGTATTTATCTTTATCATTATTATCATCGTTATTATCTCATCATGAAATACTGAAAAAACTTGCAATAATTAAGTTACATAATTATATCAACTGTAAATGCGAACGATACAATCGAGTGGGGGTATATCAAAAGTTGCTTCGTATGTCGCTTTAAGTTAAGGGGCTCATGTTATGGAAAAAAGGAAAGTGGGCCACTTATCAGAAGGGAAAGGGACACCTTTTAGAATAGAAAAAGAAGCTTGTACTGTCAAAGTAAATAGGAAATTGTCATGGGTGTAAAGTGTCACTTTTCGCACCTGAAAAGGGGCACTCACCAGAGATGAAAAATAGGCACTTATGAGAATGGAAAAGGGACATATATTATAAGTAAAAGAGCCATTTGTCGAAGAAAAAGAGGGAAGGGGCTACTATTAAAAAGGAAAAGGGGCACCTATAGCAGGAAAAGCCTATAAAGGAAAAGGGCATAGAAAGGAGATCGAGGGGGCACGTACTTTTAGATTTGAATATAGGGGCAATTATCAGAGTTGAAGGGGGCACTTATCAGAGCTGAATAGGGCATTAATTAATTCAGGCGCGGATCCAGGGGGGCCGAGCGAGCCTTGCCCCCCCCCCCCCCCGGCGTCCCCGCAAAAAAAAAGAGAGAGAGAAGGAAAAGAAGGGAAAGAGGAGAGAAAGGGAAAGAAAGAAGAGGAAGAGAAAAAAAAAAGGGGGGCCAAAAGGGCCTTGCCTCCCAGCTGTTACCTCCCCCCCCCCCCCCATTAAAAAATAAGAGAGAAAGAAGGAAAGGGAAAGAAAAAGGGAAAAGAGGAGATAAAGGGAAGGAAAAAAGGAAGACAAAAAGAAAAGAAGGGGGATATCAGTTGCAATTTTCCCGCCAACAAGTTGTAGTTCGGGGGTTCGGGCTTGGGGTGACATATGCCCCCCAAATATAATTCAAACGTGGTTTATTTCTAATTCGATACCGGCGATTTACAAAATGTTGCTGAAATGTCATAATTTTTCCTCAATGTTTTGTAAATTATACTTTTTTATACGTTTGTTGGAAAAAAATAGTGACTGCCTTTGTCACAAAACAATGTGTTATAATTTGCTCATCTGACCGTGATTAACTGCCTCCCGGATTCCACCTAGGGCCCTAAGGCGGGCACCTGGATGCTCATCTGACGGTAATTTAATGCCTAAAACCCCTGAGCTCCTGGGGGCTCCGCCTCCTTGACCCCACACCAATTAGTGACCTGCCAGTGTCACAAATAAGGTATAAATATAATGCTCATCTGACGGTAATTTAATGTTTAAAACCCCTGAGCTTTTGGGGGCCTCGCCCCTGGATCCCACACCAATTTGTGTCCTGCCAGTGTCACAAAATAAGGTATCAAAATATGCTCATCTGACCGTAATTAAATGCCTATACTCCCTGAGCTTCTTGGGCTCCACCCCTGGACCCCACGCCAATTCGTGACCTGCCAGTGTCACAAATAAGGTATAAAAATATGCTCATCTGATCGTAATTAAATGCCTATACCCCTGAACTTCTGGAGGCTCCACCCCTTAACCCCCACAGGGACTTCCCCCCTAGACCCCACGCCAATTTACGCAACGCTCTACCCCTCCCCCACCTACTTAAATAAACGTTCAGCGGGGCCTGCATGTAAGAGTGGGGTGGTGTGGATTTTTTTTGGTCTACCCCCCCCCCCCCCCCCCACCGTCCCCCAAAGTTTTTGCTCATTTCGCCACTGCCGGTGTCACCATTTCGTACCAATATTTGGCTCGCATAATTTCAAATTCGGCCCCCCTAAGAAATCCTGGATCTGCGCCTGAATTAATTTGTAGTAAAGTGGGGCACTTTGGCCCTTTAAAAGTGGGTGGGGGCCGTTGTGCCCTCCCCGGCGCGCCGCATCTGAACATGACTAAAAACTGTCACAAAGCCAATTTCCATGAAAATGTGAAATACTTGTGTTATCGGTTACTCTTAACATTTTCTTTCTACTGTATCTATGTTTCTTTAACTTATAAGGAATTTAAATTGTATGAGATTAATACAAATTTTCATTACGGTAGAATAGGCCTATATATTTTATTCTATTTGAACCCAATTTTGGCTCACTCGATCTCAATGGTTCTTTGTCCTATATTTCATCATCTCATTGGCCTAAGTGGAAATAAGCTTAATACATTTAGATGATATTTTACCTTTTGATAAATTACAGGCCCCTGATTAAATTCCAGTTGTTACAATTAAGAATAAAAAGGGAAGGCCTATACAGAATCTGATCGGTTTGCCAAGAAAAACATTTCGCAACAGCTATTAGTAGAGGCCGGTTGAATGGGAGTGTCGCTTTCCTGATAATTTTGCGTTTTCTCTTTCCAAATTCAATTTTAGAGGACGAAAAGGGTGAAAAAGAGAGGACTGTTTTTTCATTCTTTATTTGCTGACAATAATGTTCAGGAAATTTACAATCAATGAAAATCATTACAAAAATACAAAAAGGTACTTTCAGTTTTGTTCCTTTGCAAAAAACAGGACCCGGCCGGACTCCTTTACTAACAGTAGTTCTGAATTTTACAACGTATGTGAATAGAGGGTGGGGTAGGGAGGGGGCTACACCTGATGCACTCACACACCTCTCTATCAAACGTGGAAGAAGCATTAGTGCATTTAACTTCTGAAGTTGAATCAACTCTTTTTCAAAAATAAACCTGAGCCCAGGGGCGGGTCCAGCCGGCGGCAAGGGAGGGAACCAAATAATGAGCACTTATTTTTGTTGTGTGTGTGACCCGAAAATTTGAAAATCGCGCCGGTCGATATTTCGCTCAACATCCACTCCCCCCCCCCCCGCCTTAAGCCTAGGGGAGGGGACCCGTCTTCTATTTTGTAACAACAACAAACAAGTTTGAATGAACGTGTTTTTACCCGTTTTTGCCAGGGGAGCGTGAAGGTGTTTAACCAAGTGTTAATTATTGATTATCATTAATTATTACTCCGTTAGGCGTTACATTGTACTATTTAAGCTATTATATATACTAGTAATACGTTTCTGAGATACTGAATTATTTTTTTGCCTACTCCTACCGAGTAACATAGTATAAACAGTAACATAAGTATAATCCAGGACGAGTTAGACATTCAAATGGGATTTGTTTTTTGCTATGGCATAATTCTTTTTTTATCTCTCATTAGCACATTTACATCTGTCTATGGTTTTTCTTGTTTCCATTTCTTTTTCTTTCTTTTCCTCCCTTTCTCTTTCTTTCTCTCTGTTCTCTCCCCACTCCCTCTTTTATACTGTTTTATTTCACTCGCCGTTTCCTCTCTCTTGAACGAGGTCTTCAAGTAATAACTTTACAAATCTTAGTAATAAAACCCTGGAATAAAACAATCAAACCACAAGTCCTTACTGACAAAATAAACGTATAATTGCCGCACACACCGCATAATTATCACAAGACTGAAATAAACAAAAGTCCACTATTCACAATTCCATACCAACTTTATTTGAGCAAGCATGCAAATTTCTGAAATATCATACATGCGCTCACTTTACATTCACCACTGCTTAAAGAATAACAACAATCAGTCACAACATTTTTTTTCTCTTTATGACAGTACCAAATGATCTGGATTATTTTATTTTATTTTACTATAATTATGAATACACACATCTGTTAATTCTCCCGCTATCAAGTTCTTTCCATATTATTGTACCACTACCATATGTGTGATTAAATTATAATGAGGAGCTCACACCATCTCTAAACAACTAAAAAACAAATACAAATGGAACTCACCGAGGGTTAATTTGAATTATGTGTCTGATTAATAAAAGACAAGACTGGACAAATGTTCACGGGAAAATTATTCACAAAAGTCAAGACAGCATGAAAAGCTGACTATACCATGCAACTTTCACAAAATAGTATATGTACAACAAATATAAACACTTTGCTTAAAAAGACAATATTATTTCCAATTTGTACAATCATGTTGACAGTTTAAAAGAATATTCTTTGATAAGTAATATAGACTATACATTTATCCATGAAAAACATCACCTGCCAATAAATTTTGCTGTGAGTAAACACTCAATTACAACAACAAAAATTGTATTCATAATTACACCCCTCAAAAAACCCTGCTTCTTCAATCAAACAATTTCTTTAAAGCATAAATTGCCTTTTTTGACATGCTTACAAAAAATAATTTTGCCATGAAGCCTACTTGGCACGGTCCATGTAAGACATACACAAAAGTGTTATAGATATATCATTTCATAATTTAGTATCAGAAATATGATTTTCATTTCGACTCATATTTCTGAATATCTATTTTCAAAAATGTCTTTTGATTTTTTATGATTATACATGTGGCTGTGAAAAATCCAATTTCTTTTACACTTTCACAAATGATCACAACAAAATGAATGTAATACTATCAGATCATATTATAATCAAACAAATAGAACCAAAAAATAGACAAAAAATAAACTAGTCCTAAACTTATTCCTGTATTGATGCAGCAGTCATTGCACAAATTAAACAGAAGTCCTACTTAGAGAAGCTTCATTGATTACTTCCACTTTCATTACAATCAGGACATCACATCTACCTCTAAAGTGATGCTAATTTCTGTGAAACAAATCCTCTTTTCCTTTTATTTCCACGACTTCAATCAACTCTTGCTACCTGTTCCAACCACACCAAAGCCGTTTGTCATCAACCACTAGTAGGATCATTAAGCAGGCATTTCCTGTGCCGATCGAGGTGAAGCACAAATTGGTGCTGCCAGGCATGCATCCCCCAAGTGACTTATTACAAACCCCTAAAGCAGGTAGCTGCTTATTCATAGCTTTTGTGGCCGGCTTAAACCATATTTTTACAGCACTGCATTGTCATGTCTTCTTAGTATTACCCCTCCTCCTCTATACCTCATCATCCATTCAATTTCTTGGCTTTGCATTTATCATTTTATCCCAATTTATATCGCATTACTAAAAATAAATGTAGCTGCACATAGGTAGGTGCACTTAAGAAAAAAAACAAATTTAGTAGAGATTCAATATTAAAATTTAAAAATCTTAGTTCTTAAAGATTGTTATTTTGAATGAAATTACACAAGTGATTATTTTGATGTTGATTATCAAATCTCTTGAGAATTTGTTTTTATCTTTGCTTTTATTTGAACAGTTTAAAGAGATTCATCCATAATTCTGGATGATATTTTTTTCTTCACATCTTCAATAACTGACAAGCTTCCACTGAAAAATCTATGACAGACACCAATAGAGTCTGAATGAAATACATTATACAAGTGGAATTTGAATAAAACTCCTTTATACTAATGAATTGAATACATATGTCAAGCTATTTTAGATTCAAACCCATCAGCAATTTTAAAATAAATACCACAGCTCTGAACTAAGATATCAATGATACACCAACATAAACAAATAATAATAACCATAGACTTACACAATTATAAATATATATACTCATAAATATAATCTGTTTGCTGAATACATTTCTTTACAAATAAAACAAAATAGCATATTACTTACACAAGATTATTATGGATGACCTGATAAATATCAACTCTTTAAATCAATATTACCTGAGTATAGGAACAGAAATGTAGCCCTATATCAGTTTACTACAATTCACTGCAAATCTCAATGTCCCATTAGATGTTATGTCAACAATTTTGACATTTGCTGTTATGGTTATTACATGATTTTGGTCAAAAGGGCCAAGAGGGAAAATCATTAGCTCTTAGCAATAGCAAATTAGGATACAGATGATTTCATTCACAGTACAGCAAGCCTTTTCTCAATAGAAAAACGATCTGAAGACAAAATTTTGGTACTCCTAAGGGAAATTGTCACAATGAAATATCAAGATAGACATATAAATCTCATTTGCATATTCTATACATTGTCATAATATAATTTCTATTTTTGCATCAGAATTGAAATTCAGTAGGGTGATATATGCAATTAAGCTGCGCTTACACACTAAAAGAAAAACAAACAAATGAATATGATGATGGAGATGAAAATTTAAAGCAAACTAAAAAAATCAATACTAAATAACAAAAATACATTTTTCAAAATAAACACATTTCAAAATATGATTCACAGAGCAAACTAATCTAATCAAAACAGAGATCTATAACCTATTGTGCTGATGTCACTTCAAGTTTCAACTATCGTGCATGCACGAAGCAATCCTTAATGCTGTGATCCAATCTAAATAACTACACAATTGGTACATCAAGTTCAAGTTCATCTATATTTACTCCACAAGTTTTGTTGTAACCGACACAATGATCTAGCAACTCATGACATGACTTGGCACTATCTACAAGCACTTCTATGGGCTACATGCAAAGATAACATGCATGAGTAAAAGTCACTGATTATCTAGATGCTTTGTATGACATAAAAATAATAGTATTTTTGTACTGGAGACATCACAACTTGCACATTACAACAACAACAAAAACAAAATAGAAAGAGGGAAAATGTTTCTAAAAAAGTGATCGATAAATAATGACATGTTGCAATATTCACTAATATTCTTTCCATAGGCAGAGCTTATGTACATAACATAATAAGAGTTCCTTCGGTGTAATTACACTAGCTATAATTACAATATGCTCATGAGAGTCAATTATATTTTTAATGATGATGATGATAATGTATTAAAAACTATTTGCAAATCAATCACTATTGATTGATGGCTAAGCAGTGTGGAAGGCTGTCAGAAGCTGTTCCTGTAAACTACTAATATGTGATGAATTCTGATATTGTTATAAGTCCTCTTTGGATTTAATCTTAACCTGTTGACTTCTGAATTCTCTCATTTCTGAAGGCTTCATATAGGAGCCTTGAGGTTTCAGTAGGTGTTGGTTTAAATCTACATTGAAGCAGATTTTATATGAACAGATAACTTCATACGGTTACCCTGGCACTTTCAAAGGGTATCAATACTGATTACACAATCAAAGAAGCATTCACTTCTGAACCTATTAACATTATTATTTATTGTATATCCTACAACGGCTTCAATATGTCAGAAAAATTTAAATGGCACCATATCAATTTGGCAGAAACCATTCAAATTGAAGCTGCAAGTGATACCTTAAATCTTATGAATGATTGATATTGCTTTCCTTTGAAAATTTTGGTACAAAATTGAGACACTGTAGCTAAAAAAATACACAAAAGCAACAGTTATCAAAACTTGAAAGACATTTGGGCCAGTATTCTACTAAATTATTAGTAGAACATGGGTTTTTGCTTGGTCTAAAGTTAAATTAACCCCTTAATTACCAAATTATCTCCTTGCTATAGGCTTGATACAGGGACTACCCAGTTCCCACTGATAATGGGCTAAAAATGGACCTAGGTCTAAGTTTTTCCTTTGTTCAACATGACCAAGCGCCAGTGTCAGATTTAACTGAATCAGTAGAACACCGACCATTGACTCTTATCTCATCTCTTAAACAAGTATTTTCACAAGATGTGCACTGATTGTCAGAGAGGGAGGGAGGAGGTGGATGAGAAGGAGGCTTCAGAGGGTCATTCAACCAGACCTGATTTTAATAAAGAGTGTCACGGTCTGCCAATCCCGGCATGAGATCACGGGAGAGGGAGAGTCACTGATCCCAATCACTGTCGTTGCGTCAGCAGGCCTCTTCCTCTTGCTATCTCTCTGCCTTCCTTTTGATTCTCTGCTCTGAGGGGTACCTCATTTGCATGACCCAAACCACAGTTTGCATCACCATAACTCTATACCCTCTATACTTAGGTACTAAATGGTCAAGTAAAGTACATAGAGCATACACTAACGGCTGCCCTAGACACATCACTGTCACATGAGCCTCATATTTTAACTCTGGACCCCCATTTTAAAATTTTAAAGGGGGTTAATTAATAATTACAGACGTCATAAATTTTCTATTCTGGAAATCCTACTGGAAAAGAGTTACTAAGCAGTCCTGAGTAAGTGTATGTTCTCAATGAAACATATTGTGGTATGGATACACATTAATAACAATTACTTCATTGTTTAGCATGACAACTTTTGTATTTGCTGTACATGTATACAAGTTTGGTGTCCTTTCTACATATGGCTTCAAAGTCAAATTTGAAGTGTACCAATCACCTACATAATGTTTTGTGCACAGCTACAGCTATAGTAACGAAAATAAAGAATACGAATAAGCACCGCCATGGAACACAAGTGGGAGTTTGAGCGATCACTTATGGGTGTGTCGACTATTATACTCACAATTTACAGAAAAGCTATTTTCGGATCAAAAGTACACTTTAACAATTTGTAACTTCATCATAATTACTCATATCAGTATAATTTCATTGATTTCTAAGAACCTAAACCTGTAAAACCTTTAAACTATTACTAGAACTGAAAAAATGATCAGTTAGTAATTAAACATTAAAAAAATAACTCATCCTCAACACAATGTGATAGCTAAATATAAATCTCTAGAGTGGTTTAGATTTTCCTTTGTGTAAGAAAACATATCTTGATCTCTTTCCAGATCTAAGATTACATAGTACTTCCAGAATATACATTTATGCCGATTAAAACAGGAGACAACAATTCTTAAGATTAGTGGACATTCCACTACCAAAGTGTCTATGTTACAAAGCGTTAGAGTAATTGCATCCTGCATATTAATATGCCATACCTTACATGAAACTATACAGACCAAGTCATTTTCTTTTCAGGTTCAGACATTTGAGATTTTCTGATCATTTAGTCATGATAGGAAAGACCCATCAGAAATATTGAACATAGTTTCACTCCTTTTATGTTAATACCCAAACCACGGTTGCTTTCATATGAAAAGCCCTTGAGATGAACTTTGCCTTGGTAACCTCAAAATCGAAGGATGTAACTTCATTGATGATTGGTCCTTTTAATCATCATCCTCAGTCCGTTTCCATTTCTTCTAGGAGTAGTCTTGACTCACCATGCTTCATTACAAAGAAATCCTCCAGAGGGAGCCCTTTGCTCTCGAGGGCCTTTTTCATTTCCTTGGGCGGGTCCAGATAATGCTGCAGGAAGAAATGACAAACAGATTTACAAATCATGAATTGGTAAGAAACAAATATCAAGACGTCTGTAGCAGAAGGGAATGTGGTAGCTCTTGGAGAGAATTTGCCCTGGGAATTCGTACTTTGACGGAAATGTAATAATGATTTGTCATCCCATATGGACCCTCGTTATCCTGGTGGATCCCATTTTGTACGGGTACGAATGAGGCTCACCCTGTAGTGGTCGATTCTTAGTATGCCAAGGGTTAAGTTGTTTGGGTATGTTTACAGACAATGACTCAGATCACTGGAGATGGGTTCCACAGTTTAACAGGAACACCGCTCATCATGCATCATGCTTCATTGTAAGGACATAAATGTTGACACTTTCAAGACAAAGAATAATATGGACATGGATCGTGGCACATAAGATACAGCCCATCACATGAAATTGACGAGGGGGAAGTGAAACAAAAGACCAGATGAGTTTAATAAAGAGCACTAAAATAAAGAGAGAGGGGTTAAGAAAAGATAGTTTAAGGATGTAGAAGTTAAGAGTAAAGTGCAGAAGGAATGAGGGTGAATGAGGAAAAGGGGGGAAATGCAGCATATTGGAGATAATAGGAAAAAGACAAAAGAGAACATTGAGGGATGAAGGGGTAACATAAAGGGAGTGATGAGTTTGAGGGATACACATACTTAAAAGAGGGAACTAGGCAAGGGGAAGGATGAAGAGAGTCACACAAAAACTTGCTCTCTGTCTATCTACAGCTGTCCTCTGAAATATTAGTAACAGCTTTACAAGGTTAATGCATGTATTAGACAGGCTTGTTTAATTGTCTGTGACAGGATCCTGAGCATTACATCAACAATTAAAACACTATTTGAGTTAACTGACCTGAACAATTACTCACTGATCACAAGCCTGAATTGGCTTAGTCCAGGGGCCCATTTTAATCCTCTTTTCCTGATCACCTTCGTTGACTTTTGTAACCCTACCATCCAACACTTATCATTATTATCCTAATTTCATTTCAATCATCTAAGTTCTTTTCTCTGCAAATGTATTACCAAGATGCCACATGCATATATATACAGTAAAAGAAGTTTTATGACACCTGCTCTGTCAACAATTTCTCTGTGGTCAATTTTCTCTGTGATCCAATTTGTTAATTTACACCCTCGACCAAACACCAAATCTACCCATATTCCTATTCCCAACTCTATCTTTCACAAAATAAAGCTTGGAGCAATTGTTGGCGGAGCAAGTGTCAGATTAGCGTAGGAGAACTGTTTTTTATACCTCACTGCCAAGTCGGAATGTCCCCCAGTGTATTCCTACCGACTTGCGTGAGTTGACATCTTCATGAATCTGCACCGCCTCTGTGGGGCTACAATGCACAGGCCTCTTAAACCATCTACAGCGGGCCGGATGAACATGAAAGACACAAACAAATATTAAGCACAATGAATGAATTACCTCGTTGGTTAGAGTGTAGGTGCCCCAATGGATGCCAATGGATTTTCTAGCATTGACATCTTCGTGGATTTGGACGGCTTCGGTAGGATTAACATGCTGAGGAGTCATAAAAAATCTAGGAAATATAGGAGAGGAAAAAATGGAGGGTTCAATCATCAAGTTCAAAATCATTTTTGAGACTTCTATCTGAAGGGAAGACAACCCCTCCTCCAAAAATGAGAATCAAAATTTCTTTAAAACTTATATGAACAGATATACAATGATTACAACAAAAAAAGGTTGCTGAGCATGTTGTTTTGCAACGTAAGATAACAAAATCTGATTGATGATCATGCTTCAAAAAAATCATATGGGACAACATAACTATAGTTAACTACACACATTTGAATGGAACAATGTTTAAATATGAGTTTACAATACCAATTCTTAAACCATCTATTACCGGTAATCACACATTCCTAAACAAGTTCGGAAAAGTGAATGAATATTTGGCCTGCATGAAATTAAGAGGCAAACTATAATTTCACAGTTGATGTAACTGATATTGGATGCGTCAACAGGTATCTGATGTGACCGAGCCTAAGGCAAAAGATGAAAATTGATGGAGGAAGTGGTGGGGAGAACAGATCAGAGAGAGATCAGAGAGAGAGAGAGAGAGAGAGAGAGAGAGAGAGAGAGGGAGAGAGAGAGAGAGAGAGAGAGAGGGGAGGGAGGGAGAGAGAGGGAGAGAGAGAGAGAGAGAGAGAGAGTGAGAGAGAGAGAGAGAGAGAGAGAGAGAGAGAGAGAGAGAAAGGGGGAGGGGAAGGGGAAGGAAGGGGGTAAAACCTTCAAGCAGCTGCTGCATGGTCATGTATACCCAACAAGAATTAGCACAATTTCAGGAGGGTGGTTTGGTGAATGGGGCAACCATTTAGGATTAATAGGCTCAAGGGATAACAAATAGATTAACTTTAATGTTGGAGCACTTTTCACTTTTCTAAATTGGGGAGTTTAGGGGAGATACCCAAATGACAGGTGTTCCAATTTTCACTTGAAAAATTGAAATATTACATCCTTACAAACAAATAAATTAGCCCGACAGAAGAAGACACACTATAAAGCTACATTTGTGTTACAATTTTGGGGTACATTCCTCGAGATAAATAGCCAAGTCTTCTTCTTCTTCTCTTTTTTTTTGGAGGGGGGGGGGGGGGGTAGTTGGAGGTTTGTTGTAAAAATGTACTGTATTATGGAGTTTTCATAAAATGTATCAGTTCTAAAATATTTTACAGACATGGTTCCTAATACAGGTTTTAAAAAAACTTCAAGTAATTTCGTTAATGTATTATGAAATAATAACATCATTTTTGAAGAAAAAAATTTAATGGGTTTATTCAAACAAAAGAAATTTTCATGATTTGTTTGGGTGTTATCAAATACATGACATTTACAGCAATCTCAACTGCACAGTGAGTGTGAAACACGGCCTAAATCCTCTCCCCAACCACAAGTTACGCATTCAGACAGGAAACACAAAAATACTGTATCATGAAGTTGATAGGCGTGTAGCGTCGCATATCAGACAGACCAACATATGATTAATTTCCTAAGCTGTAAGGCCTCATAATCAGCGTTTCCCTTTGGTCAGGTTTTTCTCTTTCCACTTTCAGGTGCCCCTTTTCTCCCCATCATATATTTTGGCAACCTCGATGCATTATTAGTAGGGCTCTTTGCCTGTTGTGGATTTTGTTGTCACGTCAGTATGGATCAACCGATAGGAAATCCCTAATATATCGCTGAAATATAGAATATAACTACCACACAATGGGTGGATTTAAATGAAAAAACTTGATAACATTTACAAACGGGTGCCTCTCAATTTTGACTGATAACACTTTCTAACATCAGTATCAACCATCAGTCTATCCAAAGATGAGACATTGGAGGGATAATTAATTTGCTTCCTCTTTCAGAAAGAAGTCTAGTGAATAATTCCCTGAGTCATACATAACATAAACAATCTGTTCTGTAGGCATGACAAAGTTTGCCAAACAGATCATTGCTTTTCATTAAAGGAGGGGTAAGTCTCTTACGACTGGTTACTAACAAATATTCTTCCGTTTTCCATGGAAGATTAGCTCTCAAATATCTGGCAGATTTTAATATGAGTACTGAGAAACAATTTCTAAAAGTCTACCGAATAGCAAGGGCCATAATTCATGTAATTGTTTCATTAATTGGCTTCCTGCCTAAACCTTTCTTGGTCTTCACGATTTATCCTACATCGAATCTGTGAATGAAAAAAAAAAAAAACCTGTATGAACAGTGTTCAAGACATGATCCCACGCATCGTGAATGTCTGTGGGAAGTTCCCTGTGGTGTCTTCCTCCAGTCATCCATATCCATCATGTAACACGCCGTCTGAACATGAGTTCATGGCAGATCTTTTAACCCATCCTAAACATCCTCCTCAAACTTGAGTAGAACAACCTTAGTAGGCTCTTTGAGAATCACAGAGAAGTAATCTTAAACCCTAACACATAATAAAGGGGATTCTCCTATGTTTAATAGCCATTCTGTGGTATCAGAAAAAGTATAATATATACCGGGAAGTTTGAAGCATATGATAAACTAGTCAAGAGAGGATCTTGCCTATTCTAATTTAGTACTGGTACCTTTAAATCCAGATGCAGAAACCATAATTTATAAAAACTACGGATTTCTTTGCTTTTTTTCTTGATTGTCTTGAAACTAAAGACATTATTGCAATGATTTTGTGCCACTTAATTAAAAATATTATATAATATCTTTATAGCAATTCAAAATCAAAACTATTTTGGGTCTCTCTGACCAATAAATCCATATTCCTCTTGAGGCCATTAATCCTGTATGGGCACACTGTAAAATCTAATTACAGGATAACGATGCTGAAATCATTCATTATTTTGATAATTCATCTTAGCAACGAGCAGGTCAATTTCAGTTCCTCTCAAATTTAAATGGGTGACGTCATTTGCACCAAGCTATCTCTCCTTCCAACGTAGGCAATGGATATCGGCTAAACATTGCTGATGCCTTTTTGACCTAGAATATAAAGAGGTGCAAAGGATTCTTTTTGACATGTTTCTAATGAGATAGCCTGCGTCAGGAAGGACTAGGGTATAGTTTTCCATGATGTCTTCACACCTGGCAGTGTCTTCATCCCGGTAACTAACCATTGGCCTTGATATTGACCAATCACCTGCCAGACTCATCTCCCGAAGGGTCATATCCCATGTCCTGGGTTCAATATCGAATTCTGGTTGGATGATACAGAAATAATTTAATTGCCGTGAAAAGTTGTGATCAGACCACCACAGATGTGGACCTCGGAGGAACATGAACAAAACTGCTAGTTCTGTCCTCTGAAATGTGCACATTCTGCCAGTTTCTGACTGAATATGTTCTAATGGCAGAGGTAACCTTGCTCAGTTCCTTCCTTATTTAGGAAATGATTTCCTTGACTTCATGTCCTGTTCACGCCTTCTTATGCCTACCTTCAAGTCATGCAAGGCTGTTCAAGATCTGGTATCTTTATAATCCTCTCAGGTCCCTTCTTATTTCATCCCTTTTGATCTGATTCGATCCATTAACTCTCTAATACCCCCTCTTTCATCTTTCCAACATATTCTTGGATCTGATAGGGGTGCAAGGTGCACCATCAGTTCAAATGTGATAGGAGTATGAGAGGAAGAGACAAGCCTAAGTCTCAGGCATCACATGCCAACTTCAATTTCCACACCGACACTATGATGGGCCTGATACGATGCGCTACGGGAAGCTGCATGTTGGTCATGCCTTCCAAGTCCTACGGGTAATACACAAGTATTACCTCTATTGTAAACTCAAAGGCGTTTGTTGATTCACTCTTAAACTAAGTTTGGAGATAGAGGAGGTGAAAGATGGGATTTAGGATTTCTCACGTTCTCTATTTAGCACATCCCTGATTTAAAAAGGAACTAGGAGGACCCGTGGAAAATCCACGGGATTCTAGGGGAGGGGGCCAAATAGATAGATAGATATAGAGGCCTATGTGCTATCCAAAAAAAAAAATTAGATTATCTTTATATAGAGAATTTTTATAATATATGCTGTTTGACCATGAATGGCGCATCGTAAAACAAACTATGTCAGATAGGATCTCGATAATTACGATTTATTTGCATTATTATTGTTGTGATTTCAATGTAGTTTCATGAAAAGACTACATATGCAGAGGCTTGGATTATGATTATGTTGGCATTGTTCACAAAATGTGTATAATTATTTTGAAAGTAAAGATTTTACGCGAAAAAAATCGGACGGTTTGTGCACAAATTGACTCGACTGTGTGTGGGACTGTGAGCGTAGAATCAAGTGAAAGATTTTTTTTTCGGGGACTCGATCTATATCAAATTTTGGGAAAATTTTTGGGGGCTACTTTTTTATCTTTCGGGGGCTCATTATTCTTGGGCTAATTTTTCATTAATTCATTTAAAGATGCAGTTTGTTTAGTTTAGTAGCATAGTGTTACGTAAAAAAAGGCGTACTTTCTGCGTCAAGTTTCTACGCCTAAAGTACGCGAATTTTGTTAAACATATTAAATTGTTTGCGTCCATCTTGCGTACTTTTTTGCGTCCCTCAGGGTATAGTAACGTAGGCCAGCGTACTCTCAGCTCAGCGTAGTTGGTACGCAACTCTACTATTGACCCCACGCCAATTAGTGATCGACCTGCCAGTGCAAATAAGGTATTAGAAATATGCTCATCTGACCGTAATTAAATTCCTAAAACCCCTGAGCTCTCGGGAGTTCAGCCCTTTGTACCCGTGGACACCACGCCTGCACTCAAATCGCTTTGAGTTGCCTGACCCCCCCCCCCCCTCCCATACTTTAAAAATTGATTTGATGCAAGAACTGTATCATACTAAAAGTATCATGTTTTTAAACGACCATGACGACCGTCTGATTTTCTTGTGAACACTTTACTTTGCTTGTGAAAACTTTACTTTGAAAAATGATTATCGAAATTCAGTATACAACAGTTTTTATGGGGGTTTTCGGGGTCAGAGAATCTGATTATGATTTTCTTTCATCGATTTAAGGTCTCCTTGGGTCATACTGATAATATTGGTCAAATCCAAAATAGCCGCCATCTGAGTTACAGGTCAAGTGTAGTAACGAAAGGAAATGGGGACACTTTTTTTTTTTTTTTGTATCGAAATTTGAAAATTTGACATTTTGCTCCGTTGGGGGGGGGGGGGGGGACATGGCCAGAATAATCACAATCTAAGCCCAGGTTTCATACATCTATTCACGAAACTATATTGAAATCGGGGCAATAATAGCAATTTCAAAGTGTTGTTTAGACTCTCTAGCTCCTCACACCCGCTACTCCGGTCACCGCTACTTCATGCTCACACACTCAGCTCCGACAGCACAGGCGATCGACAGCAGCGCTCAGCTGCAGTGCAGTGGCAATACACCACACGTGTGTACGTGTGGACTCAAGGCGTACTATCACAGATCTATTTGCGCTATTCTTGTTGTGATTTCGATGTAGTTTTCATGAAAAGACCAATAAAACAGAAGCTTGGACTATGATTATGTTGGCATAGATCACAGAATTTGTATAATTATTTTCAGAGTAAAGATTTTACGTGAAAATAGGTCCATGGTTTGCGCCAGTTGTAGCAATCGCCTCGACTCGAATCGACTGTACTGTGTGCATGTGTGTGACCTGAGAGCGTGTAATACACGTACACTATGGGCGCCTGGTCTACAAAGGATATCTTATTGTAAGATGCCTTACTCAGCGAACGCCGCGCCCGTTGCAATTAGATTTGCTACACCCGTTGACGCGAGTTGATTCTCGTCTATCGTGTGTCTCTTTGTCTCTCTTTGATTAGACATGCAGAGGGCGGGTGCACGCCTTGCCGACTCGCTCTCGCGGGTTCGTCGCCTCCTCGCAATCCACGACGCCCGCCGTGCTCTCGTCCGCCCGTCCTCCCCGGCACCCCGAAACCGCGTTTAACGGCATGGACGTCGATCGCGGGGTCGACGTGGCACGCGGGTTACGGGAGACAGGCCTCGTGGAATTGTGCCGTCCTCCCCGCGCCACGGCGGAGGCGGTCGGGGTCGGGGAAAGACGTTTTTGAGGAACCGTTTTGGCCCGTGTTGGACCCCCCGCGGCGATTTTGCGTATTAGTAATATAGATTCCCTGCTATCGTATCAGTGGGGGTTTTCATCATTCTACTGGCAGATCAATGATGAATTCAGAATAACCCATCAAAAGGATGCAAACTTCATAAAACAAAGCCTCCTGAATGCACCAGTCATATGAACAACTATTTACCAGATTTAATCATCACATCCTGTGTAAATCTGTGTCAGTGACTAATGGAGAGTGATCGTTTGCTTTCTCTTGATTGTTGGAGTGACAATGATTGCTTGCTTGATAATGATTGTTAATAGGTGTATGATGGTGAAAAGTTTCACACTGTTCAGAAAGGTCTCTATATTTGGTGTTAATTGTTTTTGTGTGAAAGTTGTGGCTAAATTAAATTAAATTCAAGTGATGACACAATAAAATGTACAGGTACTTTTGTCTTTAGAAAAACAATAAAGTGATTGGGGGAAGTGTAATGAATGTTGAGAATCCTAATAGATTTGATAGTTTCACCGGGTCATTATAGAATCTTATTTTCCATGACAAATTTTCTCTGTTTGTCCTACATTTATATCTATTTCCATGGCTAAATCACAATAAAAACTGTGATCAAATTTTGATGGCAGTCTTCCTCTGTCTTCCTTTGTGTATCATTGTAGTTTAATTGATCTGGCATATGGCACTGAATCATGATACAAGTATGGCTTTAAATGATTCATGTCTTGGTTAATGTGTATTTTAATCAAGAGTATGTGTGAAGATGTGAAAGTGCTGTTGAAGATAATTTTGAGGGTTTTACTTGACTGCCGAGACAGTTGTTCTGTACAGTATTGTAGTGCTTGAAATGTATTCCCTTGACTCTACAGTGCCCTTATCTGTACTGATTTAATCTTCTGTGCATGAACAATGTATCATGAATTTAAATGTTCACTTTAATCATGTTAATGATTTCTTTTACAGGATCTCCAATTCTATTTCTACAAGCACGTCATTGGATATCATTTGAAATCAATTATTATTTCTATGAATTTGCCTTTTTTTTCCCTCCTAGTAATTCCTAAAAGTGAATATCAAGTTAATAACCTACTATTGCTTATCAACCATCACATAACCTCTCTTTAAAGAAGGTTAATTGTCCTATAAAAGCTTCTCCAGTCCTTCCTACATCTGTAATATTAATATATTATTGTGTGTCCTGTCCAGACTGAGCCTTACTTGGAATTAGAAACAGAAAAAGCAGTACCCTTTAGTGAAAAGGCAACTGCTTTACATGAGACAATGAAATCTGAAGTGTATTTTCATTGGAAGATCAGGGGGTGTTTCACAAAGATCCTAAGTAGAACTTAACTCTAAGTTGGACTTAAAAATTATGGACAGCCATTGGAGTCTTAAAATGAAATATATTCAAAAGCAGAAATTCAAGTATTTTAGACTTTTTATAAATTCCACATCCAGAACATGAAATCTCCTTGATGATAGAAAATATGAATGATTTGAATAAACAATTAATGCCTTTCAAAATAACTTTTACAATTTTTTTTCAAAGATGCTAATGGCTTTCCATAATTTTTAAGTCCAACTTAGAGATAAGTTCAACTTAGGATCTTTGTGAAACACCCCCCAGGTGCAAAGTGATTGACATTGTCCAATCAAGATCTACATGAAATCTGTCAGTACAAGTCCACTCCAGCAATCAACACTATTCCATTGCACCCATAATTTGAAGAGAAGGCACCAAAGGGATACCAAAAAAGAAGATGCATTTTTTTTTTAATGATGGTATAGGAACATTCTTGATCCCCAGCATTTGTGTAAAGATTAGGATCAGGTCAGAGATTTTATCACATTTCAGGTGTGTTCTTGAGGTTTGGAACCCTGTCAAATCTCAATTTTCATGATAGTCAGTGTGTTCAAACAAAGATATTATCTTTACCCTTCCTCTGAAATCTCTCATCTTTCTTCTTCTCTCCTCCTCTCTTTCTCTTCTTCCTCTCTCTCTCTCTCTCTCTCTCTTTCTCTTCACTCTCTATCTCTCCCTTTACATGTATGTGTACAATTAACATTTTATCTATTTGGAATAATAAGGCCACTGACTGTGGAAATGTCCCCCCTTGAGACCCTTCTGGCTCCAAACAACCAATTAATGCTTTAGTTTTTATTCCCCCTCTCTCTCTTTTCCATTTGTTCACATTTAGCTAGATCCAGGCAACAATAATATGACAAAAAGTCAAAGAAAGAAAAGCTGTGGAACAAGGTCATAACAGGATCTAAAATTAGGTCAGGGATTGGTGTGGCAATTTGGAATCTAGGACGTGAATGAAGTTTGAATGACAGCCATGAGCAATCATGCTCAGATTCTTATTATACAATAGATATGTTCAGACGTCTGATGCAATTTCTTTGCAAAAAGAAGATACATGCAGACAGTCTGCCAAATTATTGTTTTCCGATCATGATAATGGAGCTAATAACCTGTTCCTTGCAGGTTTTTTTTCTTCATGTGCCTCTAGTATGTTTATTATTTTGTTGAAGTCTTGTAGAATTACAATCAAAACGTAACAACAAAGTATTTTACTATCTTCATCATCTGATATGGGGAATGATAACATAATCATGCAAACCTTGAAAACTTCAATTCAAGAAATTGAAATCATTTGGTAACTGCCTTACAGCCTTGTTTGTGAACAATCATTACCTTGGCTCATAAGCTCCAATCGGTATAGCAGCTAGATCAAAGGGGCCATAACGTCTCCCTATCTCTTCAAACCCTCGACAGTAGCCAGTGTCACCGGCAAAGAAGAAGCTGTTGTTTGGTCCCATGATGCACCAGGAGCCCCACAACGTCTTGAACCTGTCCGTGGGTGTACGCTGCCCCCAGTGTTGAGCCGGAGTGAAGGCGAATGTGACGTCGCTGTGGGTCGGGATGCAGTTCTCCTGCCACCAGTCCATCTCGATGACATTCTCACATCCCATGCCGGCCATCCAGTCTAGGACACCTAGCGGTACAAACCACCTTAGATCAGATCCAAACCTTGCATTGAGGGCAGACACAGAAGGCGCATCAAGGTGGTCAAAGTGCGAGTGGCTGATGACGACGGCATCAATCTTAGGGAGGTCTTTGACCTGGCACGGAGGGGGTCGATACCTCTTTGGGCCCATCCATGACATGGGACCACAGCGATCGCTGAAGACGGGATCGGTTAGCACTGAGATACCGTCAAACTGAACGAGAGCTGTTGCATGGCCAATCCATGTGACACGTACTCCAGAGATGGGTGGAACTTTGATCTCATCATGGGCTGGTTTTAGCACTGGTAAGGTCTTCTCTAGCGTCTACGGGATAACAAAATAGAAAGGACATTTGAATTAGTCAAATTAGATTCTCTATGACTATCAGATCTCATTCAATATATTCAATGCTCCCTCTTAGAAATAAAATCTTTGAATAGAGCAGCAAGTATTATACACTAAACATAAATAGATAATGATAAATCATAATAAAACATCTCCCTCCCCTTCCCTTTCCCTCTCTGAACATCACCTTTGCCTGTCCCCTTAGTTAATGTCAATCATCAGTCAGTCCTCATCTCCTAATTACATTACTGGATATACCTTCCTAAAACCGAGCTTACACCTGTAGAGCCAAACAATCACGGGAAATCACGGGAAATCTAATTACTGCAAGGACCGATTCTTGTTGGATCAAAGGCCTGGAACTACATGTACATGTGTGCCCCATCGTTACCACTGGAGGAAGGAAGGGGAAGATGTAGCACATATGAATTAAACTTAATTCATGTAATTAAGTGCATACATTAAAGATAATCATGTGTTGAAAGAGCGCTTTCAATTTAATTCATACAGGCATATAGGCAGAATATCTAGACAAGGAAGGAATTTACAAACAGGGGTAAATGAAATGAATAATTAACTCCATCATGAAAAAGGACATATATCTGCAAGATCATCTTGAACATCTTCACTTTGACATGAATAACATAGTCAGAATAAAGGTGAATAGCATTTCAATACGACAAAAAAAAAAAAAAAAACAGACTCTTTTACAACTGTGACATCTGCATATTACCTGCATCAAGCATATATAAACCCATTTTCATAAAAAATTGGTACATGAACTAAAACTTGTCAGGAGTAAATTGTCTGTCACTGGAGACTATTTCTGATGGAACCACAGGAGAGCTATCAGATCAAACTATCCCTTAACTCTCCCAACACCTTTCAATCTTAAAACCTTGACCTTAATACCGGATTAAACATACTGAAAAAGAAGGGGGGATAGGTTACTCACCAAACCCCCAAACCTCAGTCACAGTGCTGAGATCCAGGAAACTTCAGTCACAACTTAGTCATGGATTTATTCATATTTGAACCGACCTTTTTTCTTTCCAATGCTGCTCTCTCCCCCTGCTTCCCTTTGCCATCTTAAAGATGGATTTTTCCTTTGCATTTAATGGATCAAATGTGTTGAGGATCTTAAAGATGGATATTAAGAGATTGTTTCTCCATCCAGTCGCAAATCCAGGAATGAAATCTATAGCTAGCTTGCTGTCTGGATACTAATGCCCATGTGCTATGTGCATGGAATTCATTTCCTCTATTGCAATGTATTCCAAAGTACATAAATCTGTATCTTAGGAAGCACAAGTCCTAAATCATACTACTCAATTGCAGTCTGCAAGGATTCTATCAGTCTCCAAAAATTGGAATGCTCTTTGCATATATAGGTTAAAACTACTTCTCACTCTCCTTTTCAATGTAGGTCAAAACTTTTCTGAGATTATTTGCTTTTTTTAATAACAAAAAAATTATGCTCAAATTTATTGAATGATCGCAGAAAAACACCTTTCTGTACCTAATTCAATTAAAGACATATTTTAACCCTACTTAAACATTTAACTGATAAAGTTTTAAGTACCCTGGCTTAAAAAAAAGATTTTCACTGCACACTATTCACTTTATTTTAGTCCACTGATGAATAATCCAGACAATATTGATAATCAAACCAGTTAGATATTAATGTAAATGAAGTGGTCCATTACTTAGTACAGAAATTTTGAGTGTGTCAAAGAAGCAGAGCAGAGCAGATAAATGGTGTATCTTAATCAGTAATAGTGCAGTGTGCTAAGCCTCAAAATAACCACTGATTCTAGAAGAAAGCTTAGCTGAAGGGGTTTAGCACGGTAACCAAACCGAGAGTGTCAGTTAGTAATTAAAATGTAAACAGATTAGTCAAGAGATTGTTAGAAATTGCTCTGTCATCAGCTTGGATTCTATTTGTTAATTTCTGGTCATATCTTCCAGCGATTAGTCACTGATGTCGTTAAAGGGCCACTGGCTCCCCGAGGTACACGGTGGGCAATTTACAGCTGTCTGCTGAAGACACCTGCAGGGGGGTGTAATGATTCAAGATGGTGGCCCATGATCCCTTAAGGTGTGTGAGGTGGAGTTGAGAGTCTCTTTCTTCATTCAGGCAACGGGGCTGGGTTCATGGGTTAACCTATTTATTAATCAGCTTTGCAGTAGAAAAGTGAACTAAACAAAATTTGAAAACTAAACAAAAACAAAAACAAACAACAACAACAAACCATGAAAAACCACCCACAACTGAACACCTTTACATCTACCCCTGATGAAATTATTTTCTTTAAACCTAATGGACAATGTTATTACAAAAAATCTCTAACAAATGCTTTGGAGGATTATTTTTTTTCCTTTTAATGCTTTTAAGGAAAATCTAAATTTCTAAAACTGAAAATATAAGGAATATGAAAATAAGTCAAATAAACACTACCACCTCCCATTAAAACTACACCTATGTATAATGACCAGGAAATGGAACATAACATTATCATGATGAACAATTATGACAGTATTTAAGACTATTTCATGGGAGCCTTCATGCAATATGTTTCATGATGAAAAATATGGAAATCTCAATAAAGCAGGGTTGAAATTCTTTCAATCATAATTATCTCCCCCTACACAAGAAAAAATAAAATATATTAAAAAGATGCCAGGAAGTACACCAAAGCCTGACCTCTGTCAGCACAAAAATAGCCTCCCTGCCGTCCCATTCAGAAGGGAGGAAATAGGATCTCATTAATCCAGAAAGGAACGAAGGACTCTTCAAATGTCCCCATTGTCCCCTATTAGATGCGACACGGTGGAATTCAATAATCCCTCCCTCTACTCATCATCCGCACAGGTCTATCCTGTGAGTGAGATGCACCCTTAATATTGAAGATTCCAAAAGGATATGAATGACTATTTAAAGACCCTGGCTAACAGAGTAACAAGCAAATTACAGTTTCATACGGCCATGGGATTGAATGAAGCGATATGAAATAATCAAATGAGGAGGTAATTGCGAGTAGGCGTGTGATGTGTTGTGTGAAATTTTCCAATGATTTCATTTTCCAAGATTTATCAAAAACTTACATTTAGTAATAATAATAGTAAAAATAATAAAAACAGTACTTAAAAAGCGCTAACTATAAAACAATTACATCGATTAAAAAGTACAAATCTCAACTTTTTCATGTTGGGATAAATGTAAAGAATCTGCACTTGTCTTGTTTCCTAAAAAGTCAAAGTGCATTGATGTTCTTATTCAAATAGGATTTGGCAACAATTTTAAGCATCTATTTTGGCAAGATGGAATGACAAAATGCTAAGAAATGTAATGTAAATCATAGCAATAATATCTCTATGGGTCTTCAGCCTGTGGCCCACGTAGAGAAACAAGGAAGCCAGAATTCATCCAAAGCACACAAGAGATTTACTTATTTATAGCCTTTGAAGATCTAGTTATTAATAGCTTTTAAATGTTGTTCCCTGATTGCACAGTAATTGAATTATCCTGTAAAAGTAGCAGGTTAACTATTACATGTTATTACTTCTTGCGCACTAATTAACTAATTACTTTACTTGAGGAAAACACCTGATAAGATTGGTTCTTGCTTCTCTGAAACTGACAAAATAATATCAAATAAAAATAATATTGACTACATTATGAATGACTCTCAGCTAGCTTGCACAGTGAAAGACAAGCCTTCTAGCACATCATACGGCAATGATACTCCAGCATGCTGCCAAATTGGTAGAGCCGCACTCTAATGAGCTTGTTCGGGATTCTTTAAAGCAGTATCGCATTATTACATGCCCATATAACAAGATCAAGGCAAATGTGTTTGTCATATATTCAAGCTGATGCTTGTGCCAGAGGAACCCTGACAACTTTAACACATTTTGTTCCAAGCGAGCTCTGCGCTGCTTTCCACGTCCCCAATCAGATATAAGCTATTCTTAACACTGCCTGGTTCAACCAAGCGATTCTCCTGTTTAAAAAAGAAATTGGCCAAAGAGACAAGTTGGCGCGTGATACAATTATCGCATGAGGGTGCTCACTATATTTGCCCCAAAACAGCTTCTTTTCCCATAAAATTTCTAGTGAATGAACATTATTACCAATCATGTTTAAACTATACATGAAATTACACACTGTACCAAGCTAATAACATAATTCATCACTAATAAAATAATTACATATGATAAAAAAAATAAATTATATGCTGCAATATATGCATGTTTGACTGACATGACATTGACACTTGGCAGTGAATACACAAGTACCTCACTTGTAGATAAAACAATTCTAATAATAGCAATATCTTGAAATCTACAAACGAACATAACTTTGGCACACAGTCGATATTTAAAGTGCATTATTACTTCCTTTTCAGTTCTGTGTAATCACGTATCTCTATAAAAAAAAGTAATTTTCATTTTTTGGTTGGAGTTGAAAGCTTGGTGACTTCCTGCCCAGTATAAGCATAATTTATACCCGATGGTTATCATTCTGGAAACAATGCATTTTCTGGCGCCAAAATTCTACTATTCTCATTTGACATTCACTGACAGTAAATGTTAATGGATTTGATCCTTGCTTATTACTGAGATACGATTGCCAAAATAAAGCGAGATAAATAACAGAGTTGCAGAATGCTCTTTTTTACTTCTCTAATAAAGCACTGGAAATTGATAGAAATCTAATGAAAACAATGAGTGAAATGAAAAGAATAAAGTTGTAATGCTATCGGAACAGAAATATGTCATTGTAATAGTCACTTGGAATACCATACAACGGGCACATAATAAGAATCTTGATAGTTTGTTCTCTAGACTATATTCCTAAAATTTTGATTTACCAAGATGTATAGGAATGCCAAACTACAACCCTTACCTACAGTATTTCTATGAAGTACCCTGAAGTATATTCTTGCAAATTTTTAATTTTTATAAGGACTCTCCTATCACACTAACTTTACTGATCTATATATGTGCATTTCAGACTGCAAAATCAAATCCTCTACTACCTTACTGCTCCTCTATTTCATACAGTAGGCAACTAGTTTTAGCCCATGGGCATGCTTTTCATGAGCACCTTTTTTTCCCCTTTAAAAAAAAACTCAGGATAAGGCTCTATGAATGACCATGAGGTTGATGTTATTACAACATGCAAGTCATGCCTCCATGACGAGTTGATGAATAGTGACTTTTACATGGTTCATATTCGGGAAAGTTATTTTAGCGGGAAAGTTATTTTAGCGAGGAAGATTTGGCAAAGCCTGGTTAGTTTGTAAGGGTTTGTGCACTTTCACATACCTATTCAAAATTCTGGGGCTTTTGGAGTCACCCCTAAGCCTAGTTTATATGGATTATCAATTAATTGTGACAGGTATGTTCAAAACACAACCTTAGGAGATTTTATTTAATTTAAATTAACTCGTACAGATAACAGATGCTGGTTCATCTCAACTGAGAAAGTCTGAACTGATTTCTAGAACGAAGATTAATATTCCCTGACATCATTCAAAGTCTGCAAAAGCCATGACTGAACTCACTCACTTTCCAGAAACCCTGATAATCCTTTCCCCAGTCAATATGAATGCAGTTCAAAGAACCTTTAAAGCAGCTTCAAAGAACACAATGAAGTAAAGATCTGAACGATCTTAGAGTTCGACCCGTCCGTCTGAAAGGACCCTTCCCACACTTCCCATGCCCTGGGAGCCGGGTCACTAGATCAGATCTAAAATGGATGAATCAGCGCCATCGCTCCTCATCACTTCTAACGAGAGTGACACAAGCTATTTGGGAGATGGGAGTGATGTGAAAAGAGTCACAGACAAGATAAAGAATAACCAACCACTTTGTATCCTTGTACTAGTAGCAAGCAGCAGAGTCTTTTCTTGATACTACAATGTCTTCTTGGTAGAGCTGTACTAAAGACACTTGATCTACTTTTCAATTGCATACGGTTTGACTTGAATCACAATATCAATTTGTTTCAGAGATTACATACACTGAAATCAAACTCTGGCATCTTGTGGCTCATGGATGCACCCACACAGAAAATGCATTGCAAATCCTTTCTAACAGTTATTGCCTTCATGCATGAAGATGCGAATTAGACCACCACCCCCCCCCCCCCCCCCCTCTATGCATTGATGTTTTGTGATAGCTACATTAATGTAATTTGCAGGTACAGAAATGTATTACTAATACTAAGACATGATACTTACCTGTACATCATCTGCATCTGATCCAGCTAAGAAATATTTAACTATTTCAAATGTTTATCTTTCAAAAAAAGAGGGGGGGGGGGGATATGTTTGTTATCGTAGAATTTTTTTTTTTAACCTACACATTGATAAACATACTAACCGATTTTGATGGCACATTGCTGTTGTTTTTACTAAAGAGCCACCACTTAAGTACATTGCCAAAGGAAGGCATGGACCATGTTTCCCAAGGGTTCTCATAACGACCATTCCTGAACCTCGATGGTGTCACATCCTCTAGCTTCCTTGGATCCAATGACCCAAACTTGACCCTATCATTACAAATCACTTTAGTCCTGCTGGTGTTAATATCAAAGTCTGAACCACTATTGCTTTTGCTGGATCGTGGTGAGGATTGGGAGTGGGTGTCTGAAGGGGGTCTTCTCCTGACCTCTAGAGGGGGAAGTTCAGGGGGTGTGTCTCCGATTGATATTTCTCTGATTGGGAGAGGAGGGGTGTGGGGTTCTGAGAAGGTGACCACATGCTTCACTGCAGCATAGTCAGGGTTCAAAGGGTCATCTTCGATGATGGCCACAGACTGCGTTTGGTTGCTTTGGTTTGTGTTGGCCATCGCCATGGCTTTGCGTCCTGATTTCAACCACGCTCTGTCGATGCTTTGGTAGGGAGGTTCTGATATGTCCGCATACACTGTGTTATTGTTCAATTGGTTGAGCTTGTTGGAATCCAATGTTTCTCTGTAAACTGATGTGTAGTCATCAACGTCTAAGAGGTTCTCCTTGCTTCCCTGAGTGGTGACGCTCTCAGAGTCAATGAAGTCTAAGGCCTCGAAGGAATCCAGAAAGGATGAGGTTGGTCCTAAGGCTTCCAGACAGGCTAGTGGGTCAGGGTCTGGATCTGGATCACATGGCAGCTTCAATGATGACGTATACGCTGATCTGAAAGAACAAGGGTAGAAAACAAGAATAACTATGGTTGTACCATACTTGATCCAATCACATACAGTTTCCTAACACATACAATGTAAGAAGGCCTTGCAAGGAATCTCTAAGAAAATTTGACATACTGCATGAATGAGTAGGTAACCTTTCATTCATGAATTACCTATAGGCGCGACAAAGTCTATGGCAAATTGTCTCACATGATTCCTTAAACAAGAAAGAAAAAGTGAATTAGAGAAGCAGACTAGACATTATCTACAATCATGAGATGCTTCCATGCCATGCACCAGAAACTTAAGAGCTGTACTGATACACTCTTCTAACCCAATATCCTACTTAAGGAATGGGATGAAGAGATGAACAGATTGGGATGAGTTAACTCATCTTAAGGTAGAACATAATTTACAGCAGACTACAGCATTTTAGCAGCTCATTTTCTTATCATGGATATATGTGAGTAAAGTTTTTTTATAATGAAAATGTCATGACTGAGTCATACCCTCACTATCAAGTTGTCTGGAAAGAAATTAGCTTTTGAGCGGAGTTCCACTGAAAGCTTTCGGGCTTAGGCGACTGAGCCAGCACTCATCATCTGAATTACAGCCACACCTTGGCTCATTTGTGCAACAAAGTCTTGACATTGTTGGATATTCCTTGCATCTAATATCAGGCGCCTCACGCTTTGCGTGATAATGAACGATGAAAGCTATGAAAGACACCCAAATCCCGGGACAATAAGATGCTTGAGCTACTAGATTAAGCTGTTGGCTTTCATTTGGAAGGAGGGGGAAATTCATAAATTAAGACAGGCACTGTGAGTAAGGAAGGTAAAGAAGGTGAAGGCGAAATGGACTGAAATAGCACCAACACCCACTGTTAAAGTGCGAGGGGATATATGAAGAATGGGAATAAACTTTATACCGGAAGCATGAAGGGTGAAAATTCTTTTTTAAGGAATATTGCATATAGCTCTGGATTTACTCCCATCATTCAAAGCACCAAGAAAAGAAGGAATTTAAGACTGGATAAGAGCCATATTGAAGACATGTTCACAGGGTACTGTCATAGTTTTAAACTCTCAATTTGCGAAACCTCAAAGTTACAAACAATGATCTACTATTAGAGTACTAACAATAACGAGGGTTCACAAGGGAGTGAAAATACAAGTACTCAAAGTTAACTACTGGTACAAGCTGGGGAAAGCATTTGTTTTAACTACAAGCCGGTGAACCTCCATGTTAACTGCGTCCACCGTCCGCGCAGCACACAACTTCAAGTGGGTATCCCACGCTGCTCACAGATATTATTTGCACTAACCTTCGGATCTGTCATGGCTTGTAACTTTAAAGTTAACTTAAAATGTTGTACATGAGGGTGCATCTGCCCAGACGCAGTCCCCAACTAAAGATAAATTTGAAGTTTTTTTTTAAATTTGAAATCACAAACTAAACTTAAAGTTAGCGGGCTGCCAGGTGAACCTCACTATTGTTAGTCGTGAAAGCTTAATTGTTGACCCTTGCTCCGGGGCAAGTCAGAAAGTGCCAATTCATACCACCTAAAAAAAGCATTTTTACGCTAATTAGGGGAGTTAATTGGGGGGTATTAGGCCCAGAGGTATTATGCGTATGAATGTTCCATCGAGCCATTACGCACAGTGACAACTTTAGTCAACTATGAACAGGCGAGTAACATGAAGATTAAGTTTGAAGACCATGTGCAAAAAGGGCAAGACTATTTCTCATAACCACTTTTGGCTAGACTACTCTGGCTCTCTATACAGTGTGTCCCAGAAAAAAACGAAACCGAGAATAATCAATGTTTTATCATAACTTAGTCACATTTATAATTAATAAATGACACATATTTGTAAAGCTTAGATCCTCCTCTTTCATTTGATGTAAGTTATATGATGCACATTTCACGCATTCTAGAAATGTGATTTTCTCTTTGAAATTCAGATACTGTCCGCCAAATGACTTTTTGGTTTCCTCTGTTCAAATTAATTTTAATCACTCATGCGTGAAATATGAATTATATGAGTTGCATCAAATGAAAGAGGAGGATCTAAGCTTTACAAATATGTGTCATTTATCAATTATAATTGTGATTAAGTTATGATAAAACAACGATAATTCTCGGTTTCGTTTTTTCTGGGACGCACTGTAAAATCATGACAGGAAGATGTAATCATTGTTATGTAAACTGATATGTTTTACGAAGTCTCTTTTCATCTTTCTATCCTTTCATTTTTAGCAAAGTTAATCACTGGTTCTGCATTCCTAACCAGTAAATGCCAAAATAAAATTGGCAAATTTAGTGACCTATTTAAACATTTCACTTACATGTACATCAAAGATCATGAAAATCATATAACTCCAAGCATACAGTCCATAGGATACAAAATACTGACTTTTCTAAGCTGATTTTCTAATTGATAAGAATAAACTTTAACTTTAAGCAGTATTTCCATCGTATAGCAAAATGGTAATTCTGCTCACAGCTGGAATATTCCATAAATTTTCAGAATCAAATCATATATCCACCCATACTCCCAGCTTGGTATTCTATTCAGCATAACAATTGTAACAACCAGTTCAGCTCTACTATTTTTTTTCATCATAAGATGCAAACAAAATAATCTTCAAAATTAAAACAACCTTTTTAATATTCTTCACATAGTGGTTTGGGTGTGTAACAAACTAGTAGGTGTATGCAAAGAATGTAGTAGTTATCTATTGGGTGTGGGGAGGATTAAAAAATACCCCTTTATATGTGCAGGCTGTTATACTGTATGATTATATTGTCCAGTCTGATTAATTGTGCTAGCTCAGGGCCATCAATGAACCCTTAGGCAACTGAGCCGGACGTAACTCCTGTTCTGACCCATTGGAAGTGAGGTTTATTAAGAAAGACCCCATCTGTAGAGAGTTAATCAATTTTGTACACATAGCAACCTTCAAGACACAAACTTTTCTTCCGAAATTGCCAAGACAGGATCAACACTGCATGGTAAATATTCAGCTTTTCCAATATGAATTGGAAATTTTGGAATGCCACTGAAACTATGTATACAGTGACGCATATCGGTGCTTGTTCCCATTGGATATGTACGTAGCAAACAAGGTTTGCCGGCAGTGCAAATGTTAAAGTGTGATATATGCAGCTCCATGGAGAAGTGATGTCTATAGCTTGACACATAAATATACTGATATATACATGTACATGTATACACCATTACAACTTCATCAAAACAACTTAAAACATCTTTTCAGACTGGCCATTTCTGATAATGCTCATATAAAAACAGCAGAAAACGTACATCCATTCACAAAGCTATACAATTCTCAAACACTACAAAGTACAATGTAGATATTAGTAAAAATAACCCATTGTATTATGTTCAATATTCCACTACACTTAATGAAAGGAAGCAACAATGACGAAGGAAACTAAACTTTAAGAGCAGTGTGCTGGGAATCAACACCAGACCCTGGAATAAATTAATGAATGATGGGTGGGTGTGGTCAAACCCTTCAGCAGCTATCCCTGAATATATTATACTCCACAGTACGGTATGAAATCACAGCTGCACCCTCGGATCTCCCTAGAAAGGGTGGAGCTCTCTGATAACACCCCCCTCCCCCATTCCCCCATGAGTGTTCTCTTATCCATGGATGACACAGTTCCAAGAAGGGTTCACTTTAATATGAAATATGTCCTTTGAAAGATTTCACAAAATTCCCATTTCTTGATGATACCTTAGTTTTTTTTTACCTAAATGTAGATATGAGCTCCACCCTACAAGTCTAAAAACTTGCTAAATGAATGTTCTAAGACTTTTACATCAATCTATCCTTCTAGTTCTTTAATATTGAAGAAAAAAAAGTTATCCATTTACAAGTCATGTCAGAAGAAAGCAGGAAAAACCTTCATTATTATCCCATACAAAAAGTTCATTTCACGCTCTTTGGGTGAATTTTACACAAAGTTTCTTATGCTTGCTGTAGGGAAAGCATTAACTTAATATAATGAGACAGAATCACAGAAATTTCTCAAGACTCAATATGGGTAATGATTGAAGGAAGGAGTCACAGAGAATAAGACACTTACTCAGATATAGAATACAAGACCATATAACTCTCTTCCCATCTTCTAGGCTGGCAAGCTGCACCAAAGGGGCTACAGGAGGCACCGGATCCTCTTCCTCTACACATACTGAAGGCCATCTTACAACCAAAGGGTGCAACAAACCTCCTCCTCCTCCTCCTCCTTCTCTTTCCCAATGAGGAAACAGTTGCCTCCAGTCGATAGGAGAGAGTGATCACATCATCACACCTACATCCTCACCTCCTGATCACACCCACTTCAGAGAAGCTTCATCGGCCGAGCACCGGAAGACTTCAAAACCAACCAATTAGCATCTCATCTCATGCCTTCACATTCACATAGTATGATTCTATTTAGCATGAAAATACTCCACATTGACCATTAGATGGGATCTCTCTGCACCCTCAGTGAGTCATCAAGGTGCACGCCACATGGATCAATGATGCTGTTGCTATGGCAATGAGATGAAAGTCCTCCATGCTGCCATCCAATGAATACAAGGATAGTCTACATCACAGAGGCCTCATGTATTGTAACTATTTTCACCAAATTACTTGTCTTACATTTTGAGCAGGAATTGCATATATATTGAAAATATATGAAATCAGAAATAAGTGGATTATCTATAGCCTCATATGAGATATTATTAATATCTTTGTAAATCTTATACTATCTTTGTGAAGGACAGTCTTTAAAATTCACATACCGTACATACATATATCTCTCTCTCTCTCACTTTTCATTTCAATCTTAAAATCAGTTTGCAAGCCCATATTCTAACACACAAGAGCTTTCCAGCATCCAGCAAATAGCTGCCATTTCTTCTACCAAGAAACTTCAACAGTAGCTTCAGCTATATCATAATTTATTCCATCTAAACCTCATATCTGATCGAGTTAGAGATAAGCAACATAAATCAGGAGCAAAATGGAAGTCTACAAGTGTGTAACTACAGAGAAATGTGAGATGGAGCAGATAGACGGAATGTCAATCAACAACAGTGACTCACCACCAGAAATGACATCAAGCAATTGATTCAAACTTTCTCTTATCTTGTCTAGAATTCATCAAATCAATGCAGAATGATGCCAGATGATGTCATAGTGTAGAGGAGTCAGTCCCAGCTCTAAACAACAAGCGGAAGTTTTATCATGCGTGTATCATATTTCTGATAGAAAGTGGAGTTTTGATGGATTATGGGGAGAAACTGATACTTGGAAGTGTGCACAAGGGTTAATACCCAAGTCTGCTGTTCGATCTTTTGTACAATACACAGACAGTGTAGGTCAAAATCAAGTTACAGCTATGCAGTTTACTTTAGAACTACTGTCACATTAATAACACTCATGTGTAGCTTCATGAGAAATCAATATATTTAGATCTTGCAAGATCTTGCAAGATATTGCATGTTAATGGTAAACATTAAGGCAGGGGTCTGATGTAAAATTGCCTGGTTGGGTACCGGTACTTGAAATGCATGTAGGTGTCACATCATAACAAACGATGAATAAATCAAATTATACTAACAATCACTTGCATACTTGCATCCGTGAATGATACGTACATTACAAGTACAGTAAAAAAAGGAACAACAGTTGGTTAAAATTTAAACGCTCACACTCTGTGTAAAAGCTCCAGTAAAAATGAAGGAAGAAACAAAGGAAGTAATGAAGGAAGAAAGTAATGAATCAAGGAAGTAATGAAGGAAGAAATAAAGGAAAAATAAAAGAATTGTCTTGGTTCTACAAGTACTCTTTTTACAAACAAATACCAGTAACCAACAGCACTACAGACAGTAAAATGTGGGTGACTAATAATAAATGAATTTGTCAAGCCTCATTATATATCACTTCCATAAAATATGACAATATTGCTAGAAAAAACTTAGTTTTATCGAGGAAAAGAGAGGCCAATTTAATTTGCATTCAAATATCTGGTCATTCTGTAATCTAACAAATACAAATAGAAACACTATCATGAAGGCCACATCTAGGAACAACTTTCAGATAAAATAGGCAGTGTACAATGAAAGATACTACTAATCATTATGAACAAACAATACACAGATAGCAAATAGATTAGAAACAATTGTGGATGGTCACTGAACTGTAGTGTTGAAGCACTGATACCAAACAATAGACTCAATGAGGGTGTACATAACGATTTCTATTCATTCAGAAGTCTAAATGCAAGAGGGCTGGTTTTAATTTTTGCCAATTTTTTTTAAACACCATTATACAATTCAAGAAGATAAGATAATGAATATTTCCCAGTGATGTCTCATTTAGCATAGACAGTTAGAAACCGATGAAAAAAAGAGATTAGGAAACAAAGGAGAACTGATATATAAGGCATCAGCCCTAATGCAGAAATTTGACAAGTATTACTATGGCCCATATGGGCCCTACATCATGAGGGCATACATGTACATGTAAATGCAACATTTTTTTTTTTTTTTGTCATGATGATTCACAGAATATTCATTTTTGTTAAACCATCCAAAGAAGCTTATCATCTATACAGTTCAAAGTTCTTTTGAAATAAAATAAGACTCAATTCACTAGAATCAGGTAAAAGTCTGATGGATCCTCCACCAAAAACAAATAAAATGAAAAAATATAAAATACTAAATCCAGCTCAAAACCCATTTTCAATTTTTGTTCTACTGCTGCATGGCACAGTACATCAGGTGAAAAGAGTTGAATGGGTTTTCAGTAATAGATATAAATTGATCTGTACTTCTGGCACCCCCAGTCAGCTAATATAGCAAGCATAAATCATACCTCAAAATCCCACAAATTCACATGTACGACAGTAAAATGCACGTAGCAAGACCATGTATCAAGCTATCTGAAATTGCATGTCAGGGGAAAAAAGTTAATCCCATTTACAGCGGCTCTCGTCTTGCCTAATCAACTCAATTTTGAAGGCTAACAAATTGAATTACTAAATCGGTACAAGGAAGTGGCCTCACAAACTTGACCCGTTAAGATATGAAGAAATCAGTTTCCACATTTCTGTTTTATCCATGATAATCTCCAAGACTGGATGTTATGTCTGCATGTAAACATAATTCTTCCTTTCACAAATATTTGAAAACCTCAATGATTTTTTTTTTTGTAGAAAATGTTTCTATTTTGTGTTGAGGCTTGCAATTGAATGTCAAGTCTGCTACAGCATCATATTCACAAAGTTAAAACTGTTGAAACGGTTTAGTAGAAGATTAACAAAATCTATATTCTAAAAGACTATCTGCTGACAAACCTTCCAACTTTGAACATGCATCAACTTGAAATTCATAGTCCCTACAAAAAACAATGTATACAAATTGGCCAGCCCCACCCCCCCCCCCTCCCAAAGGAGAAAAGACTTATCCATTCATTATTCAGATATAACACTGACATCCGATATGATACTGCAGATCTCAATTTAAATCGGTGGTCAAACCACTATGGCTTTTCTGACCGACATCAAAGGAAATGGTTAGTAAATGATATTACATAACCAATATCCTGTGAGAAGGGCCTCCATGATAGCTTCCACCTCTCGGCTCTACTTGGAAACCAACCCACAGGGTTAAAGAATCGTTGAAGAAAGAGGCAGTCATTCTTGGATAGGATCCAAGTATCAAGATGCATCCATACTCTTCTCTGACAAGTGGTGATCTATTCTGTTTATTGAGGAAGGTATCAGTGCGCTCTCCACAAGAGCATGCCCATTAGCTGGAATCAAGCTCAAGCTTGAGATGCAAGTTTCGTCATTGCTTCTTAAGAAACAATGAATGGGTTACTGGAATATCAGCTAATAAGCTACACACCAGCACCATAATATCTTATTTTTTTTAATCTCTAGATATATTAGTTAATCATACATGGAAGAAATAGTTTCATTTCTGACTTTTGTGGGTTTGGTAGGCAATATCAACTGAATATACAAGGGGAAAAAAGAGCAGCTGAACCTTGTCAAAGTCACTTTTAATTAAATTAATACAATGAATAGATTAATAGAAAATGAATTAGCTTCCTGACTTCCCGACATGCTCAAAATAATCCTAAGAGTTTCTATTAAAGCCTCCTCAATCTCAGTACAGATTCCAGCTGTTTCTACATGTACTTTTTAATATCCTAAGAGAAAACATTAATCCTGTTCTATAATGGGCAAATAATTATTCAAATGACAATGTCACCCAAGAAATATCCTGCAATTCATTCAGAGGAACGGTGAAACAGGCAATTAAGATGCCAAGAAATGCAGAAAATCTGATGACTTGCCAAGCAGAATGGCAATCAGTCAAGAAGCATGTCTGAAATACAGAACTGGAACTCACAGCATTAAATGGGTGTAGATATTATTACACCCAATCATATTCAATTTTAAGGAAGAAGGAAATGTGTTCTGTGTGTAAACAATCAATGCAGGGCACACCTGTCAATAAGGCAGTGGTATTGAAATGATTGAAAAATACTCTCTTAATTTCTCCCACATCCCCATCCTGTTCACCTTCTGATAAAATAACACAGCAATACAAGAGGGCTATACATCATCATTACATCATCATTCACAATGAATGCGATACACTTGTGAAAATGGATACCGGTAAATAGAAAGGCAATGAGTGTGGTTTTTTTCCCCTCTGCTTCTGCAGGACATTAACACAAAATGGAAGCATCATTTGTGCAAAATAACCTAAACTCATCTAAACAGAGGGAATAAATAATAATTACTTTAGCATACCTTCCTGTGGAGTTTGAAAGAGGAATACCAAGAGTACCAATGTTTTATTCTAATATTTACCCCTCATTAAAAATAAAGAACCAGTATGAAATTACATGTACATTTTGTTTCACTGAGAAAAAAAGGGATATTAAGAATATTCTTCTTCAACAGCAACTAATATTCTTCAATACCTGCCCCAAATTGTATTTTATCTGTAAGATTATCATCCTTGCACACGAGTGGTAATCGATTTTGACTGAAACTATAGAGTTTCAGAGAGCCTGAAGTCCTTATTTCTGAGTGCAAGAAAAGATAATCTACATGTATGGTAGTAGTTAAGTATCAGTAACCAAGACTAAAGTTATTCATAGATTTCACACAGTCGTTTGTAAATTACTGGATCATAATATTGCAAAATATTTCTATCTGGGGAAGAAGCTTCCAATTCAGAGTCTCAATCTTTGATGCCCACAGAATCTCATACACAGTATGTGGTTGAAATGATAAATTATCATATTTTCAAAGTCTTTTACATGCATTAAATGCCCCCCCCCCCCCCTAAGAAATTTCTGATATAAATTGCCACATTGTCATAGTACTTGACACAACATCCCTATCGGCATAAACTGAAGATATGATAGTATGGTAACACCCAAGACGTACCTGTGGTATACATCCGCATCACAGTAGAAAAACTGATGAGATACTGGCAGCATCTTGATTCCCTAGATCCTAAAACATTAGAGAGTATAAAGTCCTTTGAATCTCCTCCTAAATGTGCCCCTATCCGCACATACAACCCTGAATCAAATGTCTAACGATGCTGGGTTACAGGCAAGAATTTATGTTATGAACGATCTGCCGAATAGATTGAATCCCAGGTAAAAATGGCGTAATACCAAAACAGCGAGAGGTGTAAAGTGGTAGTCCAGAGCGCGGATGGCAGTTACCGAAGGCTGTTGTAGTGAGGAGGGGGGATAATTGAATGTGCGGCAGGCTAGGGCAGTAGGGTTGAGCTGAACTCTGCTCTATTGTAGAACTATTAGAGATGGGTGATGAGTATTGGACATGACAACCTCACTGTCCAGTCATCCTTCCTGTGCGATCAGAGCAAACACGGTAGCGCTGCTGGCTGGGGTGTCTTTCCTACTCAGTCAGACCGAAGCATAGTAGAAGTGCGTAACAAGCGGACTGACTACTGTGAACCCCCCAATATTACAGCTCTGAGCTGAGGCAGCAGTGCACCACTGCACCGTACACATCATACTGCAATAAGGCCCCTTCCCCTCTGTGTCTGTGCTCCTATTGGTCCACTGCAGCACACTTTTTCATGCATATTCAGCAGTCTCCAGGTTGAGTCATTTCTTGATTGGTTCTCTATACTCCCTACAGTGCCACGGGGTATGAATATTCACGTTTATGATAGAGAGCATGAACTCTTAACCCCAGGCCCCATTCCCCATTGGAAGTTCAGTCACATTTCTTCCTTCCGTACATAGATCATATCAAGTCAGCATATCCAGCATTGTTTCTCCCATTAACATGATCTCATACATGAAGAAATAACAATATATAATAAAGAAATCTAAGTAGATTAAGTAATCAAATCATTTATGTACGGTACTCAAATTTGTAATTGACTTGTATAGGCTTTACAATTTTCCTCGTTCTTCAATGTAAAATGGAACAACATATTTATGCAAGAATCCTCAAGACAAAACACACATTTGCATGATAAAAAATATTTAACTGAAAACATTATTTTGAGAATAAGCCAATAAAAGAGGACTTATGAAAATATGATCTTCAGATAAATACACCTTGTCCATATGCCAGGCATATACCAGAATCAGTTCTAATCATTTCAGCCTTGTATGTATTGTATTCTTGAAACGTGAAAATAACAAGATTCATTTCGAGAAAACTCAACTTTTGTTTCTCGTCAGACTGTTTCATTCTACCAAATAACAAGTTTGCTTTAGTCAGCTTGGGTAGTTGCCTGAACAACGTCAGCTGATTACCTCTACGTCAGCTGAAAAATGAGGTTTCCTGAGCCAATTTCATGTTAGGTAAGGGGTACTTGTTAAGATCGGGTAGGAAGCATTGGAGAAAGTACCTTCCACAACAAAAACTATGTGAACATGTATCAGAACATGGACCTAATCAGAAGATCTGAACTCCCGTCATCAGAATCTTGTCGGCCCTTCAAATACAGTTTGCTTGCACAACGGCACCAAGAAGACAGATTGTAATCCCTTATGCATACTAACGCACCAGGTCAAGGGATCCATGAAATTAGTACTGAATTAGAATTTCCATGAAATAAGCCCAAATACCGGTATCGAAGAAGACATGTTTCTCCACTGACCTAATTGCCCTTGCTCCGATATATATAAGGACTTTTATAAGGAGGAAATTCATCTCAGACATATGAACTTGAAAATTCAAAATATTTAACAGATAATTCATCCGGTCTAATTCTGAATAATTAGGTCAAAAATGAGGTTGTAAGAATTTAATTAACTGCAAGTCTATCATCTTAGTCACAGAGAAAACTGACGCATTGGTTCCAAAAGTGCCTGAGTTTAAAATCAGGGCCACAAGTATGAATCTTCAATGGTCTCACTCCTTGGAAAGGAATTAAAGCCATAAGTCCCCTGGTTACTGCACCAATAAGCACATATTTGTTATTAAATTTATTGATATAATGAAAAAGTAAGAGTTCCATCTTTCAGCTAATCACAATGAACAGTATGTAATTGTTTAACAAATATCACTGTTTTACGTCCCTATACATCAGTAGTGAGTCTTCTACAAGGAAAACTTACTTATTGCACTCTCCTGCATGATTTATGGGGAAAATATTCACCTTATCCATACAGATACATGTAGTTATGGAGTGTTAATTGTGAAACAGGTTTATGAAGTTAGATGGAATTGGACCCTATCTTACCTTTCCTCATGTAGAAATTCCATGATGAACACCTTCAAAACAAGTTCCTTTTATCAAATTATCTTACAAAAGGAATAGAAACAGGCTCATACAACTCAAATACCCACTCAAAGTTGCTTTCTGTACACAGACTCTTCAATCTAGTGCTCTCCGATCCAATTAGGCATAAAAGGCTATGTCGCAATCTATTACACGCCAAGCTCATTAAGCAAGCTTATCCTCTAACCAATGTCCATTAAAACATTCATTAATTCATCTAATGACTGATCCTGTCTATACTGCACAGTACACAGGAACTTTCACAATATGAAACAGATGAAACAATACCCATACAAATGCAAACAAAATGAGTGCAGTCAGTAAAGAAGGTTGAATACACCAGCAACCTTCCGCCCATGGTCTTCAGTAAACCATGAAACCACTTCCAAATTACTGACAAAACTAAAATGATTAAATGCAGGTCTGTTTGCATATATTTATTTACTTCTGTTTCAAGGTTTAAACAAATTCTAGTTAAGTATTTGTTTTTATTTGTTTTTCCAGTAAGGTGCACATCACTGAGCAAAATGCACAAATTTTGTAAATTCAAAGGATTTGTTTGTAAATACCTTGAATAATGGTTATCAGATTATGTGTCATATGTTACAGGGGTCGAGAGGTCCTTGAGGGGGAGGGGGGGGGGGTACGGTGGAAGATGGAATGATCTTAAATATTTGCTACCTTTTAATCATATCTTCTTCTAGTACAGTACATGTACATGTATGTATAAACAGAACCTTGATGGACTTTTAGTAGTATATCAGGGCAGAGGATTACATGTATAATGATCATATTCTTAATGAAAACAAACAAAATTCATATATATTTATAATCAACATTGGCTGTGAGCCAAAATGGTGTAAATATACATGTAGGTACATATTAAAGCCCCACTGTACTACTTATAGCTACTTGCGCCCTCCACATGGCAAACAATGCCTAATCGGTGCCTGTTGGTCCCCCATGATGCCTTTTTTCTTATGTTAATTGAGAGCTGATTTGATGAGATAACCACCTGTCAGTGACCTTGCAGTGAGGTCTAATCCCCCTGGCTAAACTAGTGCAGGCGGTCTTTAAAGTGACTTAAATCTTTCTGGCTCTTTGTAGACAATATACAAGTATTAATAGTAATACTTATAATAATTATGATTTATATATATAGATATATACATGTATTACTGCACATTGAGAAAGGTTTGAGAGGCATATTGTTTTTCAATTTGCAGGCACTTGTTCCGATAAGTGAATTTATTAGAATTAATGACTCCTCTTGTCACAAATCATAAAATCCCTCCTATGTAGGTTGGGATGTAACATATATTATGATAATCACTGTATTCATCATTTGCCTACCACTTGAAGCTTAACAGATCAGTATTCCAATGATGTGTCATGGTTCCTAATTTTGGTGTGTATCGTGTTTTGGTTGATAGTATTCACTTCATTCCATTTCGCTTCATTTCATTACAGAGGGCAAAATGGGGGTACAATATAAATACAAGTCACGTAGCTGGAACTGTAACCCCCACATTACAGTTCTGGAATAATGAAAGAAAAAAAGAGACAAATTAAAAAAATATCTGATCATGTAGTTCAAGAAATTGTAATTCCCTGAAATTCAATATCATCTCTTTCTGTATTTTTTAAATGTTCATGAGCCTTCATTCTAGACTGTTTTCCATCTTCCAGATGGTTCCACTAGATATGTAGAAATCCATTAAAAGTGTAAGAGATTATTAAACAAATCCTCTCAAGAACTATAACATCTAATGCAAGGTGGCATGTGTTTAGATGCGTAAACACTGTCTTCTAAAGTAGCGTGCAAACAACCTTGGGGTATCCACATAACATTTAACCACAGATTTTGAATGGGTATGATTAATTGCTATTTGGGATCCTGGTGCTATGTGCTTGTCAGGTACGGCGCTTGTGAGTCACAGATGCACGAGGGCAGAAAATGACTACCTTGACATATTTCCAGGCGGTCAATAATTTCCACGAATAGAATAACTGCATAAAATGGCACGTATTGCATGTGTAAAGCATGCACTGATTGCGGAGAGCCTACATGTATATTGAATGAAGAATAATATTTTGTGAATAATCAATCAAAAAAGAGCATATTTTCCATTTCCTTAGCCATGATAATGTATTTTCCATCTCTAATACCTTCTATTAATGTAAGTGCTGTATATCAATAGTTGCTTATCATGAGCAAATTGGGTATTGTTCATTACAAATTTGGATAGAACTTGTGTTGTGAGTTTTTATCAATAGATACCTAACTTTCCATATTTCTGAACAAGGACTTCTTAGCTGTTGACAAGTTTTGATACTATCATTCATCCTCCACTCTATCAAAGTATGTTCATTTTATTATCGGGAATTATGAGTACACGAAGAAAACTTTCTGTCATCAGTCCTGCAACCACCATGACAGACAAGTTATTTCATCACAATAATTTCATGCAAAAAGCACTCAACACACATCCTTAATAGCCTGAGGCTTCGTTCAGAACTTGAAAGGCAAAACTCTTTTTCCTTCATACCCTGCGATTGCTTTAATCCGTCTTTCACTGTGACATTTAAAAGTAATTTAGAGTTCCCAACCAACTCCTTCCTATATTTAAAGTCATATCTTTATATCAGTAAGAAAATCAGAACACCTTCACTACCTTCACCAATTTCCTGCTTCCAAACACTTTAGATGACTCATTTTTGCATGCTAATTTATTAACATCATGATTTTCAAAACAAATTCAGAAAACACAAAATATATAGGGAGAAGTAATTACAAGTGCAAATAAAAAAAAGGGTTAACTACAAATATGGTCAACACAAGCAATCTTGTTGAAAGTACACGGTGCAATATTCAAATGGATATAATCGTGCCAACCGAATTGATCACTTATATATACAGTAAGAGGTGAAAAACAATTTACATGTCCATCAACTAAAAAAGATTTTTATTTTTCCTTTTTTTATGTAGTACATGTACATTGTATCATTACAAAATGATATTTCAGAGACTAGTGAGTAAGATTACTAGTAGGTAAGCCTGCATTAAACTTCAAGTTAAGAAAAATGATTGCTTTTAGTGCTGTGACCGTGTACACGAAACGTGAAGAAATTCACTACACGGATAAACGAAAAAGAAAAAAAAAATCCTGTTTTTCAGCATCATAAATTGCTTAAAGAGAAGGTTGAGTTCCAACTTCTGGGAAGAGGTGAAAAATAATTTGTGAGCTTCATCATTGTTATTATGCAAGTGTTGAAAAAAATTAGATAAAACATGTTCCCTGAAAAGCATGGCTCTTCAAATGCCTTAATATTCTAAATATAGCATGTAACAGCCTAACAATGCCAATCATTGCGGTCTGACTTTCCCACGAGCGTGATGGTTTCGTGTGCAGTACCGTTACTATAGTAACAACTTTTTCGAGAAAGTCCTTGTTCTGACGCTTGTGCAATGTTTCCCTGAGCACCTGAG